TTATTTAGCTTTCATTTTGAGACAGGATTTTACTAAGTCCCTAAGTTCCCCAGGCTATACCCCAACTTGCAATCCTCCTGTCTCAGCCTCCCAGAGCACTGAGATTCCAGGCATCCGCCACCAGCTTTCAGTGTATTGACAACTGCATGCATCCTTAGGAAACAAAGCGGCTGTGTGTCTGTGTGTCCTCAGCTGCCGCAGGAGGAGCATGGCAGGGTCAGGGGAACGTCAGCACCATTGCTCACACTTGGTGTTAAAAGGGAGAATAGAAACAAATGCTGGTTCACAGCATCTACATTGTGCCTACTTGTGTTGTAGGGACAGGGGTTACACCCCTAGTTCGAGGGCTAGACTCGGGGCCCATATGCGATGTCCCAGGCCCCTGACTCCAAAAGCATTGCCCTTCTGGAGCGTTGCTTCTCTGCCCAAAGCCCTGTCGCAGACCACGGTGGCGCCTCAGTGAAGCCCAGATCCCTGGCCAGCGGTGCAGTGACCCACACAGCACTGAGACGCCTGGGAGAGCAGCCCTGGGCCCTGAGTCCCGAGCCACAGACGCATGTCACTGCTGCGCTGTGTTCCCAGCCGTCCGTAGCCAGTTGGAGTCCCCTGAGATGGTTTTTTGTTGTTTGTGTTTCCTTTCTGTTTAGTTTCTGAGACAAGGTCTTGTAGTTCAGGTAGTAGTTCACGTGGTCTTGAACTCACTGTGTAACCTAAGCTGGCCTCAAACTCTCTGCGATCCCCCTGGCTCAGCCTCCCAGTGCTGGGATCATGGGCATGCACCACCGGGCCTGGCCTCAAGGTGTTTTTCAATCCTAGCTGCTTTTAACTCTGTACAGAGTGTTCCGTGCCTTATGTGATGTTTGAGGACCTGTTTTTCCACCTCCTGGTATTGCCGTGCCCGTCGGTGTGGCGGGCTAGGTAATGCTGGCGTCGTCCTGCTCCCTTCCTGCTGACAGACACCTGGCCCAGAGCCAGGCTTGTGTTGGGGACACTCGGTGTCCTGGAGGCTCTTCCCGTGTCTCCTGTTACAGCTCTGTACGGGGTGGGGACCTCGGGTGGAAAGGCTGAGTCACAGGGTGGCCGAGGCAGCAGATGCCTCAGCCACCTGGGCCCTGGTGTTCCCGCCTGTGAAACGGTGGCCAGTCACCCCAGGGAGGACTGAAACTTAACAGGGGAAAAAATTCTGGAGGTTCTCACAAGCAAGCTTGGATCCGGTCCGGTGTGGTGCCCAAGCCTGTAATCCCAGCACTCAGGAGGCTGAGGCAAGAAGATTGCAAGTTCGAGGCCACCTTGGGGTACCCTGCCTCAAAAACATAGGAAAACCTTGCCTTTGCCGAGAGCCAGCACTGCATGGCTCAGGAACCGTACATCCCCTCAAGGTGACCCTACCTGTGTGGGGTGTTTTAGATAAGGCGCTTGCAAGCAGCCCTGGATTGCATTCACTGCACAGTCGCTGTGCCTGCTGACTGCAGAGCCTGGACTGAGCCGGGCCAGTGGATTCGCGGTCTCAGCACTGTAGTGGTGGCTGTCGTCACCCAGGGGTGATGGCAGTGACTGGCAGATGTGCAGAGTCACAGAGAAAGGACCTTGTCCCACCCGCCCACGTTTGTTGAAGTCACAAGGGACCCAGTATCAGCCTCCACCTCACCCCAGAGCCAACCAGGAGGTTTGTCCCCTGCAGTCCCCAAGCCTGAGGCTCCCGGGGAGGGCACCAGGCCTGGGGCTTCATGGAGCTTCCTTCTGGTCCTGCCTCTGCACATCAGCAGGAAGTGGCCATGCGCCATTCCTGGCACCCACGACACAGGCTCGTTGGGTCCCCCTTAGAGGAGGAGACGCCCCCACATCCGGCTGCCCTGGACGTGGTGAGAGCAACAAGGCCTTCACGGTGACCCGGACTTGCACGGCAGGAACTTGCACAGTCGGGAGGGAGGAGCTGGAAACGCCACAGGAGGCCTGGCGGGACCAGCAGGAGGCCACTGCGCTGGCTTTGGGGACACGCAACCGCAGGCAGACGGGCGCCGCACCACAAGGGGGCCTGGGTGTCTGCGGGGGTGCAGGCCCAGGAAGCTCGGCAGACCCTGCAGCGGGGTGAGGTGGACAGGTGGCCTGGGATGCAGGTCAGGTGTCAGCCTCCTGGCTGCAGACAGAGCGCCCAGCTCCGGACCTCACAGGCCTTGGTGGGTGGCGTCCCCGGGCCCACGGCATCCGGAGTGAAGCCACAGGACCAGCCTGAGGACGCGTCCTCTGCCGCCTGCCCCCTGCCGAGGGAAGGCTGGGCTCCTTTCAGTGCCTTCGGAGCTGGGTGGAAGCAGGGTCCCCACCGCTGAGCCGTGCCACCCAGCTCTGTCTGGAAAGGGCTGGCCAGCAGGGGGCGTCTTCGCCCTACAGGGTTCGGGGGGGCGCAGGGGGCACATGAGCGCCCCCAACCTCACTGAGCCCTGACTGAAAGGGTTGATGAAGGCTCCAGGCACTCGGGGAAGGGGACTCCCCAGCCCACTGCCCAGGGCACGTCCTCACCCGCTTCCCAGTCTGCGCTCAGTGACCTGAGTGTGCGCGGGACCAGGCCGGATGGGGCAGGGTCAGTCTCGGGCTGCAGGTACAGACAGGGTCACAGGTGGAGGTGTCTCAGCCTGGAGAGCTGGGGTCCCCACCAGCACCAGCCCCCTGGAGGAAACTTCGGCTAAAGTTCGTTGCCTGGGGCCAGGGTCTAAAGCGGGCGTGCTCAGAGCCCTGGGCTCCGTCCAGTTATTGAAAATGTGTCCAGTGTCTGGGTCTTAGGTGTGTGTCTAGAGGACCCAGTGCCCCAGCCTGAGGGCTCATAGTCTACCAAAGGATAGACTGCCAGTCTTCTTGGTAATAAACTGTGGAAAGCACTCAGGACTGTCATGTGCAGTTGTACAGGTTGTACACTGCTCACTTCTAAGGTCATATTTCACTCTACTATGAACAGACTCCCCCTAGAGTTGTAAAGCACCACCAGCCCCACCATCCACAGTAGCCTGGAGGTCCTCTGATTGCGGGAAGCCATGGGTCGTCCAGGGAGGATCAAGTCTGTGGTGCCAGACAAGGTGGCTGTTGACGACTGATTAGAGAAGGATTTGCCCCAGAGGAGGTTCTTGAATTTGGCCTTGAAGGACCTGGGCTGTCTCCAAGTTTGCTGACCCAGCAAGAGCGGCCAGTCCCTGCTAAAAGCCTGCCTGTGCACATCTCTTGGAGACGGACATCCGACAGCTGGCGGACTGGCGTTGGCGTGGGCGACGGTCACTCCAGCCGCTGATTTATTTATGCCCATGTCTGCTCACCTTCTGCCCTTGGGAAGAATTCATGCGGCTATTTCTGGAGTGTCCCTCACGGCCTCAGGGGCAACGGAGACAAGCGGGTCCCTGTGCCCCTCTCCACCCGGTGTTTGGGGGCTTCGGGTATGCGAGGTCCCAGGAAGCGGCCAGGCCACACCCGTGGTTCCACACACTAGGTGACAGTTTGCTGTCACTGCTGGCAGAGTTTGCAGCCGGAGCGAGGGATAGAAGTGAATGGAAAACAGGAGCAGGCAGGAAATGGCAGCATCTGTGCTGGGACGGACCCTGGGTTCAGAGGGATAGAAGGCCACCTTCCCTCCGGGGCTCAGGGGCTCCCCTGAAGGCCAGGCTTTGATGCAAGTGTCGCTCACACACAGCAAAACACCCCTGCAGCGGGCGGGTCTTGGAGTTGTGACAAATGTGTGGGACCCTGTGGTTCCCCAGTCAAGAAACAGAATAAACTGGGTGTGGCGGTGCAGGCCTGTCACAGAAGACTCTAGGAGGCTGAGGCAGGAGGATGGCAAGTTCAAGCCAGCCTGGGGAATTTAGCAACTTAGTAAGACCCTGTCTCAAAATTAAAAATGAAAGGGGCTAGGGATGTAGCTCAGTGAAAAGCCCCTGGGTTCAATCCCCAGTACTCAAAAACATAAAGAAGAGGTGGAGCAGACCCATCACCCACCAAACGTTCCCAGCCTCTTGCCATCAGCCAGCTCAAAGCCCTGTGGCCAGTCGTGGACGAGTCCCTCTAGTGTCGCCTCTGCAGGAACTGTGCAGTGCAGTCACAGCGGCCCACCGTCTGGGGGGCTTCTCTGGTTTGGGCAGGTGCCTGTGAGATAGGGGTGACTCCTCCCTTATCCCTGCCCGGATTCCTGGGCCACGCTTTGGGGTGAACGAGCCCCGAGGTCTGTCTGGCAGGTGCTGCTGGCTCCCAGAAGCAAACCCACAGCAGCTCAATCGCCAGGGCCTGGAGTCACCTGGGGAATTGCAGGGGGCTTCACCCTAGGAGCATCGGGGCAGCTGGGAGAAGGGAGGGCTGAGGAGGGGGCCCGGCCCTGCCACCCCATGTCTGCTTCTCAATTCCGTTTCTGCTCGGATCCTGCACCCTCAGTGACTTACAGGCAGGTTTCTCACAGGGCCAGAGCCAGGTCTGGCCTCGCTGTGAGCTCGGGTCCCTTCCTGTCCCCGCTGCCCGGCATGCTCAGACTTGCATTTTGGGTGCTCGGGGCCAGTGCTGGCTGCAGAGGTCAGGGACCGTCCTCGCCCAGAAGCCGGCACCCCCGGAGTCAGCCCTGCCCCGCCCCATGCCGGCTCCCACCTGCCCCAGGCATCTGCCACACACTGAGGAAGCTGGGGATCCGAAGCCAGCAGGGACAGGGGTCTCGTTTGGGGCGAAAATGAGCAGCACACACCCAGGCTAAGCAGTGGTGACCCTGCAAATGCCGGGGCTCAGGGACCCACTACCACAGCCCTGCAGAGCCTCCCTTCCACCTCAGAACTCTCGACCGGATGGGGTCTTGGGGCCTGGCTCGGGGGTCCCCAAAGATTGGGGCAGCACAGAAGGCGAGACAATCAGCTTCCCGGGGGTCACACAGCAGCCCCACTCAGAGCTCTGGGTAAACTGAGGCACACCCTGGCAGGTCAGGTCAGTGGCTGCCTCAGGGTGCCTGCCGGGACTAACTGGACGGCCTGTGTTTGTGTCCTCAGGTGCAAATTCTTCAGTCTGACTGAGACGCCAGAGGACTACACCATCATCGTGGATGAGGAGGGCTTCCTGGGTGAGTGCCCCGCCTGCTGGACTCCCGGAACCCTGCCCCTCTGCGCTGCATTCCAGAACATTCTTAGCTCCCCACTCAGAGCCCCCTGCCCCAGGTCCTTTGAGGTTCATTCTGAACGTTTGTGGCCTGTGGCCTGTCCCAAAGTGGCAGTGTCCTTGGTGGGTGCTCGTGGGCCCAGGCTGCGTGGTCGCCGATACACAGCAGTCTGTCATCTGCCCAACCTCGGTGACAAGGAGGGGCTTGCATTTGCCTTCCACAAGGACAGCAGACTCAGACACCTGCGAAAACACTGAGTGGCATCCTTCAAAACATGCAAAGAAGCCGGCCTTGGTGACACACACCTGTGATCCTAGCATTCTAAGAAGCTGAGGCAGGAGGATTTCAAGTTCAAGCCCAGCCTGGGCAACCTAGCAACTTAGTGAGGCCCTGTCTCAAGATAAAAAGTTAAAAAGCAGGCTGGGGATGCTGGTCAGTGCAAAGGCCCTGGGTTCAGTCCCCACCATCAGGACAGGGGCAGAGATTGCAACCACTGTGACATTTTAAAAAGCCACAGTCCCACCCCGGAGAAGGCAACCCCTTCTTGTCGCCCTTTAGTCATTTCCTTCCCACTGACCCTAACCAGGTCCTTGTGGTCCACTTGTGTAGTGCGTTCACACTACGTGCTGTCTTTGCAACAGAAGAGCTGAGCACCTCCTCCCACGGCTTGGGCGGCAGGCGTGGTGCTGCGTCCTGCCCGTCCACATCCCTGTCAGCATCCCAGCCATTTTCCCTTTTCTCCAGTGATAAACTTATAAAGCTGCTCCAATGGCTCACAGCCACCTTGCTTGGTTCCTAAGTCGGGGCTGAGAACGGGCACTTGGGAGCGGAAGTCGACCGTGTTGTGGTTTCAATTCGTGTCACTGGGGCCAGAGACCCCGATGCCCTGTGCTGGAGATACTGAGAAGCCAAAGGTCAGAGGAGGCCACCTCAGGGGGCCTCACAGCCTGCTTGGTGGCCCCTGTGACGCACACGAGCTCTGGCCCAAGAGTGTGGGGTGCTGGGCCTGGGCCCCCACATCTCAGGAAGCACTGTGTCCCTCCTGCTCTTTGGGCAAGCACATGGCCAGAGCCAGGAAGGGGCTTCCTGCTCCACAGCACAGGGGCACACACATCAAAGGCGCCATTTTCTGAGCACTGCAACTACAGACAGGGACTTTGGCCATAATTACACAGCATAAGTCTCAAGAACTCGAAGGCTATGAGCTTCCTTCATCCAGCACACACCTGTAGCCTGGCCCTCTGGGAAGCTGAGGCAGGAGGATCACAAGTTTAAACCCAACCATCACAACTTAGTGACTTAGCAACACCCTGCCTCAAAGAAAAAATTTCAAAAGGGCTGAGATCTAGCTCAGTGTGAAGGTCCTGGGTTCAATCCCCAGTTAGCATTAAATAAATAAATGAATGAATAACAAAGATTGTGTGCTTGGGTGGCCAAGCGCATTCTCATTTTCTTAGGGGTGCTCTCTATCTCTGCCTGGAGCTGCTGAGACCTGGGCACCTCAGAGCAAGGAGGAACCTCGTGGGCCTTCTTCTCTGGGAATAGACATACAAAAAGACAGAGTGCGGCCAGGTGGCCGTTCTGCGGGTCCCCGGCAGGCATATCCTCAGGGACCTCGGGGACCCAGGGGGATCACCATGGGGACCAGTGGCGGTCACTGCCCAGCTGCTCTGTGCCTGTCCCGGTATCCAGCTGCAGGTGCCGGAGGCCCGCAGCGACTGCACCATGAGTCATGGCCCTGCGGGGAGGAGGGGAGGAGGTGTCTCGGGGGACACCAGTGCAGGGGAGACCGGGTGGGAGGGGCCTCAGCTCTGGAAGCAGGACATCAGGAAGTAGGTGCCTCTGCACCCACGAAGGGGGCTGCGTGGCAGGAAGCCCATTCTGCGTGGGAAAGGTCAAAAGTCAAGAGTGCATCTGAGGCTGGGCGTGGTGGCGCACACCTGTCATCCCAGCACTCTGGGAGGCTGAGGCGGGAGGACCACAGGTTCAATCCCAGGCTGGACAACTTAGCAACTCAGTGAGAACCTGTCTTAAAATACATTTGTTTCTAAACAGTGTGAAGGCCTTGTATTCAATCCCCAGTACTGTAAAAGAATTTTTAAAAGATGAACAGTGTCCAAAGAGAAGGCCAGGGGGCTGGGGATTTAGCTCAGCGGCACTGCGCCTACCTAGCAAGTGCAAGGTCCTGAGTTCGATTCCTGGTACCAAAAAAAGAGAGAGAAGGCTACCCTGCAGCCTGGGGTCTGGGAGGACTTCCTGGAGGCTGCGTGCTTGGGGTGAGCCCTTAGGAAAGAAGGAGGCGCAGGGGAGGGAGTTTCTGGCAGAGGGCGCTGTGCACACAGCCAGCCCCCACCCCCACCCAGGGCAGGACTGGGCCGTGGGACAAGTGGGGCCCCTCCTGAGGGGCTGAGCCGACCTGGGAGGTTCCGGATCTGCATTCACCCGGAGCCTTCTCTTGCCCCTCAGCATCAGGAGCATGGGAGCCCTCCCAGCATGGCCACTCGTAGGACTGGACTTGTATAGCATCCCAGGGGTTTGGGGGGCTATGGGGCCTCCTGGAGCCGTGGAAAATGGACCTCATGGGCTGCGGCTGTCCCCCTGAGGTAGGGCACTGGCCTCCGCCCCCCAGCACTGCAGAGCAGTAAGAATAATCAGGACCCACTGCCATCGCCGCTATCATTAACCGGGGGCTGAGGCTCCCTGAGGACCTTGGAATCGTTTGTTCCAGAGGCCCCTGGGGTAAAGTGTAAAGACCCAGTTTACAGGTGAGGAACTGTCACTCATTAACTTCTCCAGGGCTCCCGTGTGGGGCCCCCAGGACCTGGAGGAGGAGAGCCCAGAGCCGAAGCCAGAAGCGAACAGCAGGTGGGCTGCAGAGGGGGAGGGCGCTTGGGGGGACAGGGTCTGGGGTATGTGCGCACTGCACAGTGGGCCACGGCCCCGTGCCCCGGCTCAGCCCGACCCAGCTCTGGGCTTTCCAGGAGGACAGAGCCAGCTGGGGTCCACTGATGTCACTTGTCATGGGAGGGCCGCTTGGGGCCAGGTGTTCCTGGGACCCCATGCTGACCAGGTGGACAGGCCAGCTTCTCTTCTCGGTCAGTGTGGCCCACTGCACACCCCGGCCCCTCTGTAACCAGGACAGTGCTGCGTTACTGTGACCTGTACTGCACTTGGCCAGCCTCGGTGGCGACCAGAGAGACGTGTCTCCTTCAGACATAGTAGCTCACACCTGCGGTCCCAGCTGCTCGGCAGGCTGAGGCAGGAGGGTCAGCTGAGCCCAGAGTTTGAGAACAGCTGGGCAACACAGCAAAACCCCATCTCAAAAACACCACCAAACAAAATCAAAAGTACCTCCTGGGGCTGGATGTAGCTCAGTGGGACAGCACCACCGTGAGCCCCACATTCGAATCCAGGCTCAGCCACCCCCACCTCCTGTGATTCAGGGCCAGTTCCCCGTGACACTGCCCAACACACTTGTCCCTGAGGGACCCCCCATTCACACACTGGCACCCCATGTGTGCGGGGCACGGTGATCAGCTCAAACTTCCGGCTCTTTGTCCCCAACTAAGTAGCCTCTAGAAGCCAGCTTTGGGGCCCCTGATACTGAAGACAGCTCCCAACCTGCAGGCCAGGGGGACTTCCTGGGGGAGCATCCCGAGCCCTCAGTGGAGCCAGGCCACCACACCCCCAGGACAGTGGCTTTTTCCATAGGTGTAGACATTGTTTGGTGAGCATTTGATGTGTCCCGGAAACTGAGATGCCACAGCAGTGCACCCCAAATACTTGCCGGTCCTACTTACCACATCTCCCTAACCGGACATCAGCTCCACCTTCTCAGCGTAAATGTTACAGACACTGCGATTATGCACAAATGCTTCACAGCCAGAAAACATGTTTCTATTTTGTGTGTGTTAAGGGGTTTTGTTTTGGGGGGTTTTTTTGTGGTTATGGGAATTAAATCCAGGACCCCTGCACTGAGCTACATCCCCTGTCTTTTTTTAAATTTTTGAGATGGGGCGTAAGTTACCCAGCTTGGGCTTGAATTTGCAATCCTCCTGCCTCAGCCTCCCAGAGTGCTGGGACCACAGGCATGCACCACCACACCCAGGGAAACTGCATAGTTTTCTCCCCTTGCAGCACTGTCCTTGCTGTGGCATCCAGGAAGAAGGGCTCACAGCAGTAGCCTCAGGTGCTTCATAATGCTAGGTCCCTGGCTGGCCAAGCACTCGGTACAGGCACATAGCAGGCCCTCAGCGGGATCATCTCAGGGACTCCTCGAAGCACCCTCCAGAGTCAGGGCTGAGCTTGTCACCCCACATTTGAAAACCATATGAGGGGCAGTGGCTTGGCCCGAGGCCATAGCTGCCTGACCTGAGGAACCAAGCAGGGGCCAGGGTAGGCGAAGCTGGAGAAAGGCAGGTACCACACATGGATGCAGCCACACTGGCGGGACCACAGCCACGGAGAGACACCACTCAGGGACAGCCCCGGGCTCCGAGAGCTCCCTGGGGGTCCTGGACGAGGGGCAGTGACAGAGGTGATCCGACAGTCCGGGAGTAGGCCTCGTCTCCTCAGGGGAAGGACAGCCTGCCACCCCGGCCAGCCTCCCTGGGCCTCCCCAAATGGCACCTCAGGCACCCCAAGGCTTGGGTTCATCCCTCTTCCTCAGGATTGGGGTAGCGCACACCCTGGGCCCTGTTCCCCTGTGCCACTAGCACAGCTTCCCCTTCTGGAAGCCAGGCAGCGTACCCCCCCATGGGTGACATCAGCACCCGGCCCCACCCCCTGGGGAAGACAGAGCCAGCACTGAAGCCACACGGGGGACACTCCTGCTGCTCTGTCCCCACAGCGACAAAACTACTTCTGCCTGCCACTTCATGACCTTGAACCTCTGTGTCCTGCTCCGGGAAATGGGGACGGGAGAAGTGGCTTCTCAGAACCAGCTGGACTGCACTGATGGAGGGAGGACTCAGAGGAGGTGGCCTGGGCCTTGACACTGGCTGCCCCTGCCTATCCCCAGGTTCTGGCATTTGAGGTTTAGGGGGTGATGTCGAAGGCCACCCCGCCCCAGGTCTAGCAGTGTGACCAGAGCCTGATTGTGGACTGAGCACGGGGCTGGGGGGCTCACACCCACCCAGCAGGTGCCAGGGTTGGCCAAGATCAGCACAGGCAGAGTCCCTTCCCCCGGCAGCAGACTAGTGGAACTGGTCCCCGAGCTGCTCCACCCAGGATGGTCTCCACGTGCCAGGCAGGCACTGTTGGAATTTAATGAATACAATTAACACCACAGCAGCAGGTCTTCTGCAGCACACACAAATGCCCATGGCCGCAGGTGGCACCATTGGACAGTACAAGACAGACATCTCTCTCACCCCAGAGAGCTCTCAGGGCAGTGCTGGCTGGAACACAGGACTCTGGCTTCTGCTCCAAAGGAGACCGGAAGCCACAGGGCTGTTCTAAGGAGTTTGGAGTCCATGGAGATGAATCGCAAAAGCCCAGAAGGCCCTGGTGTGGGGTCATGCAGTGACAAACAACCTGCTCAGTCTCCCCAGTGGTCTGCTAATGAAACAGCATTTTCTCTACTCGTGGTGGTACACAGCTACTCTGGAGGCCAGGCAGGAGGGTCCCAACAAGGCCACACACCGGTAATCCCAGCACTCAGGAGGCTGAGGCAGGAGGATCACTGCAAGTTCTAGGCCAGCCTGGGCTACATAGTGAGTTCAAAGCCAGCCTGGGCTACATAGCAAGACCTTGTCTCAAACAACAATAATTTTTTTAAAAAAAAATTCAAGGCCAGCCTGGGCAACTTCATGAGGACCTGCCTCAAAATTAAAAAATGAAAGGGCAGAGCCAGGGATTTTGCTCAGTGGTTCCAGCACCAGCCTCACAAGCGCAAGGTCCCAAGTTCGATCCCAGGTACCAAAAAAAGATGAAAAGACAGGCCCAGGCCGGGGGTATAGCTCAGCGGTGCCGTACCTTCCTGGCAAGCATAAGGTCTTGAGTTCAATTCCCAGTCCCACACACACACAAAAAAAGAAAAGGTCTGGGAATGTAGCTCAGTAGTACAGTGCCTCTAGGTTCAATCCCCAGGACTGAAAGAAAGGAGCACTTTCTATTTTATCGTTAAATGTACGGAAGCGGGCTGTGTGACTCGCTCCAACAGAAGGTGGGCTTGGCAGCAGGAGCAGAGGTGACCCCCTAGCAAGGCCGGGTATCAGTACCCCACTGCTTGCACATGGCAGGAGGGGGCCACAGGCCCGGAAGAGCGAGAAGCGCGATCAGAGTCTTGGTTCTGGGGAGCCTGTTTTCTGTGCCGGGCCTGGCGCTGGGGACGTTGATCCTGATCCCCGGAAGAAGTGGTGGAAGGACCGAGCCCCCGGCCTGGGGTCGCAGAAGTGTGTCCGGAGCTTTTCTCTGGGCCTGCGCCTCCCAAGCTGACCGCTGAGCTCTCACCAGCAGGAACCACTGGCTCTCGAGGCTGCGGTCACCATGGCGACCAGAGCTAGGCGGGAAGGACCCAGATGGGCCTCTCAATTTCCCCTCCTCGGGAACCATAGTGCCTGAGCCCAGAAAGCCCCCTTCTCCCCCACTCTCGGAGGCCTCTGCCTCCTTAGAGATACGGTGCCCCTTGGCACGTAGTGGCCAGGACAGAGCTTGGGTTTCTGAGTGGAGTTCCTTCCGACTCAGTTACCCCCTATCTAAGCGATCCTGGGCAAATCGCTGAGCCTTTCGGGCGTCTGGATTGTGGAGGTAGCGTGAGCACAAGCCTGAGTCCTCTGCAGGCTCCCTGCAGGCCGCACAGGGTCAGATCTGCCTCTGTCGCCTGGTCCCCTGCTCGCTCTGGGCCTGGTACAGGGTGGATCCGAGCAGCTGCCCTGAGGTGCGTGGAGAGCCCCATGTGCAGCCGTGCTGTTTGTGGCGTGTGTCCATGGTGACACGTACACCCCTGGTACCTGCACCCCCGGTGGGCTCCCGGGGTGCTGGGGACTGCTGTGGATTCTGGAGCTCCGGGAGCTCATCCGGGAGACGCAGCGATGGCTGCTGCTGAGCCGCCCCACCCTGCCCACACCAGGCGACAATTGGGTGACGATCACTGCCTGTCACTGTGCACCACCCTCAGGGCCCTTCCTAGAGCCGCACGTTCTTCCAGCAAAGTCCAGTAGGCAGCACAGGAGAAAAACCCCAGGGCCCCACCCTGTCTCCTCCTCCCCGCCTCAGCCACCCACAGCTACCCCTGAGAAGTCCTGGGGAACCCAGTTTGAAAAGCACGGGGCCAGAGACAGGTGGGGCGATGGTGGCGATGGTGATGCCTGCTACACAGAAGGGCTGGAAGGACTGGAGAATCATAGAGGCATTGCTGGCTCCATGCTACAGCTGGAGAAACTGAGGCTTGAAATAAGCCAGACCTCTGGGTTCCCACCTACCCAAGGTCCTTCCCTGCTCAGTCCCCTGCGATGGGGTCTGAGGCAGGTCCCATTCTGTTGATAAAGGAGAAAACTGGCTCCCGGAAGGGACAGTGCTGGCCCCACAGTCACAGGGCCGCCTCTGTGTCACCCTGCAGAGCTGCCCTCCTCTGAGCACCTGAGTGTGGCTGATGCCACCTGGCTGGCCCTCAACGTGGTGTCCGGCGGCGGCAGCTTTTCCAGCTCCCAGCCCATCGGCGTGACCAAGATCGCTAAGTCGGTTATCGCCCCCCTGGCCGACCAGAACATCTCAGTCTTCATGCTGTCCACCTACCAGACGGACTTCATCCTGGTGAGGGTCGGGGCGCGCACGCACGTACGCACACACTTACGCACACCTCAAACGCATGCGTGCTCCGCCCACCCACGTGACTGATGGCCTCCGTCCTACCCCACCCCCAGGTACGTGAGCGAGACCTGCCCTTCGTCACCCACACCTTGTCGTCAGAGTTCACCATCCTGCGGGTCGTCAATGGCGAGACAGTGGCAGCCGAGAACCTGGGCATCACCAATGGCTTTGTAAAGCCCAAGATGGGTGAGTTGGGCTTAAGCACCAGACTTAACGTGGTGCTGTGACCCTGGTGGGCTCCTCCCATCACGGGCTCGCAAGGCAGGTCGACGTGAGTGCAGCCAGTGATGCCCAGAGGTCCCTTCCACCCCAGCCCCAACCATCGGGTGGCCCCCGGGATCAAGGACTGTGGAGTGAAAGTGGGAGCCCAGTGGGAGCTAAGCTGGGTGGTGACCGCAGAACCCCAGGGGCAGCTGTAGGTGGTGAGGGAGGCTGGAGGGGCAGCGCGCCAGGTGTTGCCAGGCCTGCAAGTGGCCCTGCCCTTGGCCCACCTGGCCTCACCACTGCACTCCACCGTGTCTGTCCCCTCGCAGTCCAGAGGTCGGTCATCCATCCGCTGTCCAGCCCCAGCAACAGGTTCTGTGTCACCAGCCTGGACCCTGACACGCTGCCCACTGTCGCCACGCTCCTCATGGACGTCATGTTCTACTCCAATGGGTAGGGCCCCACCCTTGGCGTCTAGGACACTGCAGCTTGGGCCTAGGGTGAGACAGAGGGGAGAGGTGTGGGCCTGTCCGGGAGCTGGTCTGATGGAGGCGGCTCAGGCTCCCTAGGAGCCCCAGTCTGAGGGGGGAGACGCCCACTCTGGGACTCGCTGGATTTGGTACTGTAGAGGCGATGTGCTCAGATCCCTCTTCCCTGAGTTCCGTGCAGTCCAGCTACATTGAGAGGCCACAAACTCAGGTGTTCTCCCTCAGGGGATAACAGACTTTGCACCCGTCCTCAGAACGGATTTTTCCAAGCTTAGGCCAACACCACGTGGGGTGGGGTAGGTTCAGAGAGCTGGCTGTGACTTCAGCCTGTGCCGGAAGTGTGGACTTGGGACACAGAGGCACAGGCCCTTTGCACGAGGAGACGTGGAGGAAACTCGGGCACAGTGAGGAACGGTGCCCACCCCTGCAGTTGCCAGGGGCATTTGGTGGGGACCCCCCTCACCAGCTCCCTGCCCCCAGAGTGAAGGACCCCATGGCAGCTGGCGAGGACTGCGGCCACATCCGCTTCTTCTCCTTCTCCCTCATCGAGGGCTACATCTCCCTGGTGATGGACGTGCAGACCCAGCAGAGGTGAGTGGGCCAGGCCTGGGCTCCCACATTGTCCCTAGATGAGCCGGGCGATGCCAGCATGGGTGTGCCCCTCGCCCTGGTGTCCTCTGTTCCAGAGCCCTTGCCCAGCACGGTCCCCCTGTCCCCACCCCAGGCGAGAAGGGTGCACAGCCTAGGCGCTGGGAGGGGGCTGTCGGGCAGGGTGCACCCGGAACATCAGCCCTGACCCCCTCTCACCCGGCAGGTTCCCCAGTAACCTGCTCTTCACCAGTGCATCCGGAGAGCTGTGGAAGATGGTGCGAATCGGAGGGCAGCCCCTGGGATTCGGTGAGCCCCGGGGCCCCACACAGGGTGGCTCAGCCCCTGCTGGGTGGAATAAACGGGGAGACTGAGGCTGAAGTCCCCATTCCAAGGGATCCCCTGACCAGTGTGTGATAGGTGTGTGCAGGCGTCCAGCGAATAGGGCAGGCGAAGCAATAGACATCAGTCAGAGGGCTTTTATTTCTCCTAATTCAAAAATTAAGGCCAGGCTGGGCGTGGGGGTACCCCAGGAGGCTGAAGCAGAATTGCAGGAGTTCAAGGCCAGTCTGAACTACATAGCAAGACCTTGTCTCACAAAAAGAAAAAAAAAAATCAAGACCAGCTGTGGTGCTGTGTACCTATAATCCTAGCACTCTGGGAGGCTGTGGGCAGGTAGCTCAGTGCAAAGGTCCTGAGTTCAAGTCCCAGCACCCACCAAGCAAAAAAATAAAAAAGAGTTCCAAGTGAGACAGACACGGCCCGAGCCACACTCCCGCGCACCCACATAGCCCCAGCTCTGCCCATGGTGAGCTCACAGGATGGCAGGGAGGATGTGTGCAGGAACAGGCAAATGGCAGCGTGGTCCCAGCAGCACATGGAGCCCCGAGGGTGGAGCGCGTTGCCGGACAGTGGGTCAGAGATGCCCCGGGAGTCCCTGGAGGATGAGGTACAGGGAGGTGGCATGGGCCGAGGGGACCCAGCCTCATGGAGGTTGAGCTCTGAGCTTTGCCCGGTTTCCCCAGACGAGTGTGGCATCGTGGCCCAGATCTCTGAGCCCCTGGCTGCGGCCGACATCCCCGCCTACTACATCAGCACATTCAAGTTTGACCACGCGCTGGTGAGTACCCGGTGGGCTGGGCCGGGCTGGGCCGGGCAGAGCCGGGAGGGCAGCATCTCCAGCTCATGGCTCTGCTTCTGGCCCACAGGTTCCCGAGGAGAACATCAGCGGGGTGATCAGCGCCCTGAAGGTCAGCCAGGCCGAGAAGCACTGATGCCCTCACTCCCCGCTGCCCTTCGTGTTCTTGCAGTATTTCTCCAGACTGGAAGAGCGGCCTAGGGACACTGCCCTGAGGGCCAAGGCCTCCCAGGAGCCCCATCCCTTGGAAAGGGACCTGCCTCCCCCACCTCCCCTGGAAAATGGCGTCTGAGGCCCCGGGGCCTGGGGAACAGCCCCACCTCCTCCTGGGGCTGTTTTTGGGGGGCTGGCAGAGCCAGGCTGGGCAGGTGGAGCCCTTGGTGGCCTCCGAGAGGTGGGGGGCTGAACAGGGTGGTTGCTGATCCCCGTTCTCGGGGCTCAAGGCGGGTTCCCCTGGAGTGGAGGCTGGTGGGCCACCCTGCCCCCGCCTGCCAGCCACAGGGCCTGCACCCCATCTCAGCACGACTGCCAAGAGGGCCCTGTCCGTACCTCCCACCCTAAGCACTCACCCCGGGGGCCCACCAGCTCGGCACACCAGCTTCTCTGTCCTCTGCTTTCCTGGCCCCTCCTCGGGTGGGCAGAGCCTTGGTTTCCCCCCAGCAGGGGCTTCCCCAGCAGTCTTCACCTGGGGTTTCTTAGGTCACCCCAGCCTCCCTGACAGTCAGCTAGACCAGCACAGGGCTCCCCACTGGCCTCCCCATCTGCACCCCACATTTGGGGGTTACGGGTGGCCACCACCCGCCTGCCTGCCTGCCTGCCCTGACCCCTGGGGCTGGGCATTCACAAGTACTTGACCTGGGAGGCAGCTTAACTGAGCCTTAATAGAGAAAATCATACTTTGTTTTAGATTTTTATTTAACGTATTTGCAGTTGTGCCTGGGCTGCTGCCGTTGGCTGTCATTTTTTTTCTTGAGGTGGGTTCTGACCGAGTTCTCCCCAGGGACACAGGGCTCAGCGCCACTGGGGGCCCTGTGGGTCCAGGGACAGGCATGGACACCAGAGCTGGCACAGGGTCCCAAGGCTGTGTGCTGTCCCGGGCGGAGCTGAGGACGGGGGACTCCTGCTCTCCTGGGAGAGCCCTTGTGTGAGCAGCTCCTGCTGCTCCAGCCAGGCGGACAGGCCTGGAGGCCCCCTCACTCGGAACTGCAAGCCATCCTTGCAGGGCCCAGCATGCTAAGTAGAAACCCACCTTCCTGCTTGGTTTTTAAGTTAATTCATTTTGCACAAAATCCCCAAAGCAACCAAATCTCAATTGTTTGCTGGTCCCAAAAAGGAGGTGGCTGAGTGGGCAGGGCTGTGGTTGCAGCCCCGAATCCCCTTGCTGTCCGTAGAAGGCCTTTATTTTCTGGGGAGCCCCTCTCTGCACCCCTTTCCGTCTGCTTCCTTCCTACCGGGCCAGTGCGTCAGCTTGGTGTCCCCAGTCATGTAGCCCCTAGACTTCTAGGACTGTCTGTTGTACACACCTATAAATATCTGTTTTATGTTGATATATATATATATATATACATATATATATATATACACACACACTGTAAATAGCATCTATACTTGAGCAATATATATGGTAATATATTCTGTGTGCACAGGGTGCGGGCACAGACCCCCCCACACACAGACCTGTGTGTGCATGCGTGGGTGCGAGGCCCCGTCCCACTGTGTCGGCTGTGCACACTGACAGTGTTGAGCCACCGCGTATTCTTGAGTCTATAGGCAATATGATTATGCGACATCAGTGGGTCCCGCGGGCCTCCCTGGAGAGACGACAAAACCAGCAGCCCACAGCGCATGCTACAGGGTGGCGTGGAGGCCCAGGCGTGTCCTGGATCTGGTTTCCCCACCACCACTCTCCAGCCGAGGCCCCTGGACACCTGTGTCCATTTGGAGGGGGACATTAGTTGGAGGAGCAGTTGGGACTTGTTTTTAACAGAGCGTCCCCTCACGGGGTCAGTTGAGCACCTGCCCTGGCACATGGCCACACCCGGCCTTCCCTCCTTGGATGGATGGCTCCTTTCCTGGTGGCCCCTTACCTGGTTTCTTTTTATCCGCAAGCTTAGAAATGCAGGTCCTTCGCCCAGGCCTGCTCCTGGGGACTGGCGTCATCTGTCCCCAAACAGCACAGGTGACTGACTGCTGTGTCTGGGAAGGGGCTGGGCGAGGGCCCCACTGCCCCCAGCACCCTGCTCCCTGGCCACAGGGAGCCCCTGCTCCCCCCCCGCCCCCCCGCCATTACTTGTGGGAGGGAGCACACTTCTGTTCTCTGTGTGTGGTGTAGTCGAAGCATGGTCCCCAAAGCCCTGGCCAGGGGCTCCCAGGGGCCGCCAGCCCTTGACCTTTCCCTCCAGACCTCCCTGGAGGCCATCTGTACCTGGACCCCTGAAGGGCTGTTAGTTCCCCCTGGGACCTGCATGCGCATGCAGGTCAGACAGAGGTGCGCGGGGGTGGGGGGAGAGGACGGTCTTGCAGTGCAGTGGCTGGGGACACAGTCTGGCGTGGGGTGACCAGGCTGGATCCACCCCAGCGTGGGGTGTGGTCTCCACCTCTCTAATGAGGAAAGCACCACGTGTGGACTCCGCCCTGACCTCTGCCCTCGTCCCTTCCCTGTAGCAGACTGTGAGGAGCCCAGGATGAGTTCACAGGGACAGGGGTCCCTAGCCATGACCCTGTAACAGCCCCTCCCCAGGATTTCGGGGGCCCTGGGCACCACCCACCAGCCCAGGCAGCAGGTCCCCTGGGGAGGAGGAGTGGGGGATGTGACTGTCACGCACCTGGCCTCAGTGCCCAGCAGGAGGGCCCTTGTCTGGGGACCTGGTCCCTGTGAGGGACACAGGGTGCCAGGGGGGCGAGGAGGTCCAGAGAGGATCAGGACAGATGGAAGGGGCCCCAGTCCAAGCGCCGCAGCCGCAGCCTGCTGGGTGATTTTCAGAGGGGTTCAAGCCACCTGCCACACTTCCCTGGCAGACCTTTGGAGTCCCCAAGGTCACCCTGGGCCACCTTCCAAGCCTCTTGGCTGGACCTGGGCTCTTACCCTCAGCTAGGAGAGGGGATTCGGGACACTCCCAGGCCGCCGCAGCCCTGTTGTGACAGAATTTGCTGTCCCATTTCTGAGCGAAACAGGGAGGAAAGAAGAACCCCACCACTGCCCACGGGGAGCAGGGGGCCACATGGCTGGTGAGCGGGCATGGATGGGGGTCTTCAGTTTTGGGGGTTTCCCGAGGTGCCGTGGGCAGGCAGGGTCACCCATGGAGGGACAGGGCGGCCGGGGAGGAGGGAGCCCTGGCAGCTAGATAGCCTGTCCTGCGTTTCCAAGCTCATCCCAGGTATTTTTCTTTCCTTTTGAAGGTAGAAGCAGCAAAACCACAAGCCCAGCCGTCCCTGTCCCTCTCCATAGACAGAGGGTGGAGGCCGCCCTCCTGGGAGGTGACGCTGGCGGGATGGGAGGGCTGTGGCTCTTGGTGCCAGAGGAGGGTGGCCCGGCCCTCGGCATCAGGACACTGCCGTACGTGGTTCTTACGCATGTGTGTGAGCATGAGTGTGCGCGTGCGTGTGCGGGGCCCGGCTTGGCTCATTCAGTAGAGTCCATGGGCCACATGGACCCAGGTGACCAGGTGGGGACACCCAGCTGGCTTCAAGGCAGAGGGTGGGGTTGCCTGGGTAGGGGTCCCCATTTGAAACTGTGGAAGGGCAGAGGTGTCCCTAGCCCGGGCCTGGACGTCCATGCCGCAGCCGGGCCTGGCTGGGCCTCCCTGTGCAGTTGCCCCGGATCACCCCCGTATTCACGGGGGCAGGTTGTGGGCTGGGGCCCGAGCAGACGGCAGAGCCCAGCAGGCGAGCAAATGCAGGCCAAGCCCAGTGTGTTTCTCTTTCCACTGCCTCAGTTTACCTGTAGAGAAAATGGCCCAGGAATAGTTGGATGGGGTTGGCTCCAGAACAGGAAGGGAGTGAGATGAGAAATAACCCCAAGCCCTCTTGCTCTATGCCAAAATCATTTCCGTTATCCTAAGATGGGGGGGTGGAAGGGGTGCGGGGTGCTCCTGCCCTCGGCCCCCTCGCCTGCACCTGGCGTGCCATGTCCAGGTCACCACCAGCAGCCCTGGTGCGTCAACCCCCAGGCCTGGGTGAAGGGGACAAGTGGCCGGCCTGGCCCACCCCTGGGGCCCTCACGCTTATTTTCTTTGTCAAACATAGAACCTTCAAAATTCACGTACTGTATGATGGAGAGAAAAAAGTACCTAATGTTCCCCCCAAAAGACAGTATATTTTGTACTTTGTAAAGTGTTCATTAAAATGAAGGAGAAAAAATGACACTGGCTGATGACTGTCTGGTTTTGTGTAGGTTTATCTGAGGGTCTTCTCTTCCCCTTTCTCCACGGTGGGGTTGGGGAAACAAAAGGCCTGGAGGTATTGCAGTCCCAGTCTGAGAAACAATCCCCTGGAGCGAGAGGGATAGTGTCTGTCACCTGCTACTGCAGAACACGTTGCCTGCAACTTCGTGGCTTCAGGTCATCGTTATTCACATAGCACAACCTCCAGGGGCAGGGAACTTGAGGGCAGTTGGCTCAGCTGTGCTGGCTTAGTCACTCCTGAGGTTTGGAATCTTAGTCCATTTTCTGTTGCTATAACAAAGCACCTGAAGCTGAGTACTTTACGAAGGAGAGATTTTGGTTTTTGCAGTGCTAAGGATTGGGCCCCTGTACATGCTGGGCAAGCGCTCACCACGAGTTCCTCCCCAGCAGAAAAGAGGCTTATTTGGCTCATGGTTTTGGACATGAAGAGGTCCAAGATGGGGCGGCCCTGTCTGCATCACCATCTGGCACGTGGCACCCCAGTGGTGGCAGGTGTGGAAGGAACAATCATGGCCAGAAGGGAAGCCAGCAAGGCTGCAGGGCCAGCCAGGCTCACAGGAACTAACAGGGTCCCTGAGAATCCCTGAATCCTTCCCAGGGACAGCACCCACCGCCGTCTCAAGGGCCTGACTCCTAAAGCAGTCGAGAGGTCAGATGTGGTGGCACACGCCTGTGATCCTAGCACTTGGGAAGCTGAGGCAGGATGATCACAAGATTGAGTCCAGCCTGAGCAACTTAGTGAAACCTTGTCTCAAAATACAAAATTTTAAAAAGTGCTGGGGATGCAGCTCAGTGTGAAGACTCTGGATCCAATCTCTGTAGTGGCAAGGGAAAAAACTCCAGAGCCCCACCACCCGCTATGTCTGCGAAAACCCCTGTGGGTGTGACCAGGCCCGGCCCCAGCCACCACCCTGCCACGCACTCAGCAGTTACCAGGTGTCCTGGTCCTGCTGTGGCCACTTCAGAGCCCACCAACCACAGGACCGGAAGGGAAATGAGCTTTCCATTTGTGGGAACCTGGCTGTGTCACTGCAGGACCCCTGGCTCCACCCTAACACCTTGTGTCACCAGTGGAGCAGAAATGTCCCCCATGGCGCTCGCCCTTCAGAACCGGGGCTTTTCGGGTGACGAATCACACAGACCCCACCTTCATCATACGAGCCCAGTAGTGACTCGACGCTGGGGCTGGTGGAGGTGAGGTCGCAGGTGTGGCCTCTGGGACATCTGGCCCCTGCTGTCCCCACCGTGTCCCTTCGGCCATGAAGCCAGCACCTCCTCTGCCAGGCCCTCCCCAGCATGAAGCCGAGCGGCCGAGCTGCTGGGACCTGCCAGGGGAACCTCTCCTCTTCCGTCTGCACCCTTCCGTCCCCAGGGATTTTTATCACAGTGACCCGTGCCCCCTGTCCCACTGCCTCTCCACGGCCATCTTACTCAGTGTTCACACTTCTGCCCTGGATGAGCTGCCCACCAGGGACTGCTGTCACCACAGGACCCTAAATGACACGCAGTCCCAGCACCTGAGACCACACCAGTCTGCTCAGGATGAACTGGGCACAGCAGGTGGTGCATGGGCCTAGTTGGTGGCGGGTCTCAGGAACAGGAGACTTATGGACAGTCCTGTCCTCCATGGCGGCCCTCACTGGCTTCTAGTTGTCTCTTTACCAAGCTCCTTCTTTTAGAAAGCTACTCTCTCAGTGATCAAGTAAAAACAAAATTTTCTTTTAAGACAGGGCCTCGCTATGTAGTTCAGGCTGGCCTTGAACTCACTGTGTAACCCAGGTGGGCCTCAAACTTGCAGTGATTCTCCTGATTCAGCCTCCCGAGTGCTGGAATTGAAGGTGTGTGTCACCATGCCTGGCTCAAGTAAAAATTTTAAAAGACCACTTCAGTTCCTAAGCCAGTAGAAAATAGACTTTATTCCAAAAGAGATTCTTAAACACTGTTTATAAAGGAAAAGATAAGTTACGTTTCTGACTCAAATGTTTTTCACAACTTAGGATCTTTCCTGTCCATGGCTGAGGCTCCAGCCAGGCCTCCACAGCTGTGTCGGGCCTGAAGCTTCCTCCTGTAGGGGCTCCTCAGCCTCACAGGGTCCTGAGAGCCCGACCAGGCCGCGGGCGAGGCAGCCATGCACACACTGCAGCTCCTCACAGAGTTTCTGGCTGCTGGGTCCACCAGGGGACCTGAGGATGGCAGTAACCAGGCACGGTGGCGAGCAGGGGAGGATGAAAGCCCCAGCCTGAGGCACACACTGAGCTCGCCGTGACAGAGACAAATGCCTTCCTGAGCAGTGTGGCGAGGCCACCTTCTGAGACCAACAGAGACTGGCATTCCAGGAGGGAAGGGACACCAGCATGTGTCACCAGATAGGGTGACTGGTGCCAGCTGTCCTCACCAGCAGTGCAGTGGCCTCGACTGCTCCAGAGCGGGGCCACTGTGGGCAGCCATCCCGTGTGCTGAGCGCTTGGGTCACTCCCTGGGCAGGAGGAGGGGCCATGTGCCCATGACTCCCCACAGCACCCGCCGAGGGCATCAGGAGACCGAGCACACAGGGCCACCCAGGCGGACTGTGCTGTGTCACTGCTGCTGTGGCTCAGGCCAGGGCCAGCCTGGAGCAGGCTAGGAAGGGGACTCAGATGAAGGACTTGGCCAGCGTCACCATGTGGTCCACACCGCACGCCATGTCCACAGGCTCCCCGGGCATTGTCACCTGGAAGAAAATCCCGGTGCCACGCAGGCATGAGGGAGAAAGCTCGCTGCAAGGCGGGTGGCCTGGCTGCCCATCAGCACCCAGGCCCTGAGCCAAGGCTGGATGTCCACCGGGCCAGCGGCAGCAGTCCTGCAACCGGCAGTCCACTCCCTGCCACCCACAGCGGCCACGACTGCTCATGCTCTCCTGAGAGCCCAACTGGGCTGCATGCACAGCCTGGCCTGTGCCTGTTCCAGGGCCACACCCTTGGGCCAGGTGCTGGGGACACTGCCCGAGCTCCTGGAGCAGCTCAGGAGCCCTTACTCCTTCCTGCCTGGTGGCTCCAGTCCCTTCACCCCCAACCCCACTGGGGCCTCAAATCCTGGCTGTGTCTCAGACCACACCAGGGCCTCGATGCACTGCGCCCACTCTGCCCATCTGGGCGGACATGTCCTGAAGGCCCAGCAGGATGCCCTGCCCCATGGCGACTGGAGCTAGTGGAGCCTTTGGGCAACTGCTCTCCAGGGCGTTCTGTCCCCTCTACAGGTCACCATGACTGTCCCCAGGACCAGGGCACAAGCATCCACACGGCTGTGATGAGAGGTGGGGAAAGCTCATGCCACCCTGCCATCTTCTGCCCAAGTCTGCCTCCCTCTCAGCTGGAAACTAACTGCATCCTCATGGCCTTACAGGGGGTCCTCAGTGTGTGTGCGTGTGGTGGTGGTGGGGTACTAGGGACTAAACCCTGGGCCTGTGCACTGAGCTACATCCCTGGCCCTTTTTTTTTTTTTTTTTTAATTTTGAGACAGTCTGCTGGACAAGTTGCCCAGGCTGGGCTCAAACTTACAATCCTCCTGCCTCAGCCTCTCAGCGTGCTGGGATTACAGGCGTGCACTACCACACACACCTGACCTCAAGAACCTCAAGAACCTTCTACAGGTTCTTGATGCAAAGGCAGATGAATGCCCCTCTCACTCTTCCTAAGTGACAAGTGTGAAAGCAGTGCCCCACGTGGCTGGGCCCTCAGACCCACACTAGGACACAGATGCCTGCCCCACTGAGCAGACCCAACCCCACCGTCCTCCCTCAGCGGCAGCACTCAACCCGGTGGCCTCAGGGCTGGCAAGGGCACAGTGCCCACTGAGCAGCCTGCTGAGCGCTAAGCCAGGCACCCTGGCCTGGAAGTGCAGAGTGGGGGACGCTGCCCCCCCTCCCTCCACACCTCTGGCTGGGGAGACCAGGCTGTTAGGGACTCGGGGCTACCAGGCAAACGGAGGGGAGGGCTCGGGCCACACCACTCCCGCTCCCCAAACACACAGCCTTAGCAGAACCTGTCACAGAAAGCGCCCTGCAAACACGATCACCCGTCGCTGTGGAGGGCGCTCCGAGGTAGCCCTGCAGCAGCAGCAAGACGTGCTGCCACCGTGGTGACACGCAGGTGGGCCTTAGCAACTACCCGGGCCATTAGGGACACAGTATTTACCTTCCCTCGGGAGAGTGCCTGGCTCGGCATGCATCTGGGCCCCACCCTCGGCCCTTCAGCACCTATGTCCTTGTCCCCGAGTGGCTTGGCCCCTAGAGCCCAAAGCACTATGGGCCTCTCTGCCTCTGCACCAGCCAGGTCAACAGCAGCGCTGAGGCCTCTGGGAGGGCGCTCGGCAGGTTCTGGCTCCCCCTGGCGGCTCCGGCTCAGGGCTGCATCCAAGTCAGAAGGGTCAGCCCTGCTCTTTCTGCCAATCCGCGCTCCCTGACCTCCGCGGGGACAGCTGCACAATCAGGTCTCCATGTCACCCGAGCGACCCTCCGAGAGGGGCAGCTTATTCTCCACAGCGACCAGGCCCTAAAGCAAGTGGCCACCCTCTGCAGGCACAAGACGGCAGAACTGGGGGTGCAGAGCTGCAGGCGCCGCCCAATCGTCCCTGGGTAACAGAGGTGGGTAGGGGTGGCCAGGCCTGGGAGGCCTCCTGACTGCACAGCACCCTGCTTGCTTGTGCCGAGGCCCTGGAGATCCAGGGCCATGGTGGTGGCCGTGTGAGGGGAGCTGGAAGTCAGAGGCCTCCCACGAGGTCCTCACGGGGAAGCCCAGTACACAGCAGAGCTGGGCCAGTGTGGGGCCAGCCCTCGAGTCCACACTGCACCCTCCGAGGAGGCCGCTCACAGCCCCACTCCTGTCCCTGGTGCCCAGCCTGGGTCACAGGGGAGCCAGAAAGCCGCGGATTGGCCTGGTCTCACCGAGCAGCACATCCATCCCCAGGGCTCCTGGAAGGAGAGGGCTGCAGCAGGCCTGAGAGTGACCCATAGCGGTCCCTACACGTTCCCATGGTCCCAAGGGGCATGGCAGCAGTGGGGTGGCACAGCCGCTCACCTCCTGGTGCCCAGGAAGCCAAGAAGGAGGAGGGCAGGGCCCGTGCTCCAACCCTGCGCCCTCTCAGCACTCAAGGGCCACCTCGCCTGGTACACCTTCCCTTCACCCAACCTCTCCAGCCCCAATCCAGAGGGGACGAGAGGACAAAGGACCAGCACAAACCTCAGGGCTCACCAGGTGCGCAAGGGGAAGGAGGACGGCTGGGTGTCCTCCCCAGGGCACACGGGCAGCACGAGGCCAAGAGGAACATAGCGAGTGGGAGCGGAGAGGCACACTCTGAGCCACAGGGGTGCCAGCCCTGCACCCTGCCCAGTGGCCAACCTCCCTGTGTCGCCTGGGAGGGTGACACGCTCTGGTCTGCGGAAATGAAGGCTGAGCCAGGACCCTTGTCAGGGCACCACCAGGGACCCTGCTGCTTCCAGTTTCCCAAGCTCCCCTCAAACACAGCGAGGACACGACGAGCACAGAAGACGGAATTCGTTGAGGGCCAGCAGCCCAACTTCCTCCACACCGCCATCCCCAGGTCAAGGGGCAGGGCAGCCCCAGTGTCGCTGGGCAGGAGACTCAAGGGCAACGCACTTCTAACAGCTTCAAGCCTCCACTTCAGCCAGGCATGATCCTGTAATCCCAGCACCCTGGAAGGCTGAGGCAGGAGGATAACAAGTTCAAGGCCTGTCTGGATTACATACCAAGCCTCCCAAAATTCTGACTTGCTCTCTCAGAGTGTATCTGCAGTGTTTAGTAAGGGAGCCTGGGCCTGCTGAGATCTGGAGAAGCAGCAGACAGTGAAGGGCTGACAGAAACAGTCCCTAAAACACAGTGTTCCAGGACCGTTAGCAGTGGGGCTTTGAAAGGTTCATGTATTATCTAAATTACACAAGTCTTTGCATTTTTACAAGTACTCTTAAGAAATGCCTGGGCTGGGGATTTAGCTCAGTGGTTCTGCCGCTTGCCTCACAAGCACAAGGACCCGAGTTCAATTCCCAGTACCAAAAAAAAAAAAAGAAATGCCTTTCACACTGGGCATAGTGGTAGAGACTTATAATCCCAGCACTCTGGGAGGCTGAAGCAGGAGGATTGCAAGTTTGAGCCCAGCCTGGGCAACTTAGTGAGACCCTGTGTCAAACAGAAAAGAAAAAGTACTGGGGATGTGGCTGAGTGCAAAGGCTCTGGGGTTCAATGCCCAATACAGACAGGAAGGAAGGAAGGAAGGAAGGAAGGAAAATTTCATAATTTTCAAAACACATCATCGAGCCTCCCATAAAAATACATATGTACACAAACACACATACACACACACACACAGGTGCACACACTCCTGGCAGAGATGGTGCCCAGAAGGGAACTTAAGCAGGACCCTGGCTGCCTCTGGAACAAGGCCCAGACGGCAGAAACCTGTGTTCCATAACACACTTGTACCACGCACAGATGTTCTGTATTCAGGAAGAACAAATAACTTCTCTTAGAATAACCTGAAGGCCTGACTTAGTAAACAATGCTAAGATGAACTGCAATTTGAGAACGAACCTCTTTCCCTTCTGAGTGTGAAATGAGATACCTTCGTTCTCAAATTTATATTTCTGCCGCAGCCTCCCGAGTGCTGGGACTGTGGCTGAAACGGGCTCCTTGCCCTGCCCCTGGGGAAGCCGGGATCCCTGTCTGACGGAACAGCCAGCAGGCTGCTCTCTGCAGTTCCTGGCATGGGCTCCGCACCCTCTCCCAACCCCCCACACCTGCCGGGCTCCTGTCCCCCTGCCCCTGGTCCCATCCCGAGGAACACTGGGTGGGCCAATCCCTCCCGCTGTGCCCTCAGCCGGCCCAGAAGGGAGCGGACCTCGCCGAGTGAAGGGCCAGTGCCCGTGAGGTCCCTGCAGCCCCGTGTCGCCGGCGGCCGCCATCAGGTGAGCCACCAGGCCTGACAGTCCTTACCCTCCATGGGAAATACTGGTCTTCCAGGCGGCCGATCCCCAGGCAGCCGCGGACGTTCTTGCCCCACACGAACAGCTCACCTTTGTCTGCAAAGGAAGGAGAGAGGCGTAGGGACTGCACAGAGCGCATCTCCCCGGAGAGTCAGCTTCCCGGCGCCTGCTCACCCTCAAGCAACATGCACACCGTGCCATCCGTCAACCCTGCCCTCCACATCCCCCACCAGGGCTTCTGGACCACAGGAGAGTGGTCTGCTATTCCCTGTGTGGGTTTCCACCTTCGGGAGCACTCGGTCAGGTGACAGTTACTGGGTCCTGACTCTGACAGGTCTGCGCATTTTCTGGGAGCTGGGGACAGGACGTTGACAGGGCTTGAGCCAGCCCAAGAGCTACAAATAAAGAAATGATCAAACCGACAAGCACGCGGCTACGAAGCCTAAGAAGCGCCCAAAGAGGAGGCCATGGTGCTCTGAAAGTGAGCTATGCCATGGCTTCAGTTTGGCTTGTGGCCCACAGTTCCTGGGATGGACACCTGGTCCCCACCGTCCCAGAGCCAAGAGGGGTGGGCCCTGAAATCAGGTCACGGCTCCGCCCTCACAAAGAGGCCCGTGCTGTCCTTCGGGAGTTGTGCTTCTCTTCCACACACGTAGTTCCCCCACTGGGGACTTTCCAGCCTCCCTGATTGCAAGCCGAAGAAAAGCTCTTTTCTCTAGAAATCACCAGCCCCAGGTCTTCTGTCCCAGCAGCAGAAAACGGACTAAGCTGTGGCAGGACACACCGCCGGCCAGGGCTCTGGGAAGCAGTCCCCTAACCCGGCCCCAGCTCAAGTCCCCGCCGTGGCCTGGACCTTCCACCCGCAGCCTGGCACGAGGCTCAGGTGTGGGAAGCAGAGAGAACAGCAAACGCTCACAGAGGGGCAGAACCGACCCTGCAAGGCCCCTCTCATTGGGCCATCACAGGGAATAGCAGATCCCCCTCCTGTGGTCCAGAAGCCACTGGGGGCTATGGAGAGCAGGGCTGACCGAGGGCATGGTGTGTGGGTTGCTTGGGGGTAAGCAGGCATCAAACATTCACCATAAAAACAAAACACAGACTCGGACTCGGGTGCTCTCGGGCTTTTGCCTCAATGCCAGGCCACCCGGGACTCTGCCAGGCAGGAAGCCATCACCAGGACCGAGCAACACTGGCTCCCGGCCTTACAACCTCTAAAACCACGCACTAAATAACCCTATTTAAAAAAAAAAAAAAGGAAAGAAAACAACTTAAACTAAAAAATAAAAACCAGCTGTGGATGTAGCTCAGCGGCAGGGTGCTCGCCTAGGATGCGTGAGGCCCTCGGCTCCATCCCCAGCACCAAAATGAGCAGATGAATAAAAGAGGGGCCAGGGGAGTAGCACTTGCCTGGCATGTGCAGGCCCTGGGTCCAACCCCCAGCCCCCAAAAAATAAGTAAAGAGAAAAAAATTAAATAAAAAAGAACGTTAAAAACCCGCAAGACTGAAGACCCCCCTGCATGTGGTGGAGCTGCTGTGGCCGGGCGCTCGCAGTCCCAGCAGAGGTCGGGCCCTAGGCACGGGCCTCATGGAGCAGAGGACCCAGGACTCAAAGGGGGACAGCCCAAGCCCAAGCGGACTGTGTGGCCCAGATGCCCAGAGAGAACACTCAGCATGAGGCAGATGGACTCTTCAATGGCAAGACACAGCTAACTTACTTGAGGGTCACAAAAGTGCAACTAATGCCACACTCTGTTCCAGTGACGGAGATCAGCAGTGTGACCTGCACAGGACCCAGGAAGACCAGGTATCGGGCATCGAACTCAGGACCTTGCGCTTGCGCTTTCGAGGCAGGAGCGTCCCACTGAGCTACATCCCCAGCCCTACACACTCATTTCTTCACTCCCCACCCATGGATGTGCCAAACCTTAGCGCTTTCCCCTGGCCCTGGCCCTACCCTTCTCCTGCCACCAACCCGTGCCCACTTGAGCCCATTCACGGCCACACTGGCCAAACCACAAACCAAAGGAACTGAAAACCAAATTCCAGGATGAAAAAGAAGCTCATGTTCTACAACCTCAAGCCAAGCAACTTCTGCATCTCCCCGCAGTGCCAACTCACTGGACAGACAGACAGACGGATGCCAGGAGCAGCCCATGGCCCGGTCACTTACTGGTCAGGGCAGCGAAGTGGCTGAGTCCACATCGAATTCGGGAAACCTGGACATCTGGGCTGAACTCCGTCAGGCCGAAGAGCGTGGGTGGAATCATTTCTGGGACAGCAGTTTCCACAAGCTTGGGTCCTTTCCCAAGAATTCCGTAGCCCCAGACAAAAACGGAGCCTTCTTCTGCATTACAGGAAAACAACAGCCATCAAGTCAGACCCAATGGAACCCTCCCCCGCCAGAAAGCAGACCGTGCCACCCACTCCCGTTACATCCATGTAGCCCTGGGGAGTTTTCCCTGGCATGGCCATGACGCACTGACAGGGATTTGAAATAATCCTCTCTGTCCTGCTCCAATGCTCGCCTGCAGTCTGTCTGGCCAGTTAGCCAGCTTCAGGGCACAAACTTCCCACATCCTGACAGGAGGCACAGAGAGCCGGGGGCCAGTTCAAAAATCACCCAGAAAACCCCCATGGACTCAGGAAAACTCCCGATAGCTCTAAGTGGCACACTGCTCAGAAAACCACGCCAAACACACAAGCAATCTCTGGCCAGACTCTTAGGACTTTACCAGGCCCGAGTGCAGGAGACCGAGCCCAGGGCCGAACACAGGCCAGGCAAGGGCTCTCCCAGCTGCCCAGCCTCGGATAGAGCAGGACACCAAGGCCCTAGGCTCAACCTCCCCACATCAATGTGATCCTCAATGGTGACAATAGGTGGGCGTGGGCCTCAGTATCTAAGATCTACCTGCCTTTTCCTTCTTTTTCTTTTCTTTTTTCACTTTGAGACAGAGTCACACAAAGTCACTAAGCTGCTCAGGCTGGGCTTGAACTTGTGACCCTCTGGCCTCAGTGCCTTTTATTTCCAGCTGGAGGAGAGGAATGAAGTGGCTCGTGCCCATGCCTGAGGTCCCCACACAGCATGCCGCTGTCTTCCCGTCCCCCACACTGGCCTGGGAGCCCTGACCTCGTCCCCACCTCTGTCCTGCACTGCACACCGGTCACTGCCAGAAGGGGCCTCACCGTTTAGCACGGCACAGCCTGTACCGCCACAGGCCACCTGCTTCACCTTCCCCACTCCAGAGAAGGGCAGGCTCCGGGGGACGCTGACCTACATCAGAGACGGTCAACGGTTAGGACAGAGGCCAGGGAGAACCTGCTCCCTCACTGCGCAGCTAACACGGGGAGGGGCTGCAGCACAAGCGAGGGACCCGGTTCCCACCCTTGGACAGTCCTGGGTGTCTCCTGGGCTAGCAGAGGAGGTGGCTGTCACTCCAAATTCACATCAAACGGTGTGGTGGCGATGCCTATAATCCCAGCACTCAGGAGGCTGAGGCAGGAGGACTGCAAATTCGAGCTCAGCCTGGGTCACTCAGCATTTAGTGAGACCCTGTCTCAAAATAAAACATAAAAAAGGAGAAAGTAGCCAGTGAGAAGGCCCTGGGTTCCATCCTCAACACCACAAAAAGCAAAGGCAAAACCAAGACCACATCAGCCTCTCCCAGAGAGCTCCCCATGACTCAAGTCTGCCGCGTGATCCCCCCTTGTGCTAGGGCCAGACCTAGTGACCTGACTGTGGGGAATAATTCCAGCCCAAGCAAGGGGCTGTCACGTGCAGGACTGAAGGGGAACACGTAGGGGCCGGCCCTCTCCGTGCTGGGGGGGACGTAGGAAGGTGCCCCCCGGCCCGCCCGGCACAGGGCCCTCCTCCTAGCAGAACCCTAAGGTGATAGTAACTTCAGGGACTCACAGCCACAACACCCAGCTGAGCACTGCTGGGCCCTGGGATCTGAGAAGTGCATGGGGTTTAACCCACCAGGTCTTGGGGTCACCGACCAGGAAGCAACAGATCACGGTGACATGACAGGAAGACCACCAGACGTGTCCCCAGGTGCTGGGAGAGGGGAAGCAGCTCCCTTCTGAACACACCCACGGCTCATCAGAGAAACCCTGGGTTACACTGCCTTCTGCTTTGGCTCCAAGGAGTGCAGAGCCACTGTGCACTTCTGGCCAAGGAAAGCTATTCCCACAGCATCAGCTGACTTCAGTTTGTCTTGGGGCTTCATCTCCAGGGTCTCGCTGTGTACCCAGGCTGGCCTCGAATTCTCAGCAACCCTCCTGCCTCAGCCACCCAAGTGCTGGGGTGACAGGCGTGCACCACCACGCTGGGCTGTCTCTCTCTTGGAGACACTGAAGGCTTTCTGGGGGACACATGCAGGGGAGGACACATTTCACTGCAGCCCATCTGGGCCCTGGAGCAAGGCCAGGAAGCAGCTCTGCTACAACAGCCTGGGCTGAGCTGTGCCCTGAGCTCTGGCCTGGCAAGGACTGCCTGGCGCTGGCCTCTGGGTGCTGTACCTGTGTGGAGTCTGTGATGGACGCCAGCTGCAGGTACTCAGAGTTTCCCCACCCGAACACAGCTCCATCCGCCGACACAGCCAGGCAGCAGTCGCCGTAGGTGGCCACCTGGAGGACCTCCACTCCAGCAAGGTCTCCGCCCAGCTTGGTGGCCGTGCTGGTGACATTGTAGTGACCCAGACCTAGCGAAGCAGTAAACACTTCGTTATTCACCCTTCCTGCCAACTTACTGGGACCTGCGACAAGGCAGGCATAGTTGGAAGCACTCAAAACATCAACTCAGAAATCCTGAACTGTTCCTGTGTGCCCACACCTTCCTTATCTGCATGTCCTCAGAGAAGAAAAAAGGACACAGTCATGACTGGTACATTTTTAAAAACCCCAGGACCGGGGATTTAGCTCAGTGGTTTCGCTGCCTGCTGCGCAAGCGCAAAGACCTGAGTTCGATCCCTGGTACCAAAAAAAAAAAAAAACCCCCCGGAGCCAGCCATGGTGGTACATGCCTATAATCCCAGCATCCTGGGAGGCTGAGGCAGGAGGATTGCAGCCTGGCCAACCCAGACTTATCAAGACCCTGTCTCAAAAAATAAAAAAGAGCTGGGGCTGCAGCTCAGTGCAAAGGCACTGGGCTCAATCCTCAGTACTGAAAGAAAAAAGAACCCAGGACTTCAGGTCTGCTGAGGATGCTTTCTTGGCTCATTTCTGGACAAAAGATCAGCATTCCCCAAAGGTGTGCAAGGTCCCCACAGTGCACACAGCCTCAGGTCACACGCCCCAGACCGCACGCATCCGGGGCACAAGCACTACCTGTCTGCCCGTCGGCGCCCCAGCCGCAGGAGTAGACTTCACCCCGGTCCGTGAGGAAGAGACTGTGGTCCTGCCCGCAGGCGACCTGGGGACCCAGGACAACAATGAAACTCGGGGACCAGAGGACTGGGCACCCACCCGAGGGTCTCCCCACCCATGGCCCCCCTCCCCCTCCCCACGTCTACTCAGCAGCCCCCACTGCTCCCCAACTGCGCCACGCCACAGCTAAAGCCAGCCTTGTCCACCGTGTGCCTGCTGACCGGCACTTCACCAGCCCCGCTGCCAGGGACGAAGGACACGCAGCTCGTGAGAACGTCAGGCCTTTCTCCCCACCTCTGTCCCTGCCTGCCTGTGAGCTCCAGCAACAGCGCCTTCGCCCGGCTCCTCGGTGCCCCACATGCCTAGGAGCTCACGCTCTCACCTGAGAGCTCTCCAGGGCCCCATGTGTGCCAGGCTTGGCCCACAGACACAGCCAGCCTGGACCCATCAGCACCAACGAGCCCAAGACACGGCCGGCTTGCTGACTTCCTCCCACACACGCCTCCTGCCCCTGAAATCTCACTGCAAGTCCCTCCAGCACCCAGCGTAAACCCAGGCCTGTGGGAGGCGGGCCGAGAGCTCTCACTCACTTAACTTGGAACTCGCCCAAACAAACCTGCCATGGCCCACACGTCCCTACCTGGACCACCTGGCCATCGAAGTACTGCATCCTGTGCACTCTGTGACTCTCACTACGGCCCAAGCAAACAGAGAAGGGAGACAGTCAAAAAACTCACACACCCAAACACAGGGACTGCATCAGAGGTGGCTCTACCTCGCAGCATCTTCCGGAAGCGAAGGGCATCACGGCCCCGTGACCCCAAGGGGCCGGGTTTACAACTGCACAAACCCTGGACGCGGCCGGACATGTCCCTCGCAGATGCACGGACAGGGCAGAGGCAGAGCGCAACCCTGCCGCAGAGGCTGAGTCACTTGTAGGAAAATGCACGCACCTCAAGGCTATAATGCACGGCTTCTCTAATACAAGGAACCCGAAGCATAAAGAGCAAAATAAGACAGCTGAGGGGAACAGGGAGACAGACTGTGGAGGGGAGGAGGGATCTGGGGGTGGAGGAGATGATGGAGACGGGCTCTGCCTCTGCACCGACTCCCTGAGATGAAGGAGTGGCTGTTACACAGGGCCAGCCCCAAGGGAAGGCAGAGTTGGGCCTGGACAGGAACACGAAACCCAACCCAAGGCGACTTTAAGAAAGTCTTTGTAAATAGGGAGGGCAGGGGAATGGGGGAAAAATAAGAACCAAGAGAGTATGTAAAGGTGCACATTTCCAATGATGAATGTCATCATATCGTATACCTAAAATGTACCAATAAAATTAATTAAAAAAAAAAAAAAAAGCAGCAGCATCTGGCGCCATGACGCAAAAAGCTAGTGGGAGGTTAAGCACCGAGATGAAAAGACTGCAATAAAGGGAAACCACTGAAGTTGGTCGATTAGGTGGAATACAGATTTACAAAAAGGCACTCAAAGGGGCTTACAGGCCACAAGCTCCACCCCTCAGGCTCCCCCTCCCAAGCTGGCGAATGGGCTGCCCTTCCTCGGGGACCTCCCTCACAGTGATGGGCAGGGGCGCTGCCGATGCCCGGCTGCCCCTGGGGACTCACCTGTACACCTCGTCCTCCACCACCTTCCGGCCACACTGCCCGTAGGCATTGTTTCCCATGCTGAAGACTGAAGCACACCACGCTCTGAGATCAGGGGACTGAGAGGGCCCTGGCCACCACTCATCCCTGCCTGGGGTCTCGTCCCCAGCACCCCGGCCTCCGTGGGGAGGACCCCGTTCCCTGCTCCTGTCGCTGGGTGCCCTCCTGGGTCCTCCTGTCCCGAGGCTCAGGCGGAGGACAGACGTAGGAGTCACCTCCACCAGGCCGGCCTCTCCCTGGGCCTCTCCTGCGGAGAGAGCTGGGCCACTGCACAGTCACTAGCACATGGCTCGCTCTGAGGCAGCAGGAAGGGCACTGTGCACTGCCCAGCTCGGGGACTCTGTCCCGTGGTGACCCTGTCCTGTCCCCAGTGTCCGGATGGGCACCGGGGCCTGCACACGCTAGGCAAGCGCCCCACCACAGAGCACATCCAGGCCGAGGTTGAACTCGTGACCCTCCTGCCTCAGCCTGCCAAGCAGCTGCAATTCCAGACAAGGCCCAGTGGCAGCTGGCTCACAGCTGTCATCCTCCCAGAGGCTCGGAGAACAGAAGGATGAGTTAGTGAGGCCATTCCCAGGGCTGGGCCGTGCCCCTGCCTCCCCTCGCCTCACCTCCTTCCCTGTCAGTCAGGACGAGGGAATGCGCACGGCCACAGGCCACCTGCAGCACCCGGGTCTCCTGGGGTCTGTCCAGAGGCAGTGCAACAGGCGACGGCTCCAGCACATACTCGTAGCCACGGGCTGAGGAGAGCACAGGGCCTCAGCACAGGACCATGCTGCCCAGCCTGCTCTACGACAGACAGGGGCAACTCCCTCAGGCCAACAGCACACTGGTCTTAAGCACCGGGCTGGGCTGTGGCGCTGGGCTGTGGCTCGGTGGTCCATGCCTCTCCAGTATGCCTGAAGCCCTGGGCTCTGTCCCCAGCGTCACAGAATTAAGAGTCCTTATATTTGTAGGGATGGACTGAAGACTTATAAATGAAATTAATAACATGGACATCTGCTTTAAATGTACTGGGAAAAAAGTGGGAAAGCCAAACATGGTGGCTCATGTCTGCGAGCCCAGTGCATAGGAGGCTGAGGCAGGAGGATTACCATGAGTTCACAGCCAGCCTGGGCTACACAGTGAGTTCAAGGCCAGCCTGAACTACACAGGAAGATCTTGTCCGAAACAAACAAACAAAAAGTTGAGAAAAAGGATAAAACATGACCAGTGTGAGCTGGTGACAGCTGAAGCTGGTGGCAGTCTATGGAACTTGTCACACCGTTCTGTCCAAAGCTACTAATAAATTCGGGGCAGGGATTTAGCTCAGTAGTACCACATCTGCCTCACAAGTGTGGGTCCTGAGTTCATCCCCGGTACCAAAAGTAAATAAATAAATAAAAATAAATTCAATGCAGCATCTTACAGCTAGTAAAGACTTTGATACTGACTTACAAAAAGACATTTCTTTTTTGTTTGTTTGTTTGGTACCAGCACTCAAACTCGGGACCTTGCGCTTGCAAGGCAGGCAGTGGAACCACTGAACTAAATCCCCAGCCCCAAAAAGACATTTCTGATAAAAGAATTAACTGAAAAAAGCAGAAAACAAAATATATACTATGATCTAAATCATGCAAAGACATATTTGCAAATGAACCAGGGAATGGGGGAAAAAAAGGTTTGTCCAGTATGTACTTCTGGGTAATTTCTTCCTTATGTGACAAATAAAAGGGATATGTACTTTTTTTTTTGTACCAGGGATCTAACTTGGGTCCTTGCGCTTGAGAGGCAGGCGCCGGAACCACTGAGCTAAATCCCCAGCAAAAGGGATATGTACTATTTCTAACCTTCACAGTCAAGTTTGGGGGGGCAGGACTGAGTACTGAACCCAGGGTCTTCACACTGACCTGTACCTAAGCTGGGCTCAAACTTGCAATCTTCCTGCCTCAGCCTCCCAGAGTACTGTGATTATAGGCATGCACCACCATGTCCAGCTAACAGTCTATTTTCAGAAATATGGTCAGGCTAATGTCTACTATTTCTAACATTTTTACAACAGAAGTTTCAAACATGTGGAACACAGCCTCCACCTTCAGGACCTCACTGACTTCTCCCCAGACTGCACTCTGGGAGCTGTGGGTTCTGAGACAAACAGGCCCCTGCAAATCTCAAGCTCTTGCCCTTGTGCCAGAAGGCTAAGCGAGGTGGGCACCGAAGCCGGAAGTGCTCTCCCCCATATCTCGCTCCGCTGTAGCAGCAGAGACCCAGGGCAGTGCTCACTTTTATCCTTCCGGCTCTGGTGAAATCCAAGCTGCGAGTCTTTGTTGAGCCCCATGCCCCAAACTTTCGTGACGTCTTTGGTTCTGGAGGCCAGCAGTGTGAATCCGTAGCCACAGGCGGCAGAGGAAATCTGAAAAAGAGTTCCCGCAGGGTCACCTGACTGGAGGGGTCCGGGGTTCCAGCACTGGGTATTTGCTGAACCCTGCACTTAACACAGCAACTGGCCTGTACTGAGCATTTACTCCGTGCCTGACTCGCGCTGTCTCTCTCAGTCTCCACGGTCGCCCTAGGAACCAGGATTCTCATCCAGTCCACAAAGAGGAAACAGAACCTAACCGACTGCTTGCCAGGAACTAAGCAGCTTTCTTCCCTCACACCCTCTGCCATTATGTTTCTCCCCTGGAGCCAGAGGATCGTGATGGCGCGTGCCTATAATCCCAGCACTCCGGAAGGCTGAGGCAGGAAGAATGCAAGTTCCAGCCCAGCTTGGGCAACTTTGGGAAGAAACCCTGTCTCTAAATAAATAAATAATAAAAAGAGCTGCGGATGGCAAAACCCCAATGAAAGAAAGAAAAAGAAACAAGGAACGTGTGGAGGCAACCTGCGCGCCCCACTATACACACAGCTACCAGCTGGGGACCTTGGCCTTGGCCTCTCTGTCCTTCCCTGTCCTCCCCTATAATGGGGGCGACGACCGCCGACTGCCGGGGATGCTAGACAAGGGACGGCGTCCAGCAGCACTGTGGCCCGCTCCTGTCGCCGCACAGGTGTCGGCGGCGGCCTCTGACACGGCTCCCTCTCCGGCTCGCAACCAGCTAGGGCCCGCCGGCCCTCCCCACGTCCCCGCACCTTCTGGTCGAGCTCCAGGCGGTAGGGCACGATCTGGATCCTGCGGGGCGGCCGAGAGCCGGCGCGGGGCTCGGGCCCGGACCCCGGCACCACGAAGGTGGGGACCCCCAGCGCCCCCGAGAAGCTGAAGCCCCACACAAAGATGCGGTCGGTGCGGGCGGCGCGCTCGCCCACGTACTGGACCACAGGCGCGTCCGCCTCGGCCTCTGCCGCCTCTCGCCGGCTCCGCGAGCGTCCGGCCGGCGTCCAGTGCCCGCGGCCGGGCCCCAACCACTTCAGCCGCCGCCCCACGCGACCCAGGGCCACCAAAGCCATCCTCCACTGCACGCCTCAACTATTCCTGAGCACCGCCATCTTTTGCGTGACCCTTGACCTCACGACCTGGCGGAAGAGCCCCGCCGTCGCGGCCACGTTTGTTACTGGTTGAAGGCAAAAGAGCTGAGGGAAGCCCACATATCGCGAGATCTGGCAGCCGGCTGCCCTTTAGCAGGAGAAAAACTGGAGGGCGCCTACCGCGAGAATTCGCGAATCGTGCGCTCTGCCAGACCTCTGGTATTTCCTGACTCTCACGGGCCTGAGTCACTTCTCATTTGGCTTTGCTGCAGCTGTTTCCACTTCCGTCTGCCTCCTTCCGTGAATCTCACCTCTAAAATGAGCGGCTAAAGAAAGAAAACCAGGGCCGGGATTTAGCTCAGTGATCCCGCCGCCTGCCTTGCAAGCTCAAGGTCCCGAGTTCGATCCCCGATACCGAAAAAAAAACAAAGCCAGCCAGCACGCTGCAATCCCAGCATCCTGGGAAGGTGAGGCAGGAAGGTTACAAAATAGGGAGACTCTGTCCCCCCCAAAAAAAACTGGGAATGGGGTGAGCATGTAGCTCAGTGCTTAAAACCCTGAGTTCTATCCCCAGTGCCCCAAGAAAAGAGGGGGAAAAATACATACATGCAGTGATTTTTTAAAAATAAGACGAGGAGTTTGGATTTTATGGCCTGTAGGATCTCTTGCAAGCGAGCCATCGTGCTCCGTGATGGCATCTAGCCGAGGGCGACCACCGCCCCGCTGCTCACTCGCTCGCTCTGTGTACATCACTTGATACCAGGAGCTCATCCCACTCTAATCCACTCCCAAAACCAGTTCAGATCACTGTGTTGTCCTGGAATGTACCTTGCGTCCAATCTGAAGCGAATATACTTACTGTGGGGTGAAATGTTACGGGTAATGTTTACCATTCTGTGGAACTGGTTTGGTTTGGTTTTTGAGACAGGGTCTCCCTGTGTAGTCCAGACTGGCCTTGAACTCATAGTAGTCTTCCTTCCTCAGCCTCCGGATACGGCTGGGACGAACTCTTCCGGGCTGACAGCCGCTTTGAGCTTGTCGTTCCAAGTGCGTGCCACATACTTTTAAATTTCTACCCCAGACCTCAGGTGCAGAGCCACACACCAGCCGCTCAGAAGAGAGGAGGAGCTGGCAGCCTACGAGGCAGCTTCCGCCCAATGGGGTTGGGGCCAGTGGACAAATACCACCACTCTGGTCCCGTATGGGGGCCCTCTGTCTCCTGCCCAGCATCACGGCAGAATCAGGACCCCTTGGGTCACAATAGCGACCAACACTAAAACAAAAACAAAACAAAAAAGCTAGGTGGGGTGGCGCACGCCTGTAATTCCAGCATCGGGGAGGCTAAGGCAGGAGGATCGTTGTGAGTTCGAGCCCAGCCTGGGCTACATAGTGAGTTCAAGGCCAGCCCGAACTACATAGCGAGTCTCTGTCTCAAAAAACAAAACCAAAAAAACAACAGAAATGCTTGTTATTTCGCAAAACTGGTAATGACAACAGATAAGAGTTTTTAAAAAATTGTTTCTTGTTAAAATTTAAAAATCAGAAGCCTAAAACATTTTACTTTCAAGGGATGTCCAAAAGAAAACAGCCTTGGTTTAAGACTTTGTGGACAGGGCCGGGATTTAGCTCAGTGGTTCCGGCGCCTGCCTTGCAAGCACAAGGTCCCAAGTTCGATCCCCGGTACCCCGCCCCCCCCAAAAAAGCTTAAAAAAAAAAGACTTTGTGGACAGAAGGGCATCCCTGCAATGTGAATTACAGCCACTTGAGGGCAGTGTTGGCCCATCCTTGATCACCGGCCTCAAAGTCCGTCTGGCCAATCAGGAGCGGGAATCATAGTACAATTGAGCTTTTCAATTTTATTATCAAAATATGGCGGGGGGGCGGGGGTCCTTGTTTTGTTTTTTTCAAAACATAGATTTTTTTTTTCTTTTGTAGTATTGGGGATTGACCACGGGGTGTTCTGGCCGAGCTGCATCTCTAGCCCTTTTTTTTTTTTTGGTACCGGGATCGAATTCGGATCCTTGCGCTTGCGAGGTAGGCAGCGGAACCACTGAGCTAAATCCCTGGCCCTAGCCCTTTATTTTTTGAGTCAGGGTCTCACCAAGTTACTAAGTTGCCTAGACTGGGCTCAAATTTGTGATCCTCCTGCCTCAACCTCCAGGAATCCTGGGATTACATACATGCGTTCAAAACCTGATTTTGTTTTGTTTCTTTTCTTTTTTTTCATTTGTTTGTTCTTATTTTTGAGATGGGGTATCACTGTATAGCAGAGGGAGGCCATGGGTCACGAACTTGTGACAATCTTCCTGCCTCTGCCTCCTGAGTGCTGGGATTACAGGTGTATGTCACCAAGCCTAGCTCGAAACCTCATTGGGTTTTGTTTGTGCAGGGGTTTTTTTGGTACCGGAGATCGAACTCGGGTCCTTGCACTTGCAAGGCAAGCTGCAGAACCACTGAGCTAAATCCCGGGCCTCATTGGTTTTATAGATTGGTTTTATGCTGCCAAGTACAGTACTTGAATTTTGAATAATTTTTGGCTGGGAAAAGATGGTTAAACAACAAAATTAGCCGTTATTCCAAAATATCAAAATGTGTGTAATGTTAGCCATGCTAAATCTCCGCACTCCTATAATGTTTTCCTATAGATATTCTACTTTCCTTGATTTTTTTAAAAAAGAGACAGGATCTTTCTGTGTTGCCCAGGCTCAAACTCCTGAGCTTAAGCAGCCTTCCTGCCTCAGCCTCCCAAGGACCTGGAACTATAGGTTGTGCTGCTGCACCTGGCTGTCTCTGATATACTGAGGTAGCAAACTGTGCAGTCTGAGAAAGTGAACTTAATTAGCTTCGCATGGTTTAATTCATATTAATAAATTTTAACTGTACAACTAATAAGCCATATGGTCCCTTTGTAAAAAAAGTAACATTATATATGGAAAAGGCTAAAACTCCTTTACACACACACACACACACACAGCCACAAAGACATTACTTTATCTTTGTTGTGTTTTTTTTTTTTTTTTTAATACCAGGGATCGAACTCAGGACCTTGCGCTTGTGAGGCAGGTGGTGGAACCACTGAGCTACATCCCCAGCCTTGTGTGTGTGTTTTTATTTTTGTTGTTGTTGTTCTTGGTTTTTCTTTTGGTACTGGGGATCGAACTTGGGTCCTTGTGCTTGCACAGCAGGCGGCGAAACCACTGAGCTAAATCCCAGGGCCCATGTATGTGTTTTTAAAGAAAATGATGGGGCCGGGGATTTAGCTCAGTGGTTTCGCCACCTGCTGCGCAAGTGCAAGGACCCGAGTTCGATCCCCAGTACCAAAAAAAAAAAAAGAAAATGATGAAGTTGGAGATGTAGCTCAGTGCCACTGCGCCTACCTGACAAGCGGAAGGTCCTGAGTTCAATCCCCAGTACTGGAAAAAAAAATGGTGGAGTTGGGCACGGATTGCCAGGAGTTCAAGACCAGCCTGAACTACACAGCAAGACCTGTCTCAAAAAAAAAAAAAAGAATTTCCATAAATACACAGGTCAATTTCGGGAAGCTATTTGTTTCTACCATTCTATTCTTGTACAATAAGGCAAGTTTTCAACTCCTCTGTCTTTATGACACGCTCTCATTTTCATTCTCTGCTTTGTTCTCTATTCTTACAAAACTCCTTTTCCTAGTCATAACATTGACTTTCATATAATTTAAAAATCTTCCTGTCAAGTAGCATTAAAAAAAAAATCCCACTGGAATTTTGATTGAAATTGCATTCAGCTCATGAGCTGAGAGAAGTTAACTAGGAGAACTGACATCCGTATCTTGGGCCTTGCACTCCACAAATGTGAGATTCTCTCCAGCTCACCCAGGATTCAGCTGCCCACTGCACAGTTCCAGCCCCCATTTGTAGACAGTGTCCACCCCCACTTTTTAACAGCAATCTTCCTGCCTCAGCCTCCCAAACGCTGGGATCATGGTCACGTGCCACCACACCCCACTGTTCACTTTCTTCCACGTTTGTGAGGAGGGAAGGTACTGGGGCTCAAACCCAGCATGCTCTCTACCTCTGAGCTACATCCCCAGACTTCTCCTTTTTTTTTTAAGATGATATTGATTAATTGCCCAGGCTGGCCTCAAACGTGGCAATCCTCCTGCCTCAGCATCCCTAGTAGCTGGGATTACAGACATGGGTCACTAATCTGGCATGATGCATTATTTTTAAAATACTGTTAAATTGGGCCGAGGATTTAGCTCAGTGGTTCCACAGCTTGCCTCAAAACTGCAAGGACCAGAATTTGATCCCTGGTACCAAAAAAAAGCAAAAAAACAAAAAAACAACATGATTAAAAAAAAAATACTGTTAAATTTTACTCGCTAAAAGTTTACTCAGAAATTTTATATCTATGCTTATGAGCGATATTTATTTGTTGTTTTCTTTTTTTGTGATGGCTTTACTGGGCTTGGGTATCAGGACAATGCTATCCTCATAAAATGAACTGGAGAGACGCTGGGCATTGAGCTGCAGGCTATACAGTAGACCCTTGACTTAGACTGGCCTGACATAACTTGGGTTATGATTGGAATTTTAGTTTTAACTTAGGAACAAAGTCTTGAGTTACAACCTCCATACTGGCCACTTGTGCTTCCAGATGTTCTCAGATACAGATATAACCCTTAAAGAGTTTTGGAAGGAACATTACAACATCCTTTCCTGAGGAATCCTGGCCCAGTGTCTCTCTCAGGACACTGAGGTCTGCCTGGAACCAAGGGTGGCCTAAAATTATACAAGAGAGAGAATTTGAAGACAATTGACCAACTTGAGTTACATCCAGCCCTCTGGAATGAATTCAGTTTGTAAATCAAGGATCTAGTGTAATCTCAGCACTCTGCGAGGCTGAGACAGGAGGATTGCCTGGACATTTTAGTGATTTAGTTGAGACCGTGTATCAAAATAAATAACAAAAGGTGGGCTGGGGATTTAGCTCAGTGGTTCGGGAGCCTGCCTTGCAAGCACAAGGTCCTGAGTTCAATCCCCAGTACCTAAATAAATAAATAAATAAATAACAAAAGGACTGGGATGTAGCCAGTGTGAAAGCCTTGAGTTTAATCCCTACTAATGAAAAAAAAAGGGGCAAAATTCACAACATTTTGTCCAATCAAGCCACCAGGCATATAACAATCAGTGAGGAGCCCCTGGAGTCAGTCTCTCGCACGGGAGAAGAAAGGGAATGGAACATCACTGGAGTCTACACACATTAAAAAGATAATCAGGAGCAAAATTATGACACTGAACGACACCTTAGATAAAATGAACAACTGTCTTGAAGGACACCAATCACCAGAGCCTGCTCAAGAAGGCACAAATAACTGAGTCCTAGGTAAAAGTAGCTCAAAACTCTCCTACAAAGAGAACTTCAGGCCCAGGGCCAGGGTGCAGCTCTGTGTAGAGCACTTGCCCCGCCTGCAGGAGGCCCTGGCTTCCATGCCCACTGCCCACCCCAAAACAAAAGGAAACCCAAAAACCTCCAGGCCCAGATGGCTTTACTGGTGAATTCCACCAAACATTTAAGGAAAAAGAAATTCTGTACCAATTCTTGCCAAGTCATCCTCAAATTTTGCCTTTAGTGGAAGCTGAATATTTCTGCCTTTCTGGAAGCTGACTATTTTTGTATAACTGCCAATGTTCTCGAGCTTCACCCTGGGATACAATCAAGTTATTGGAAACAATTTGATGCATTCAGGGCTTGTGTTTAAGGGTGTGCCTCAGTTTTCCTGGCTCTGTGGTTTGAGTCAGGAGGGTTCTGTCCTCATGAATGGGATAGGGTCTTGTCATCTAGGTGTGGGTTGTGTCCCCAAGGTGCCATGTGGTGGTATTTAACCTCCACTGTGGGGTGTACCAGGTAGGCGTTTAAATTATTTATGCAGTATTGGGGCTGGAACCCAGGGCCTTCACACTGAGCTACATCCCCAGCCCTTTACTTTTTAGAAAAGCTCTAAGTTTCTAAGCTGTTCAGGCTGGGATCAAACGTTCAATCGTCTTGCCTCAGCCTCCCAGCACAGTGGGATTACGAGTGGGCACCACCATGCCTGGCCTGAATTTGTGCTCTTTACAAATTACCCAGCATCTGGCATTTTGTGAAGGCAGTGTTCCCAGCACCGTGTCCCCCTGCACTCTCCTCTCCATGGACGCTGAGGCAGCACTACCGGGGGCAGGAAGGAAGCTGGCCCGGTGTCTCTGCATCAGTCATCATCTGCAGAGGCAGGGTTTGTTCTTCCTCATGGCCTCCTTGGCTCTTTGTCTCCACTTCAGGGCGTGATTTTCCTATGCTAATATAGGAAAGCGTTTCCAAGTCACCTAGCGACTGTGTTGCAGGTATGTTTGTCCCTTGCCACCTGGATTCGCCCTGGACTATCCAAGATGGTTTCTGCTTGGGTTGGGGAAGCAGAGGCACTCTCTTGCCTCACCCGGTTGGACTTTAGCAACCTTGGTTTCCCGAACTGGGTTCTGGGAATTCCTGCTGACCACAGAGTCTTTGAAGGCCAAGCAGCTTCCCATCCCTCAGGCTCCGACTGTTTATTGATTTACCTTCCGTACTGGCCATGGAACCCAGGGCCTCTGCACTGAGCTACATCCCCGGTCCTTTTTCTTTTTTTTCATTTTGAGACTGGGTCTTGCTAAGTTGCCCAGGATGGGCTTGAATCTTTCATCTTACTGCCTCAGCGTCTGAAAGCCAGAATTACAGGTATGTGTCATCAGGTTTTTAAAAGTAGTTATCTGGCCAAGCGTGGTGGCACATGCCTGTAATCCCAGAACTCAAGAGGCTGAGGCAGGAGGATCGCTGTGCACTCAAGGCCAGCCTGGGCTACATAGTGAGATCCTACCTCAAGAAAAAAGACAAGGCCAGAGGATCCAGGGCTCGTTACCCGCTATGTGCTCATTTGTATCTTAATACTCTAAGTAACATACTGAAAATATTTGCAAGCATTTCTTCCTAAAATTTAATAAGAGTCTCTCACTATTTGTTGAATCATTCTTTAGCTTGAAAGAACATTTTTCTTTTACCTGCTAGGAAGCCTTTGATAGCCTCTTAGAGAAAAATACTAGCTAATTGAGACGCTAACCTTTCCACTAAAGAGAAACGCGTTAGAATACGTACAGTAACAGTAGCCGTGCTTGGGGAGTCGGGGATGAGGATGGTGCCTTCCAGAAGGGTCTCCTCAGACCTCATCTCGTACTTAACAGAGGGGTGGGGGGACTGTAGACTTATGTCTGCCGTGTTGCCTAAAAATATTAGACAAGGGGGGCCGGAGATTTAGCTCACTGGTTCTGCCGCCTGCCTCGAAAGCGCAAGGTCCCGAGTTCCATCTGCGGTACCAAAAATAAAGAATAGAAAAATACTAGACAAGGCACAGTATGTTGGATTTCAAGAATGGGTGAATGGCTTTGTATTAACCTATTAATTCCCTTTTCGGCATGTTTTAAGTAAATACGGAACTGCAACGCACGCTGACCAAGCCCGCGGCACTGTTGCTCGAGCGCCGCCCTGAGTGCTGATGGGGACACCGCCGACCCGGCTGTGGGGAGGGGGGGGGAACAGGCAGATGTGACCAACAACGGCAAAGGCACAGACTGCAACGGGGCGAGGCAGAAGGGGCGCAGCAGGAAGCGGCAGGCGGGCGGAGCGCTGTCGGGCGGGGCGCTGTCGCAGGAGGACACGTGCGGGCCACGCAGCTGGGGCTGGAGAGGTCGGAGCGCGGACCCGAGGGCGGGCGGGCGCTCTGAGGGCTGCGGGCTGCGGGCCGAGGCGCGGCCGAGCGGACCGAGCACCGGAAACGGCGCCGCCCGCTTGGGGCGCTGCGCGCACGCGGCTGCAGCCGCCTCGCAGGAAGCAAACAAAAAAGCAAAAAGAAAGAATAAAGGGCGAGAGAGAAAGGAGGGCCGCGCCGCCTCGTGCTCGCCCCGGCCCCGACCTCGGGCCCGGCCGCTGCCCGCCGTCCGCCGCCCGCCCGGAGCCCAGGCCTGGACCCGCGCCCCGCTGTCGGCGCCCTCAGGTGAGTACCGCCCCCACCGCCCTTAGAAACGGGCGCGCATCTCGGAGCTCCCGCCCCGGAGGCCGGGGAGGGCAGGCCGCCCGCACGGCCACGGCGGAGGCGCCCAGGCTGCCCGGAGGCCCGAGCCTGTCCGCGCTGCGGGGTGGGGGCGGGGCGGGGAAGTCCTGCCGCGGGGCATCGGCCGCCCGCGCCCCTCTCCTTTCTGATTGGGTGAGCGGGATACGGGGGGTCGGGGACCGCGGTGCGCGCGAGGTCACGGTCCCCCTGGCGTACGTGAAGCGCGTAAGCTGCGTCCAGACGCCCCTGATTGGTTAGACGAGGAGGCAGGACCGCCGCTATTGCTTGGTAACTGCGCCCAAGCTCCGCCCCGTACGTCACGCGTTGCCTGGTGACTCCGGCGTGGGTTTTCAGTACACTTCTGCTCGCTGCAGGGCTTCCCGGGGTTTTTTTTCTTTCTTTCTTTTTCTTTTTTTGACGAGAAGCAAATCCAGACGCAAGGATAAAAGGGCTCAGTGCATTCTGTCGCAGTTGTACCCCAGAGTTCAACACTCCCTTCTCAAACTCGTGCTTTGTTGTTTAATTACAGCTTTATTGCGCTACGCTAAGATTCACTTTTTTTGTTTTTCTTTTGGCTGCACTGGGGATTGCGCGCAGGACCTTCTCACTGAGCCACATACCCAGCCCGTTTTGTATTTCTTTTTTTTTTTTTTTCCAGACAAAGGTTTTCTTTTTCATATATTTACACAATTCAAAGTGATATTCACAGCATGTTCTAAATTTTGGCCAAGAGTCAAAAAAATGCATTTAAACTTTGGAACGTGCCCACCTAAACAGGAGGCTGGCCCCAACAGTAAGTGGGACAGACCCGAGAACCAAAGGGCTGGGAAAGTCAGGAAGTTGAAAGGATTCTTCAGTTTATGAACTTGGTGCAGTGAGACTGCAAGGCTGACACCTTTACAGTGGAGATACAGGTCATCTAACTGGCACCTGTCCCTTCCATTATTTGCTGTGCCTGCTTCTGTCCCATGCAGCACTGTGCAACCGACTGGAATAACTTTTCGATTTCTGGGGCACAGTGTACAAACTCATGGTTCCAGAATTTAAATGCTGGATTTTTAATCAGCTCAATGAAAGTAATAAGACCCCAAGGATGTGGCCTATTTACAATCAACCGTTCCAAGAGAACCCTTGTGATCTGTTCCTGGATAGCTTCAGTGTTGGCCTCTGCAAAAAGCTGCATGGTGCAGCTGAAGTAGTGAGTGTGGCTATTTGGGTACCGCAGCTGATTTGCAATTGCATTCAAGAAGAGATACCGACCCTCAGTGTCCAAGTACACAGCCAGGTTCCGGAAGATGTCCATGTGTGCCGAGTGAGTGATGTTGCTCATGGAAGGTGTGCTGCCCTTGTTGTGGATGTGTGCAATGGCCTGAGTCCCTACGTAGAGCACCAGTGCATTGATAAGCTGAAGGTTGTAGAGATTGCCAGGCTCATTGGATACCTGTAGGTTGCTACGCAGATCAGACAGAAAAGTGACTGGTGATCGAGTTTTAAGATAGGATTCCAAATCCTTTTTGAATTGAGGTGGCATTACTCCAGTGAAATTGGTGAGAATCCGGGGTGCGATGTTTATTTCATTCAACATACCCATCTTCAGATTAGGAATGAATGCGTCTGGGAGCCTCATGTTTCTTGGGAAGGCACTCAGGATCAAATTTCTTAATTGGATACAATTAGGTGGGATCACATCACAGATCCCATAATGGTAATGACAAAGGAACTCTGGGAAATCATGCAAAAGAACCAGCAGCACTCTTAGGGTACCCTTGTAGAGGATTTGCATAGGTTTGGTGAGTTCGACATTTCTAAGGAAAGGCGCTAAATATTTGAATAAATCAATCAGTAGCTGCGCATACATAGGCCATCTGCTGTGGCGTATGTGCCAACATTCTTGCAATAAATATCCAATGGGAAATCAGTTCAAGCCAGGCATATACAAAGCCAGGAGCTTTGGTGGGCCTTAAGATGCGGACTGTATTGCAGAAAGCTGTGAGTGTCTGAAAATTAATAGTTTCCAACACATGCTCAGGTGCATTGAGTTCCAAGAGCAGCATGATAAAAATCCGATGGTAGGGAAGCTGCTGAAATTCACTTTGCCGAACACCATGATCCTGTAGGAGAACTCCCACTACTATACCAAGGACCTTGTTCAGCAGGTTAATCTTTGTGACAGTGTTGGTAGCCTCCCCTGAGTGCTTCACTAGCAGTGCAATGAGTCGGACAAAGGCATCCAGGTTGTGATAGCACTTGGCTCAGATCATAGTGGGATTAGCAGCAGGATTGTGCTGCTGCTCAGCCTGAGCACAGTAACTGATTTCAACACACATTTCAGTACATAGACAAAAGAATCTTGTTATGAGGTCATTAGTCTTCAGTATTCCTTACTGGTGCGTCTGTCCAACAAATGCAGAGAAAGCTTTGGTACTGTCACGGCCAGCTGCTGCTGAATGGTAGAGATTCACCCATTCCCTCAGAAGATACTCTGCCTTCTCCCTCAGGCCTGGAGGGTCATCATACTCTGAGGCTTGAGAGATCCCAGAATGCATCATAAAATTAGGGCCTCCATGAGCAGGATCAATCATTGCTTCATAGTTGGATCACACTACTTCCATCAGCTGGGGCAGTCCTTCTGGAGCATTGCCTCTGGAGTGAGCATTAATCCTCATGAGGGTTTGAATGGTGTGGAACAGATCTGCCTCGGTAATGTGGGAAACACTCCTTTCATCCACCAGCAGGATTTTTACCAACTGCATAGCAAATGCCACAGCCATGTAGTTTAAACCATTTTCCATTGACTGAGCTAGATGAGCGTTTTGTATTTCTTATTTCCCGACAGGATTTCTAGTAAGAGGCTAAGTTGCTCAAAGTGAGTTCGAATTTGTGATCCTCCTGTCTCAGCCTCCAAGAGTGCTGGAATTACAAGTGTGCTTCACTGTGCCCAGCTAAATTCACCCTTTAAAAGTGTGTAATGCAGTGAGTTGGTTTGCGAATACACTTCCACCACTGATGCAGAACATTTTCAGCGCCTGAGAACGGGCCGTTATTCCCCACCCCTCTTCCAGCCTCTGGCAAGCATTAAACTACTTTTGTCTGTGGATTTGTCTGCTTTGGACATTTCATGTAGATGGAATCATCCTAAGGAATCTTTTGTGTCTGGCTTCTTTAGTTTTATGTTGTGGCTATGTAATCATTAAGTAGATCATATTTTGATTTCCCATCAATTGATAGCTACTTGGGTTGTTTCCACCTTTTGGCTGTCATGAATAACACTTCTGTGTTTATTCTTGTACTGTGTGCTTTTGTGTGGACTTTGGTTTTGCAGTGCTAGAGAGTGATTGCTGAGCTACAGCCCTAACCCTTTTATATTTCATTTTGAGATAGCACCTTGACCAGGTTGGCCTGGAACTTGTGATCCTCCTGCTTCAGCCTCCCATGTAGCTGAGATGACAGGCGTGTACCACCATCCCCTGCTCTGTGTGAACATTAATTTTTAATTCTCATAGGTTTTTACCAAAGAGGGAAATTTCTGGGCCAAGCTTTGTGGGTGTTACTGTTAGTATATTTTTTGTTGTCAGTTAGCACATAACTGTATATACTTATGGGTACAGTGTGACAGTTTAATCGGCATCACCTCAGATATTTACCATTTCTTTGTGTTGGGAACATTCAAAATTCTCCCTATTTTGTTTTTTTATTTTTATTTATTTATTTTGAGGCAGGGTCTTGCTATGTAGCCCAGGCTGGCCTCGAACTTGTGATCCTCCTGCCTCTTCTTAACTACTGTGAAGTAGACACTTGCATTAGTCACTTTCCCATTGCTGGAACACAGCACCCAACACTCACAAGTGAAAGGAGAAGTTTATTTGGCTCACGGTTTCCAGTGGGTTCAGTCCATGGTCAGCTGGCTCCAAGAAACAGTATGGTGGAAGAGCTTGGCGGAGGAGAGCTGCTTAGGTCATGGCAGCCAGAATGCAGGGAGAGAAGGGAGGAGCTGGGGACAAGAATCCACCCTTCCAGGTCACACCCCAGTGACCACCTCCAACCAGGCCCCCTCCTAACAATGCACTCAGCCAAGAATGAATCCACTGATGAGTTTAGGGCCCCACAATCCAGTCACCTTCCACACACAGGATGCTTGCATCTGAACAACTGTTGCCAGCCATAGTTACCATACTGTGCTACTGAACCAAAGTTTTCTGGGGGCTGGAGGGGCGGGGCTTCTGCCAAATTGGGACTCAAGAGAGTGACTGAGCTGCTGCTCCCAGAAGAAAGAGACCCCCAGGGTTTTATTGATTTGCTGGGGTGGGATGAGGTGTTTTCTGTGTGACAGACCACAAGGGGACACGCTCCAGCTGTCCTCGAGGCTGCTGACTAAAATGGAACAAAAGGCTTGGCATCTCTGTCTTTGTGTTTGTCCCTTTTGCTGTCTAACCCTTGGGTCAGATTGTGCTCAGCTCTGCACAGACTCGTGTTTGGTTCAGGACAGAAATAGAGGTTCGCCTGGCCCCTGGCCCATTGGAGTTGATTTGTTGCCTTTTTCTTTCTTTCCCTCTTTGCTCCAAACCTTGGACTTCTGCAAAAGCCACAGAAGCCTACACATCCCAAGTCCAAGACATTTTCCTGGGCCGCAAACACACAGGGTGGGGTGCTGTATGCAGGACAGTGGTGTCAGCTCCAGCAGCCTCTAGGACAAGTTGACTCCAACCACTCGGTGGTCTGAGTCTGTCGCAAGAAGAAAGATCTTTGGGGGGGGTTTTAGGCTTTTTGAGACAAAGCCTCATTATGTAGTTCAGGCTGGCCTCAAACTCTTGGCAATATTCCTGCCTCAGCCCCCAAAGTGCTGGGATTACAGACGTGTGCACCATGCCCTGCCCAACCTCTGATCCCCACTATTCTACTCTGCTTCTACAAGAACAGCTTTAGCTTCCAGATACAAGTGAGAAATGCAATCTTTGCCTTCCCAAGCCTGGTTTATTTCACTAAACATAATGTCTTCCAGTTCCACCTATGTTGCTGTAAAACTTCACTCCTCCCTCCGGCTGAGGCTGTTCCCTCTTGCACAGGCGTGGTGTCTGTACGCATTTATTCAGGGCCAGATGCCTCAGCTGATCTGTGTCTGGTCAGTGCTGCAATAGGCATGCAAATGCAGATTCAGTTCTTTTGGCTGTGGGCGGTAGTGGGGCTATGTGATCCGGTCAAAGCTCTTTTTCCTTTTTCAGCAAAGCTCCGTACTGTTTTCCATAATGACTGTCCTCGTGCAGCCTTGCCAGCAGGTGTTATTCTGTGTCTCTTTGATAATAGCCATTCCGGACAAACATGTGAGTTAACCTTTGTATGTTTTAAGAAAAAAAAAAGTTTTTGTTTCATGCTGGCAGTCTAAAGTAAACAGATATCTGGATATGAAACTGGAAAAGGGCTGGTTGCATGTTGCTCGAGGCTACAACTGCAGAACTGAGCAGCCTTCCGCCAGGTGGTGATTGGTGGTGGCAGCTGAGCAGGCCACGTTCTTTCTTCCTGCCTGCTTGGATTGTTCTTTTTTTTCGGTTTTCTCTTTTTGTGGTGCTAGGGATGGAACTCATGGTCTTCACACTGAGTTACATCCCCAGCCCTTTTAGCAGAGTCTGGGCTCAAACCTGCCATCCTCCTGCCTCAGCCTCCCAAGTGCCCGGATGACAGCTGTGCCCACCACGCCCAGCCTCTCTTTCCGCCCTCTCCGTGCAGTGCTGGGCCTTAAGGGTTCTGCCACCGAGCCCAGCCCTGGCCCTGCCCGCCCTGTCGTTTAGCCCCCGAGGTCGGCCATCCTTACCCTCTTTGTCCGGCTGCCCAGGGCCTTCCTCCTGCCCTCCTTCCCCGGCCCATTCTGCTTCCGCTCCCACCCGACCGTTTCCAGCACCCTCTCCCTTGGCCACCAGCGGAGCGGCCTGGGTGGACCGCGCAGGCGCAGATTCTGGTCCCGTGTCCCCTCCCTACGCTTCCTGCAAACTTCCTGCCCGCAGTGCGGGGCTCAAGTCTTGGGGTCTCCGAATGGGGAACAGATATCTTCATAGTTTTCGTGTGTCCTGGCTGAGCCCAGCAAGCGAAGGTGGCGCTCTCAGAACTTAGAGTTAAAATCGAGCCCTCGGAGACTTGAGCAATTAACCTTTGGAAAGGAAAACTAGAAGTAAGGTTAGAAATAGAAACCAGGCCTCTTTCAAGATTTCAGGGGTTTAATAAATGCAGCCGGTGACAGTCCAAGTGATGGCAAGTTGTACACAATGGATGCAAATCCTACATCAGGGATAGGGTATATTTTTTCTGCTTTGGTGACATGGCCATGCTGACATGCAGCCGCCCCTGCAAGAAGGCAGCCACAGACATGTAAACAAGTGCAGGGAGCTGTGTCGTAATAAAACTTTATTTATAAACATCCTGTCTGCATTGGACACACAGGCTGCAGATGGTTGAGCCCTTTCCAGATGTTTGCTTCTCGTCAGTAAGCTAGTGCGTGGGGCGAGCGGAGAGCAAAGCCTCAAGGACAGCTGGGAAAACTAGTGTGACACGAGAGGTTGTGTAAGTTTCACATCTCTAGGTTTATTTTTTTTCCTTTTTTTTTTTTGGTACCGGGGATCGAACTCGGGTCCTTGTGCTTGCACAGCAGGTGGTGAAACCACGAAACCACTGAGCTAAATCCCCGAACTTTTACTTTTTTTTTTTTTTTGGTATCAGGGATCGAACTCAAAACGTTGCGCTTGCGAGGCAGGCTCTGGAACCACTGAGCTAAACCCCCGGCCCCACATCTCCAGGTTTAAAGGAGCAAACGTTAGCCATTCAGTGTGGTACAGACCTGCAACATCAGCACTCTGGGAGGCTGAGGCAGGAGGATCACAAGTTGAGCCTAGTTTGAGCAAGACCGTGTCTCACAATAAGAAAGAAAAGGGCTGGGGATGTAGGTCAGTCCAAAGGATCAGGGTTCAGTCCCCTTTGCTGCTGAATGAATGAATGAGAAAGAAATGAAGAGAGGAAGGGAAGGTGGGAGAGATAGCTCAGAAGTTGATCACCGCGTAAAATCTGCGATCTAAATGAACACTGCGGAGGCTTTAGATATAAACAGAAAAGCAGTGGGCCGGGGATTTAGCTCAGTGTTTCGCCGCCTGCTGCACAAGTGCAAGGACCTGAGTTCAGTCCCCAGTACAAAAAAAAAAAAAAGCAGTAATCAGCACGCAGACTTTGGGAGACTTTAGTGGTGCGTTTTTTATTTTCACTGGTAGCACAGTTGATGGCAACTGAGAGAAGCTTTGTTTTGAGCTCTACCTGGTTTCATTTTGCATATTTTATTCCTTGTTAAGAACCAAAGTTTTTTGGTTTTTTTTATTCAGTACCAAAGATTGAACTCAGGGCTTCACACTGAGCTACCTCCCCAGCCCATTTTTATTTCCATTTATTTTGAAAAATAACAAAAACAATTTTATTAGTGTATGTTTGTGATCTGTGATAAATACATTCAACGTGGGGAATTGGTACAGATACATATGGGATCTTGATCCTTTCTACTTCCCTTCCTGTGATCCCCAGATCTTCCCATCTCCACAAAGTCTGGCCTCCTATTTCCTGTTGTCAGTCTTTTGTTTTGCTGTTTAATTTCTTTATACTTTGGGCTTTTTATATAAGAAAAATCATGCAATATTTAACCTTGTGTGTCTGATTTATTTCACTTAACATTATAGTCTCAAGATCTGTCCATTTTCCCACAAATGACTCAAGTTTATCCTTCTTTATGACAGAGTAGTACTCCTTTGTGTGTAAATACCACATTTGCTCTATCCATTCATCTGTTGACATAGAGGCTGCTTCCAAGATTCAGCTATTATAAGTTGTGCTGCTATAAACACGGATTTGTGTGGGTCACTGTAACATGACATCCTTAACTTTTGGGGACAATATCTAGAAGAGGAATAGCTGAGTTGAATGGAATTTCTAGTTTTAGTTTTTTTGGAGGAATCTCCATACTGATTTCCATAGTGGCTGTAGTAGTTTATTTTCCTTCCAGCAATGTAGAAGGGGAAAAAATGTAGAAGAGTTCCTTTTCCCCCACTATCTCAGCATTTTGGTTTCTTTTTCTTTTCTTTTTCTTTCTTTCTTTTTTTTTTTTTTTTTTTTTTTTTTTTTTTTTTTTTTTTTTTTTTTTTTTTTTTTTTTTGAGTTCTTGATGATGGGTATTCTTTCCAGAGTCAGATGGAATTTCCGTGTCCTTTTGATTTATATTCCCTTTTTATTCTTTATTTTGAGACAGGGTCTCACTAAGTTACTAAGTTGCCCATGATGGGCTCCAACTTGGAATCCTCCTGCCTCAGCCTCCCAGAGTGCAGGATATAGGTGGGCACCACCACTCCTGCCAAAACCAAAGTTGTTTCATTTGTTGATGTTGGACTTTGCAGTGCTGGGATCGAATCCAATGCACGGCACCTCTCTACCCCTACACCGCGGTGCTGACCCAGGATACTCTCTGTGCCCGCGGTAGGGTGACAGGCGGACAATGCGTTTGTGTTTCCGAGGAGGCTTTGGCTGACGGCTTCACATGCAGGATTAGCAGGCTGCGGAGCTGCACCATGCGTGTGTCTGGTTTAGGTGGCCCCAGGGAAGTGGTGAGAGCATCCGGGCGGCACCCGCAGCAGGGGTTGATGCGGTTCCGGCCCAGTGGGGTTCCTGCCGAACAGCGGGTAGAGGAGGGGCGGTCGCTGCCCGGGAAGGGCTGGGCCCAGGCTGTGCCGAGGCCCCCGTCCCTCCCACTCACTTCCTCGCCGCTTCTCTTGCGCAGGAACCATGGCCCAAGTCGTGATGCCCACGCTGCCTGGGGAAGACGCAGAGCCCTCGGAGAGCAGGATGGTGGTGACCTTCCTCGTGTCTGCCCTCGAGTCCATGGTGAGGCGGCCGGGGTCCTGCCGCGCGCCCCACAGCGGGGACACCGGCCTTCCTGTGACGCATCACCCACTCACACAGCCTTCAAGAGGGCGCTGGGCTTCCCACATTATCTATGTACTTTTTCTTCTTTTGCACTGTTTGGGACTTAACCAGGGCCTTCACACTGAGCTCCATCGTTGACCTTTAAAGTTTTAAATTTTAAGACAGGGTCTCACTAAATTGCCCAGGCTGGGCTTGAACTTGCAGCATGGGCCAGGGCTAGAGCTCGTGTGCAGGTAGGAACACAGCGGATGTGGACAGCAGGGCAGGAATGAGGCTTCCTGTACACAGGCAGAGCAGGTCTAGAGAATAACAATGAAAACAGGATAATTCATGGGTGTGTAGGGCATAAGCCTGTAGCGCTACCCTGAACAGCAAGTGCATCCGTGTTAGGAATCGCGCCTTCCTCCTCGCTGTAGTCAACAGTAGCAAATGCAAGGAACCATGCTGGAAGGGACAATAAGTTTTCTCTCCATAGAACATGACAGTATAAAATTGTCCGCCAGCTGTGGTGGTGCACACCTGTCATCCCAGCACTCTTGAGAGGCTGAGGCAGGATAATCACAAATTCAAGCCCAACCTAGACAACTTGGCAACTTAGCGAGACCCTGTCTCAAAATTTAAAAAATTTAGAAGAACAAGATGCCAGGCATAGTCGCTCACACCTGTAGTACCAGCACTCAGGAGGCTGAGGCAGGAAGATCGCCACCCACAAGTTCTAGGCCGCCATGAACTACAAAGCCAGACTTTGTCCCAAAAAAATAAATAAGTAAAAGGACTAGGGATATAGCTCAATGCAAAGGCCCTGGGTTCAATCCTCAGGATAACAAACAAATAAATAAATCAATCCTCTGCATTGTTGGTTTTTTGTTTTGTCTTTGGTGGGGGTGCTGGGGGTTGAACCCAGGGCCTTGCTCCTGCTAGGCAAGTACTCTACCATTGGGCTATGACCCCGAATGAATGAATGAATGAATGAACGGCCCATGAAGAGTCTACATCACACACTGGAAAAGGGCAGACTGGAGAGGATGTCAGACAGTAAATAAATACGTTCTTCTCTGGGTTTTTTATGTATTTACTTGATCAGCATTTTTCTTGGTGATTTTTCTCACCCTAAGCAAGTATTCCTTCTTGTCCTAATTTGCATTCTTTCTGTCCGGCGGACCTCCCGTCTGGCACGCCCCGTGTCTGCCTCTCTTTCAGTGTAAAGAGCTGGCCAAGTCCAAGGCCGAGGTGGCCTGCATCGCCGTGTACGAGGCAGACGTGTTCGTGGTGGGCACTGAACGAGGTCGCGCCTTTGTCCACGCCCGAGCAGATCTCCAGAAGGACTTCGCCAAATACTGTAGGTGCTCTCAGTCCTGTCCCCCGCCCCCATCTTTCACACTTCTTACAAATGTTGCGGGCATAGCCTGTAATCCAGCACTTGGGAGGCTGAGGCAGGAGGATCACCGCGAGTTCGAGGCCAGCCTGGGCTAGTGAGACCCTGTCTTAAAACACCAAAGGGGGAAAAAAATTTGCTGGCCAGCCCTGGGCAGCATGAGGTCCACGCCTCGTCCTCATGGTTCTGACAGACCTCCCTTTCCTGGGCCAGACCGAGGAGCTGCTGCTTCACACTGAGAGGCAGGACAGAGGTGTCTGAGCTGCACCCCGCCCTCAGTGTCTTCTGGGTTTGTAGAATAAACCTGAGGACCATGAGGTGTCTGTATTTGTAATGTAAACCCACATTTTATGAGAGACTCTTCTGTCAGTCCTTCCCAAAGAAATGGGGGAACTCCCAGGGCCGGCTAGGTCTAAAGTCTTCCTCTTTTGTTCATAACCATTTGTACCATCAACCTCCTTTCCCTCGGTTTGTTTGTTTGCTGATACTAGGGGTGAACCCAGGGACTTCGCACTGAGCTGCATCCCTGGCCCTTTTTAATTCTTGCTTTAAGAAAGGGTCTCCCTCAGTCCCTGAGTGCTCAGGCTGGGCTTGAGCTTGTGATCCTCCTGCCTCAGCCTTCTGGCCTCTCTTAATAAAGATTTATTCCTGCTCTTTATTATTTCCCTACTTGAATTTTCTTTTGGGTTTAAGTGCTTTGCTTTTCTAGCGTCTCGATAGGGTAGCTTAGGTCACTAGCTGTCTATTATATGCACTAAAGTTACAATTTTAGCTGATTCTACAGACTTTGATATATTGTGATTGCCTGTCATTTAGCTCAAAATAATTTCTGACATTCCTAGTAACTTCTTTTTAACCTATGGTTATCCAGAAGTCTGTTGTTTAATTTCCCAGTATATGAGGACTTTTTTGGTTATTGCCTTCCGATTAAATCTTGCTGTCATCTGTAAAAGGGCTCCGTATGCTCTTCATCCTTTTGAACCTATCAGGACCTAAGGTACGGCTCAGCACATCGTTTACAGTGGCAAATACTCATATGCACCTTTAAAAGTGAGATTCTGCCATTTGTAGGCCGACTACATTGGTTTTGGTGTGTAGTTCTAGGGATTAACCCAGTGCCTTTGCCCTGAGCTACATGCTCAGCTCTTTTTTATTTCAAGACAGGCTCTTGCTAAGTCACTAAGTTACCCAGGCTGGGCTCGACCTTGCCACCCTCCTGCCTCAGCCTCCCAGAATGCTGGGATGACAGGTGTGCACCACCATGCCCTGCATGCTTATTCCCTTTTTCCCCTTCTTCTTCAGTGCCAGTGACACAGAGTGCAGGGAAGGCACAGTATGGATGGATGAGGGCTGCTGACCCCTGTCCCTCTTGTGCTTGCAGGCGCTGCAGAAGGCCTGGCTGAGGAGAAGCCTCCACGGCCGGCCAGCGGGGTGCAGGTCAGCTCGGGGGAAGTGGAGACGCTCAGGAAGGCAGTGGAAGACCACTTCGGCCTGTGCTACGGTAAAGTCCACGTATGCTAGCCTGAGGTGGACGGTGCAGGTGACAGCACGGCTGTGCAGGGTGCATTAGCTTTTGACTCTTGTTCCCACCCAGCAACACAAGCCAGTCCCCAGGGGTTCTGCAGGTGACAGCGTGGTCCACCTCCACCCCCTTAGTCAGATGTCATTCCTGGATTCCATCTCTGGAGCCCCAGGCCTTGGCCAGTGCAGCTTTATTTATTTTGGAGGTTTCCTGGGGATTGAACCCAGGGCCCTTGTACTGAGCTACAGCCCCAGACCATGGGATTTTTTTTTTTTTTTTGATACTGGGGATCAAACTCGGGTCCTTGCGCTTGTGCTTGCACACCAATGGCAAAACCACTGAGCTAAATCTCTGGCCCTCAAGACCTTGGAATTTTTGAGACAAGGTCTTGGTGTGTTGCTAAATTGCCTCAGCTGAGTTCAAACTTGTGATCCTCCTGCCTCAGCCTCCTGAGTGCTGGGATTAGATGTGCACCACCTCCCCCAGCTCCTTCGTGCTTTTAATGTTACCCTCAGAGCCACACGCCAGCGCCTGTGTTTACGACACTGAACAAAGCTGGCCGTGGATTTGAAACACACACGGTTTAGAGCCGTTTGCCTCCTGTTCTAGGTAGAGCACTGGGGACAATGACCACAGTGCCTGTCCCCTACGAGCAGATGCTTCGGGACCCAGCGGCCGTGATGGTGCAGGGACTTCCGGAGGGAGCCGCCTTGCAGCACCCTGAGAATTACGATCTCCCTACCCTCAAGTGGGTCCTGGAGCACAAAGCAGGGATTTCCTTCGTCATAAACAGGTGACCCACTCCGTGTTGCCCCAGCGGACAGTGTTGCTGTGCCTCCTTTGTGCCTGAGCCCTTCACGCATGTGTAACCGCCAGTTATCAGACGCCTGTGCAGCTGGCTGACGGGCATGGTTTTCTTGCAGGCCTTTCCTGGGCATGGAGAGCCAGCTGGGTAAGTGACCACTGCATGGTCTCCTCGGTGGCTCCCCTTGGCTGCCCACCCCACCTCCCACCATCCACATGCTTGCTTGGGCACAGCTTTGTTTTTATTTTTCCAATATTAGGATTGAAACCAGGACCTTTGCACTGAGCTCCCTCTGCAGCTCTTTTTTATTATTTATTTTGAGACAGGGTCGCACAAAGTCGCTAAGTTGCCCACGCTGGGCTGGAATTTGCTGTCCTCCTGCCTCAGCCTCCCAGAGGGCTGGGATTGCAGCCGTGCTCCACCACGCCCAGCTGCTGGGGCACATCCTCATCAAGGAGACCTCTGGCACCCAGGGCAGGTGTCTGCAGGGGACTTGCAGATAGGGACTTGGCCTGTCCCAGCCCCCTTGCCCAGAGCTTCTACATCCAGACCGGGAAGGACAGCGAGACCCACCCTTTCCATGTCACCGAGTGCGTGGGTGCCAGGGTCACTGTGTGGCCTTGGAGTCCCAGCTGGGCCTGTGCCAGGCATTGCTGGGTTTGGGACAGGACCTGGGCTGTGGGTCTGTGCCTGAGACTCTGGTCGAGGAGAGAGAGGGGCCGTGGTGCTCTCCGGCAGCTGAAGAAGGACATCCCCGAGAGCGATGGGCGGGTGGGATGGGTGTGGTCGGAAGGGCATCTCAGAGTCCTGGTTAGTGATCTGAATAAGTGGAAAGATTTCTGCTGTTTGTGGACGGAAAGACTCCTGAGATTTGCATGGAAACTCGGACCCTAAACAGCCACAGCAATCCTGAAAAAGAACAAAGTTAGGAGTCTCTCACCCTTCTACTTCAAAACCGGGCACGGTGGCCCATGCCTATAATCCCAGCTGTTTGGGAGGCTGAGGCAGGAAGATTGCTGTGAGTTCAAGGCCAGCCTGGGCTACATAGCAAGGCCCCAGACACACCTGCCCTTAACTGATTTCCCTCCCTGCTCCTGTCCCATGATAGCTGAGTGCTGGGCACTCTGTCTTTTCAATGTTTGTTTTTCAATATGTGTCCCTTTGAGTGCTGGTCCCATTTCAGGGGCCGAGAGGACCAGTGTGTGTCTTTTTACTCCCCACAGGTGACCATGGGACAGTGACAGACGCTAAGAGGTCAATGCTATCACCAAAGGCAAGGTAAAGAATAAATCATAACTAAACTCCACATCTGAGCTGGTCATGGTGCTGCACGCCTGTAATCCCAGTACTCTGGGAGGCTGAGACAGGAAGATTGCAAGTTAAAGTCCAGCCTGGGCAACCTAGGGAGACCCTGTCCCAAAATGAAACAAAAAAAGGAGTGGCTGGGGAAGTAGCTCAGTTCAACAGCCCTGGGCTCAACCTCAGTACCACAAAGGAGGAGGAAGGGAGGAAAATTCCACATCTGACTGCAAAGTGATAGTTTTTAGAGGGTGGAAAAGCTCTTAACATTTCAAGTATAGGGCAGTTGGGAGGGTGGGGAGGCGAAGTGGAAGCTAAAAGATGCAATTATCTGCACAGGTTCCGCACAATGAATGTATTTATTACGCATCGCAAACATATGCTAATTTTTTAAAAGCGGGGAGTCACATTTTAAAGTACAACATGAAGAGTTCAGAGCCACCCTTGCTTATTCTGCAGTCTTCATTCAGAAGGGTTTGGGGAATTCGGGATCATACCCAGCACTGGAGGGGCCGACGTCAGAGCTCAGGCAGCTTTGCACCCAGTGGGGCTCGGGCTCCATGACCTGAGAACCAGGTCTTGGGTTCCGCCTGTCCTCACAGCCTCCCTGACCAGGGTCCCCTTGTCCTTGCAGCTATGTCCCCATCAGTGTGAAAACTGAACCTCTGGAGGACACGGGTAGGTGCCCTGCGCTCTCAGAACCAAGTATTCGGCAAGGTACCATTGACCGCTTTCTTCCATTTGACTTCTTAAAGTAACAGTTGGGTCCCACAACACTCACTGGCCTCACCCGGGCCTTATTCATTCACAGAGTACAGGGCCAGCGGCCCTTATCCAAGATGCTTGGAGGAAGTGTTTCAGGTTGAGGATCTTGTTGAATTTTGGAGTATCTGCATTCTCAGCGTGAGATATTTTGGGCAGGGACACAAGTCTAAAAGTGAAATTCATTTTTCCCTTAAACACAGCCTGAAGGTCATTTTATATAGTACTTTTAGAGCACCTGCTCTTTTCCTTTTCTTTCTTTTTTTTTTTCTGTCATACTGAGTATTGAACCCAGGGCCTTCACACTGAGCAACATCCCATCCCTTTTCTATCTTTTATTTTGCAACAAGGTCTCACTAAGTTGCCCAGGCTGGACTCGAACTTACAGTCCCCCTGCCTCAGCCTCCTTGAGTGCTGGGATGTCAGGCGTGCACCATCCCGCCCGGCCAGCATGTGCATTTTGACTGTAACCACTCAGATGAAGTCAGGCAAGGAATTTTCCAGTTGCAGTGTCAAGCTGGCACTGAGATGGTTTTGGATTTTGAGGCATTTCGTATTTCAGGTTTTCAGGTTAGGGACACTCCACCTGGAATCGTATTCCACTCAGCCATCTAGAACAGAGAGCTCCCAGTTTAGGAAATACTAGCTACTAAGCTGTGTCAAGGAGAATCTATTTGCAGATAAAATACTGCTTTAGATGTATTTAAGTTAGCCCAAGTCTGCAGTGAGCACAGTGTGTCAGGTCAGCATGATAATGGACTTGCAGAGAGAGCAGCTGCTGCCATCCCGGATGCTGCTCGCTGCTTCCTTGCACCGTTCAGCTCCAAGGCTCAGTGACATCGCCGAGCTGCTGGGTCCCTCGCCTGTGGGTGACAGCGGTGGACGCCCATCCCTGGCTCTTCCCGATCCTGACAAAGGAGCCAGCATGAATGGGAGAGAAAGGCCAGGAACAGAAAATGCTCTGCAAACTCCAAAGTGCAATCTAGGGATAGGAAAACACCAAAAGCATTAAAAACAGGAAGTTCAGAAAATTTAAGCAAGTGTCTAAAGCCAAACTCCCAAAAGAGCAGTGAGGCTGGGCCTCAGTGGTGGAGCCCTTGGCCTGTGCACAGGGGTCCTGGGTACCGGCCCCAGGGCCGTAGAAAAACAAAAAGATAAAAATGGTGCATAGGTCAGCAGTACTGACACAGACTGATCCAGCACCGCCATGTGTGCTTAAATAAGGTATCTGTTACAGTAAAAGACACACCGCCGGGAATCCCCCTTAAAATACTTTCCCTCACTTCCGACACACTCGCCCCACTGGCCTTGCCACTTTCTGAAGCAGCTCTGAAGTCTTCACTAAGAGTCCTCAGTGTCGCAAAATGCAAAATAAGAAAGGGCTAGGAAGTGGCTGGGGGCGAAGGCCCTGGCTCCCATCAGTAAGTCAAGCAACTGCCTTGTGTACCCAACAACTTTTGTTTGGCTTTCGTTCTCTTTGTGTCTCCCTGTCACTGAACCACGTCCCCAGCATGTCTTCAGTGATCTTGGAAGAGAACATTTCCCAAAACCAGGTCCCAAACTGGGAACCCACCCACCCACCTCGGTTGGTTATCAGAGGGAGGGTCTGGGCGCAGCTGTTCCCAGACTCTGGGTGTCCCGAACAGAGCTGAGCAGGACAGGAGGGCAGGAGTCAGGCACACTGAGAGCTCCCTGGGGCAGAGCAGCAAGAGGACCCACAGTGGGGGGCCGACAGGAGCCTGACTCCACGGGGGACCTAGTGGGCCAGGACGGGGCTTTGGACCCTACAGGGTTTAGCAGCAGTGTCCCGGCATCCCGAGCCTCTGGACTCAGAACCGAAAAGTGAAGGAGGCTGCCACAGGCCAGGTCCGAGCACCTCTGCTTCTGTGGGTGCTGGGTCTTAGGGGGTGGGTGGCCTTTACCTCTTGGGTTCCTGATGTCCTGCCACAGCTGTCCCTGCTCTGTGTGGCTTCTCGATTCTTCCCCCATGGCTTTCTGCCCCCACCTGGTCTTGCTCCATCTCCTGCCTCTCTCCCATCCCTTCCTTCCTTCCTTTGTGTTCCTGTTTTCCCTTCGTATTGATCTGATACTATTCTACACTGACATCACCCATGCTTTCTATATAGATGCACATAAGTACGTATTCATAATTTCAATATCATGAATATACAAGACATCTCTATGCTATGCTTTCTGTTGCCCTTATTTATCTGATAAAGTGAAGGGACTGACAGTGGCTGCCCCAAGGTCTCTCACGGGTGTCCCCAGCACCACCCTGCTAGCCCTGCACGAGCTGCTTGTGCCCAGTGGGTCTGGCCAGCCCCTAAGTGTGCCATTTCTGTGTGTCCAAAGGCATCTCACTGAAGGCAGAAGCTGTGACCATCAAGAAAGAAGCAGAAGACCCTAATTACTATCACTGTAGCATGGCAGGTAACTCTGTTTCTGAGTCATTCTCTCCAAACATTATTCATGATGGAAAATCGTTAACCATCCGATGGCAGAGAGGAATAAAGATCTGACTGAGTCTGTGACCCCAGGCCTATAACACTGTCATTCAAGGTAAAAGAGTCTTACAGTTCTATGACAGATGCCATTTAGCCCAAATCCATATGTGGCTGTGTGGAGATACTGCAGGGGGTGTTTTTGAGTCTGTTTATTACTCTTCTCTTGTGTGTTCCACTGTTTCTCATGTAATCCACCCCTGTCCAGGCTGCCCCATCAGTGGGACAGTGTTACCAACATGACCGTTAAGAAATTAAAATCAAATACATCCAGATGCCGTGGCACACACCTGTCATCCCAGCACTCTGGGAGGCTGAGGCAGGAAGATCACAAGTTCAAGCCCAGCCTGGGCAACTTAGTGACTCAGTGAGACTCTGTTTCAACATAAAAATTTTTTAAAGGTGCAAGGCATGTAGCTCAGTGTGAAGGCCTGGCATTCAATCTCCAGTACCAAAAAAACACAAAAAGTTAAGATTCATGTAGATTTTGCTCCCAAATGTAGCAGTTGAAGAATGAAATGATTAGGTATATTTACCTGCAACCGTTCTACTTTATTTATTTATTTATTTATTTTGGTGCCAGAGATCGAACTCGGGTCCTTGCGCTTGCACAGCAGGCGCAAAACTACTGAGCTAAATCCCTGGCCCTTCTACTTTATTTTTTGAGAGAGAATTGTACACATGAGGGGGCCGGGGACGTAGCTCAGTGGTAGAGCACTTACCCAGCATGCATGAACCCCAGGCTCGATCCCCAGCACTGCAAAATGAATAAATACAACTAACAAAAGTCATGTACGTGAGGAACTAGGATAAACAGATAATGTCCACTAAAAAGAGAGAGGAAGGGCTGGGCATGCAGCTCCATGACAGCATCACCTGTGTGCAGGTTGTATCCCCAGCACCATGGAAAGGAAGCGGGAGGGGAAGGGAGGACAAATGCAGGTTAAGTGGATAACACAGGGTCTTTCTCCAGCGCGGTGTGGGAATGATGGAACTACCTGAGGCACCTTCTTTGTAACATTCATGACCTGGGACAACTTCCTTCTTGATCCCAAAAAGCGTGGACTGCTCTGACATCATGGAAAAGTTTCCAGAGCACCGAGGGGTTTAGAAAACACTTAAATACACCATGCCAGATGTGGCGGTGCAGCGCCATAATCCCAGCACTCAGGAGACTGAGGCAGGAGGATCGCCACATGTTCTAGACCAGCCTGGGCTACATAGTGAGTTCAAGGCCAGCCTGAACTGCATAGCAAGACCCTGTCTCAAACAAATAAAAACCCCACACACTCATCTCACTAAATGTAGGAGAAAAGCATTTGAAAAAAGTTCAACATCCTTTCATAATAAAAATACACTTTAGCTCCCAGGCATTAAAGGGCGCATCCTCATCCTGATAAAGGTTGTTTACCAAAATCCTACATGGGCTGCAAGCCCCTGGACAACCAGTCAACATGGCCTCTCGAGGTCTTAAGATTTTTTAAAACACTACTATGTGGCTTTAAGCAAGATTTTTCATAATTTGAAAAAACTGCACCAAGCCAAGTATGGTGTGCCTGCCTGTAATCCCAGCACTTGGCAGGCTGAGGCAGGATTGCCATTGAGTTCAAGGCCAGCCTGGTCTACATAGTGAGACCCTATCTCAAAAAGAAAAACAAAAAAACCTGCAGGATGCTGGAGCGACAAGGGCCACTGCATTGGGAGGACCCTGTGCTGACCCCACCTCCCACACCCCATACACAGCAGACGTACCCAGTATGCAACTGGGCGAGTCAGGCATCTGCCTTACCCACATGTGTGTGTGTGCCTTTGAGGACACACGCTTCTATTATTATGCACAGTGGAGGTTTTATTTACCGGTGTGGTAAAAATATACAGTGAATGTTTAAATTTAAAAATGTATTACAGTAAAAGACACATTGCCACGAATTCCTTTCAAAACCCTCCCCTGAGGAGAAAAACCATAATAAAAAGTGGGAGATACTCCATTAAATAATTGTGAATGGGGTGTGGTATGAATATTAAAGAATGAGAATGTCTGATGCCCAAACAAACAAAAAATCCTGCCCCCCAGACTTGGAACCCACTCATCCCGTTGTTCTTCCCACTTCTAAAGCTGTTCTAGAGTCCTCTGAGTGTCTTTGTGAGGCGGGGTTAAAAATACAATAAACACAGCTGCCCAGTGCCACATAACAGAAAGGCAGGCCGTAAAAATATGACGCTGTGTCCTCATCCACCTTGTTCACTGGATCTGGCACCCTGTGACTTCTGGCCATTGCCAAAGTGACTATGAAAGGGAAAAGTTTTGAATCAATTCAAGACATCAAGGCAGCCAGGACAGCACAGCTAAAGACCCTCATGAAAGAGACTTGCAGAACTGCTGCAGAAAGTGGCAAGAATGATGGGATAAGTATTCCATGCCGAAGGGAGGATTTTGAGGGTGGTTCTTGCCAATGTGTCTTTTACTGTAATAATTTTTTTTAAATCTGAATATTGGGCCAGGGATTTAGCTCAGTGGTTTCACCGCCTGCTGCACAACCACAAGGACCTGAGTTCGATCCCCGGTACCAAAAAAAAAAAAATCTGAATATTCACCATGGTTTTCAATCACACTTTGTCATTACTGAACTTGGGCTTATTGTGGTTTTTGTTTGTTTGTTTTTCTTGGTGTCAGGGATCAAACTCAGGACCTGCACTTGCAAGACAGGTTTGGTGCCACTGAACTAAATCCCCAGCCCTGTTGTGTTATTTTGTAAAATAATTTCCATTTTGACAAATTTTAGAACCAGTTTCAAAATTTCCAAAAATATCAATTTTTGTCATATTTATATTTGTGACTCTAGTTTCAGTGGACATAAATATCTTACGTGTGAACTTTCAAATGGGATCTATAGAGTTAGCAATCAGACGTTCAACTCAAAGACAGATTTGGTCATATCTCTGTACTAGACTTTTATAAGACTCTAGAATACCCCTTACTTTACAGTCACACCTTATTTATGTCCTTGCTTCTTTCTGTCAGCAGCACTATGTACATTTGGAAACAAGTATTTTCAGAAATGAAGTTCACGAATGGTAAAATTAGATCAAAAGCTAATGAGCAACCCAAGAACTCAGTAAGAATTGGTTCCATTGACCCAGACATCGATGTATTCATTTCACAAAATCAAGGTCAAATATCCCAGTAGCTGATAGCATCTCTATTGCTCTCTTTTTATTTTTATTTTTATTTTATTTTTGATTTATTTATTTTTTTTGGTACCAGGGATCAAACTCGGGACCTTGAGCTTGTGAGGCAGGCACCGGAACCACTGAGCTAAATCCCTGGCCCTCTAACTTTTTTTTTTTTTTATTGCCCTCTTTTTTAATGTTATAATAAAAACATGGAAAATAAAGGGGATTTTATTGTTTACATATATGAACTACAGCATCTGTTTCACACAGAACCCTAGAGAGTCCCTGTCCACTCCATGTGGTCCAAGCCAAAAGGCTGGGGACCCAGCTCAACAACAGTGTCACATCTACTGGGAGTGGAAAACCACAAGCTTCCCCTGAGATCGGGCGAGACAAGGCCATCTCTTCCTGCCACTTCCATTTTGTTCCGGAAGTTCTAGCCAGGGCAATTCAGTGAGGAAAAAAATCTCGATTGGAAAGGAAGAAAGAAACCTATCTCTGTTTGCAAATGACATGGCCCTGTACTGTGGAAACCCTAAGGAACACACACACACTGAGCAGATCAAGTAAATGAGCCTAGTGAAGTTCCAGGGTACAAGGACTGTATGAAAACATCAATTTTATTTATTCTTTTTGTTCTGGGAATGGAATCCAGGGCTTCACACATGCTAACTGTGCGCTGTATCACTCAGCTACACTCCCAGCCCTAATTTTGTTGTTGTTTTGCTCCTTTGAGATGGGGTCTCACTGTGTAGTTCAGGCTGGCTCTGAACTCACTATGTAGCCCAGGCTGGCCTCGAAGTCGTAGTGATCTTTCTGCCTCAGCCTCCCAAGTGCTGGGATTACAGGTGTCTGACATCATACTCAGCCCCAGCCCTAATTTTATTTCTATATGTTACCAATGAACAACCTAAAAATGAAATTATAGAAACTCCATTTATAATAGCATCAAAAAGAATAAAATACTTAGGATTAAATTTAACCAAAAGTATAAGACCTATACTCTGAAATCTATAGAATGTTATCAAAAGAAAGAAAAGAAGATCTAAATAAATGAAAAGACTTTCTGTGTTCATGGACTGGAACTTTCCTCAGATTTGTATGGAAATGAAGGAACCATGAATAGTCAATCTTGAAAAAGAACAAAGTTGGAAGACTCACACCTCCTGACTTCAACTACAAGCCTGGCATGTGGTGCACACCTACATTCTCAGCACTCCAGAAGGCTGAGGCAGGAGGATTGCAAGTTTGAGCCCAGCTGAGTAATTTAGTGTCTTGGTGAGAACTGGTCTAAAAAAAACAGTTGTGAAAAGGCCAATGCTAATGCCCTTAGTTCAACCCTCAGTACCACCAAAAAACAAAACAACAAAAAACCTTACCTTAAAGCTACATTAAGCAACACTGATAGACATATGAGCCACTGAAATAGAACTGAGACTCCTGAAATAAAACCCCTAAGTTTACAGCCAATTCAACAAGGGTACCAAAACAATTTCATGAGGAAAGAACCATTTTTTTCAAACAATATTAGGGCAACTGGTTATCTACTTGGAAAAATATAAATCTGGGGGCCGGGGATTTAGCTCAGTGGTTCCGATGTCTGCCTCATAAGCACAAGGTCCTGAGTTCAGTCTCCAGTACCAAAAATATATATATACATATGTATATAAATCTGGACCCCTACCTCCCACCACATACTAAAATCATCTCAAGATGATCAGACTTAGTGTGCTAAGAGCTAAACACACAAAACTTCCTTTTTTTTTTTTTTTACTCAGGACCTTGTGCTTGCCAGGCAGGCACGGCACTGCTGAGCCACGTCCCCAGCCCCAAACCACAAAACTCTGGAAAGAAAGTGGACATGTTCATCTTCAAGACTCTGGATTAGGCAACAGTTTCTTAGATATGACATGTAAAGCACAAGCAACCAAAACAAAAAAATAGATAAACTGCACTTCATCAAAACTAAAAACTTGCCAATTGTGTTGGTGTGTGGCTGTAATCCCAGCACTCTGGGAGGCTGAGGCAGGAGGACCACAAGGCCAAGCCCAGCCTGGCCAATTTAACAATTTAGAAAGACCCTGTTGGAAAAATAAGAAAGGGCTGGGAACATAGCTCAGTGTGAGGCCCCTGGATTCCATGCCCAGTATAGGAGGAGAATAAGAGAGCTTCCTGCTGCGAGGTGTGATCGTGCACACCTGTGATCCCAGTACTTGGGAGCTTGAGGCAGGAAGATCAGCTGGGCTACCTAAGTGAGACCCTGACTCAACAAAAATAGAGCTTGTTGGTGTCAATTTTTTTTTGCGGGGAGGGGGGTGCTAGAGATGGAACCAAGGTCCTCGTGCATGTTAGGCAAGTCCACGTCTAGGCTCAAATTCAAAATTTTACACATGCAATTGTTGTAACAAACTCCAAACAAATTTGTGGCCCTTTAGAGTTTTCCTGCATTGTGCACCCCAACAAACTGCACTCAACATCTGCTAGCCACAGATCAAAAGAGAAACCCCAGGGCGTGAAGACCCCAACCGGAGCTGCCCTTCAGAACTGGGCCTCAGACTCTGGCGCTGCGCATGATGGCGCCCGGCCATTCGCCTCCCCCCACCCCCGCCTCCCCTCTCACGAGGTTCCCTGCCCCTCCAGTCCCACTCCCACCCATGACACGGTCAGCCCCTGTCTGCAAACCTGCCCAGAGTCACCCAAAGAAATCTGTCTGTGCTGCTGCCCCTTCATGGTCAGGCCTCTCCCTTGCTCGGCCCTGAACTCCCTCGCACCCCCTCCGCTCTGTTTTAGCAGAATTGTGACACAGTGTGAACCAGTCTGCACATTCTGGGAATTGTTGCTGCACTGTTCATCGGCTATAGCAAAGTGTCTTGGTCACTTTCCCTTCGCTGGGATCCTTGACACCCACAATTTAAAGAGGTTTATTTTGGCTCATGGTTACAGTCCCTCTCAGCTGGCTCCAAGGCACGAAGTCCCGGTGGAGGGGCCTGGCAGAGGACAGCTGCTCACCTCATGGGGGATCAGAAATAGCGAGAAGGGAGGAGCCGGGAGAGGGTGTGTCCTTCCAGGCCATGCCCCCAGAGACCTGCCTCCAGCCAGGCCCCACCTCCTAATAGCACGCTCAGCTCTGAACCAATCAGATCAAATCACCTTCAAATCCCCCTCCCAACATGTGTGTCTTTTGGGGACACTCTACATCTAAACTGGAACAGAAACTTCCGCCTGTACAGTATCTGTCTGACACAAAGGTTACTTGTCTTTAATGTCACCACAGAACATAAAGGGAACCTTTTGCTTTAGATTAACAAGGGTGTGGACATCATTGGCTGAACTGGACAGGAAGTCTGTGTGTTGACAGCCTGGTGTGACACGCTACTGCAACCCCCCGTTCCCCCGTCACGCTTCATCTTACCAGCAGCCTCCACCTCCCTCCTGCTCCTTCCCATCCAGTGTGACCAGGCCTAACGTCCCATAACTGTTACTACAGGTTGCGCATCCCTAGTATGAAAATTCAAAATAAAATCTGAAATGTCCCAGCATCGGGCACTTTTTGAGGGCTAGTGTGACATCATAAGTGGGAAATACCACATCTGACCTCAGGGTCACAGTCAAGTCACAGGCACACTAAAAATGTTGTATAAAATGACACATAGCCGGGTGTGGGTGCATGCATTATAATCCTAGCGCTTGGGAGGCTGAGGCAGGAAGACTGCTGTAAGTTTGAGGCCAGCCTGGGCTACATAGAGAGTTCAAAGCCAGCCTAAACTATCTAGCAAGACCCTGTCTCGAAAAGCCAAAAAATAGTATAAGGTACATATGAAACCTAAATGAATTTACTGTTCAGGCTTGAGTTCCATCCCCAAGATAGCTCATCATGAATATGCAAATATTTCAAAATGTAAAAAAAGTTAGAAATCCAAAACACTTCTGACGCCAAGTAGTTTGGACAAGATACTCATGCTGTAGTATAAACAAAATTCAGGGCAAGAAGCTAGGAAAAGAAAAGGAAGCTTAAACTGAACGTGTACCTAGATACATAATCATCCCCTTTCCTCGAATAACTCCAGATCTGGGGAGTGAATGAAGGTTCACTGAGGTCAAGGCTGTGGGTCCTAGAACACCATGTTGCCTGTGAATTTCCTAACTTTGTTTTTTATCATTTATTTATTTTTTGGGTTTTTTGGAAACTCACTATGTTGCCCAGGCTGGCCTCAAACTCACAGCGATCCTCCTGCCTCAGCCTCCCAAGTACTGGGATTACAGTCATGCATCACCATCCCCAGCGAATTTCCTAATTTGAAATATGTGACAGATCTTCCCTGTTAGGACCTCATTTGCTCTGATATAAGTCATAAGAATAGGAACTAAATTTAAGTCTCACAACTTTAGGCTTTGCACACCAGGAAAACATGAAAGGAGCAGGGTTTTTTGGTTTTTGTTGGGGGACTGAGGATTGAACCCAGGGCCTTTGTTCCGAACTACATCCCCAGCCCTGTTTGTTTTGCTTTGTTTTGTCTTGTCTTGTCTTGTTTTTTAGACAAGATCTCCCTGAGTCACTAAGTTGCCTAGGTTGGGCTGAAATTTGCAATCCTCCTGCCTCAGCTTCCCAGAGTGCTAGGATTACAGGCAGGTGCCAGCATGTCAGATTTAGCAGGCTTGGTTTTTGTCACCCATTGGAAGAAACAGTTCATATCAGAATTTAAGTGTCCAAGGCCAGGGATTTAGCTCAGTGGTTCCGGCGCCTGCCTCGAAAGCACAAGGTCCCAAGTTTGATCCCTGGTACCAAAAAAAGGAAAAAAAAAATGAGTAGAATTTAAGTGTCCATGTCTATACTTCACAGTGAGAAAAAATACAAAAAAAACATGAATGAAATGCTTTTTTTTTCTGTTGCTGACAAACTAATAATTTTATAGTCCTTGACAATAAAATACAAATTTTATTTGGATTTAGTCTTTCACTTAGTAAATAAAATAGTGTGCTAGATTCCTCCTTTTCTTTCCCCTGAAGAAGTATGAAGAATAATCATAAAGCTTTTTAAAAAGAAGACCTGAACTATCAGCATTTTATAACGCCTAGTGAAACAATACATTTCACAGTAATCACCAGTGGCCATTAAAACCATTCCAAAAAAGGTGGATGGGGACTTTATCATGACAAGTCCCGAAGGACCTGGCCCCTAGTTAAAGGCACACAGGGAGGTAATGAGACATTATGTGCCTGATAGGATTCAGTTGGGAATATAATACACTATCATCGCCCAAGACTCTTGTCCCCCCCAAAACAAATGAAAGTCTGACCCAACCTAACTAGCAATTTTCAGGAAAAGTGGGGGATTCAGGCATACACGGAAACATACCAAGATGTAGTCAGCAAACTCCAGACCCTGGCGAATGACCTTATTTCTTCAACAGACCACTGCAAGCCAAAAACAGAGAAACAAAGAAACCCGTGTTATAGGAGGTATACTGAAGAGTCTTTTTTTGATGTTACTGTTTTAGGGTGCAGGGGATCGAACCCAAGGCCTTGCTCATGCCACACAAGTCCTCTGCCACAGAGTCCCGACCCCAGCCTAAAGTGTAGGTTTCCTTGGGATCCTGATTTGAACAAACTCACTCCAAACAGAGCTTTACTGCTTACCATGCAAGGGCCAGTGATGACTGAGAAGCAGGAAGGATAGAGTTCGAAAACCATCTTTTTGTAACCATTATGATAAAAGATTGTATCAAGCAAGAACCATCCGTGGTTGCTAAATTTAGAAATGTAGACTATTTATATGTCTTAAAGTTTCTTCTAGGAAAAGAAAAAGATTACTCTTGAGTAGTCAATTTTATCACTTCGCACAAAAAGAACAGAAGGCATTCCAGAAAGAAGATGGTTTGGAATGCCCCATCCTGCCTCTTGTCTGGGGTGTATTTATAGACAGAAGAAGGAAATGACAGAAGAAACAACCTGATTGGCTGCATGGGGCATCTGCCTTGTATTTACTGGTCCAATCAGTTGGTAGCCTGTGATTGGCTGAAGCTTGACTGCTGTGATTGGCTGACCTGCAGTTGCTTGGCTATGCTTAGGATACATTTCACTGCATACAGAGGATGCTTTGGGCCAAACTTCATTGCTCAAGTACAGGGACCAGTTTAGGCCAAATTTATCATACTTTAACACCTCCCCCCACATGAACTCTTGCTAGTTGCAAGTGGGAAGACAAGTCATTTTATGGTGGAGCATTAAGACAATACCTTAACGAGGTGATCAAATTCACATCATGCCCACTCCTTCCCAGGATGTGACGGCCTGAGACAGGCATCACGTTATTCTAGGCCATATTCTGGCCAAGAATACAAAATCTGGAGCAAATGGTGAGGACACATCAGGCAAACTCAGAACGAGGAACCTTCTATTAGTGCGGGAAGAGGTGGAGATTGTACCTGGGACCTCTACCACTGAGCTACATTCCCAGCTCTTTTTATTTTGAGACAGGATCTGGCAAATTTGCTAACTTGCCCAGCCTGGGTTCAAATTTTCGATTCTCCTGCTTCAGCCTCCTGAGCACCTGAGATTCCAGGGACGTCCCATCTCACAGGGCAGGGTCTCCATTCTTTAAGAAAGTCGGTGCCTTAGAGATGTAGACCATGGGACCATTCCAGATCACACAATGATAGAGAGACAGTGTCTAGAAACAACTAGCCCGTACTGAAGGGGGATATTTGGGTCGACTGATAAAACTGGCGTATGAATGGTAGATCAGACCCAAGAACTGGTTCTATGTCGCACATACCCACCTGGAAGCTTTATTGTGACTGGGTACCTTTCCTTCCAGTGGCTTGGAAGCAGCATAAAGGAGTGTGTGTCCGCCTTTTTGTGCGTCACAGACAGGGAGGAGCAGGGAGAGGACAGGAGGAAGGGAGGGGCCATGGCCAGAAGGGGTCAATGCAACACTGTGTCATTTAGACAAAAGGAATACAGCTCCTTGCACCACTGTATTTTTGCAATTTTTCTGTACATTTAAAACTATTTGCAAATAAAGATTATGTGCATGTGTGCTGGGTATTGAGCCTCACTCATGCTAAACACAAATAAAATATTTTTTAAGAAAACATTAATGAGATGAGGGAAGTAGGGGAAATTAAACAATGACTAGATTGGAGATGACAATAAAGATTTTTTTTTTTGGTACTGGGGATTGAACTCAGGTCCTTGCACTTGTGAGGCAGGTGGTGGAACCACTGAGCTAAATCCCTGGCCCTAACAATAAAGAATTACTGTACTATGTTTGATCTTACCCAAAAGGCTGAGAAGCAAGACTTAGTGTTAATTTGTGTTCTTTGTTGGTTTATTTTATTTTTTATTTATTTATTTATTTTTGAGGCAGGGTCTCACTATGTAGTTGAGGCTGGCCTGGAACTCACAGTGATCCTCCTGCCTCAGCCTCCTTACTTTAAAAGAAGTTGTGATGTCGTCGTGGCTCTGCAAGGGTGTCCTTAGGTTTTGCTTGCACCTGCCACAAAGTTTGTACACAGAATTGGAGCCAAGGGGCATCTGCTTGGGGTTTTTTTGGGGTTTTTTTGGTACTGGAGATGGAACTCAAGACCTGGAGTTTGCCAGGCAGGCACGGTGCCACTGAGCTAAATCCCCAGCCCATGCATGTGTTTATTGCTGGTATTTCCTGTGTCTTCCCAGGTCTGCCTTGAATTGTTGACAATGACTTCTCTGATATTTGTGTCTTCCACTTTGTCATTTATCGTTTCCTTTCCTTCCAGGCAGCCACCTTTCCTCCACAAGCAGTGAAGTCATAGAAACGGAATCCCCAATGGAAGGTTGGAAAAAGGAAGCCCTTGAACGCTCTGCCTCTGTTGTAGAAGTTTAGGGAATTGTGCAGATGCCAGCTCTTTAAACAGGCGTGTTTGAAAGTAAAGACAGCGGCTTCCTGGCATGCCTGTCTTCTTAGAAAACTGGTTGAGTCCTTGTCCTATGAAATAGCATTAAGGGTTTGATCACCTCATTTGCTTTCTTGTTCTGTGATTCTACTTACAGCACCTGGATACAGATGTTAACTTTGTAACAGTGCTATTTATTGCTTTATTTCCTCTTTTGGAACAAGATTTTCCTATGTTCCCCATGCTGGCATTGAACTCTTGGGTTCAAGTGGCCTTCCTGCCTCCGCCTCCTGAGTAACTGGGCCCACAAGTGAACAACAAGCTCTCTGCCCCCCACTTTGTGGTACTGGGAGTTGAACCTGCTGCACTTGCACTGAAGTGTGTCCTTATATCCTCAACCCTTTTATATTTTTTTTATTTTGAGAGAAGGCCTTGCTAAGTTCCACAGGCTGGACTCAAACTTAATGATCCTCCTGGCTCAGCCTCCCAGAGTGTTGGGGTCCCGGCATGCGCCACCACACACAGCTAAGCTTGAACTGTTTTGTTTTTTTGGTACTGGGGATTGAACTTGGGACCTTGAGCAGGCGGTGGAACCACTAATCTAAATCCCCGGGCCAAAATTAGTCATTTTAAACATAGTTGCTCTAACTCAAGAGAACAAGCTGATTCTATCATTAACTTTCCTTTATTTTTAAATTATGCTTTTCAAAAATGCATATCCCTTATCCCCTGGCCATTACCATCCTACTTCCTGTTTCTGTGAAGTTGACCTCTTAGATACCCCATGAGTCATGGATCACGAAATATTTGTCCCTTGTGTTTGTTGTTGTTTTAGACAGGGTCTCGCCATGTAGCTCAAGCTGGCCTTGAACTCACTGTGCATCCCAGGCTGGCCTCAAATTCATGGTAATCCTCCTGCCTCAGCCTGCTGGGATCACAGGCGTGTGCCACCACGCCCAGCTAATTTGTCTGTCCTACCTAGGAGTCACTCGTCCCTGGTGTCCATGTAGAACTTCATACTTGTGTTGTAATTCTTGCCCGCCAGAAGTCAACTGGGCCCTGAGAAATCCTAGACTGCGTGCGCCTCACCCTGAGGTCACTGGTGGGGAGAGGGGAACTTCGAAATAACCACAGCATCAGCTCTGTCTGTCCCAGTAGTTCCAGTGACAACAACAAAACACTGTGAACACACGAATCCCAGTTCCCCAAACAGAAGGCCTCTATCCACGAACGTGGGCAGTGGCAGCATTTGATTAAAATCTGAAAGTGTCTTTCTCCTTCTGTCCTTTATGAGAGAATCCTCTATGAGCTTCTCATTACCCCTTAAACACAGCCAGCACCCTGTGGACTTACTTGTTGCATATAAGATCTGTTCTGGGCTCGCAGGGACATGAGGCGACTGCTTGGTGACTGTCACTCTTTCCGCAGAGTCCACCCAGCCCTTCTCCTCAGAAGCCAGTGAGGACCCTGAAGGCAACGTGAAAATTAAAGGTCAGTTGCCAAAAGCCCCATTTACTCACATTGTAAGGTGTGGTTTTCATTTCTTTCTTTTTGTTTTTGTTCGTTTGGTTTTGGTTTGGGGGTTTGGGGATGGGTTTTGGTTTTATTTGTTTGTTTGTTTGTTTTTGCTTTTTGAGACAGGGTCTCACTATGTAGCCCAAGCTGGCCTGAAACTCACATCGATCTTCCTGCCTCAGCCTCCCCAGTGCTGGGATTACAGGCGTGCAACACAGTACCAGTTCTCTTTTTGAAGGATTATCGTGGGGAAGAGCCTGAAATCAGTGTGTGTGTATGTGTCATCCGTGTATGTGTTGTGTGTGTGTGTGTGCGCTTGTGTGTGTGCATGCGTATACAACACGGCAGCAGTGCGCCCGTCCCAGGCGTGGGACACTGTAGACAACACAACTAAGCTTGGCTGCATAGCACTGCCCCACAGTGGGACGAACCATGCTCTGTACAAGTGAGGAAAGAAAGAAAGATGGGCGGGCAGTGGCCACACCTAGAATCCCAGCACGCTGGGAGGCTGAGGCAGGAGGATCACAAGTTCGAGCCCAGCCTGAGCAGCTTAGCAATTTAGTGAGACCCTGTCTCAAAATAAAAACAGGGAGGAAGGAAGCTGGGTGTGCAGCTCACCTCGAAGGCCCTGGCTCCACCCCCAGTACTGGAAAAGAAATGAAAAAATACTGTCTAGGATTCTGATCCGAGGGGCACTCTGATGTTTCTGGACAACTGGCCTCATTTCCTGTCACTTCTTTTTGTTTGGTTTTTTTGGTTTGTTACTGAGGATCGAACTCGGGACCTTCCGCTCACGAGGCCGGCGGTGGCATCACTGAGCTAAAGCCCCGGCTCCCATCACGTCTAAACTTCGATTTCTGTTTTAAGGAAACCCAGACTCACGCGGCATCACGGCTTCCGCATCAGGTGTTGAAGAGCTGAACATTGTGCAGGTGGCGGTTCCAGGTAGGGGTATTGATTTGACTTTATCCTAATGTTTTACAGTTTTCATTTTGTCTTAACCATTTCTCAACACAGGTCAGGCTCTCGGAGGTGTCTTGTTGTCTTAGTTCACCCTGACAAGTGAGCAATGACACAGTTCAGGGCCATAAAATGTGCCCAAGTAGCCCGCTCACCATGACGTGGCGACAGTGACCGTCACGCAGGGCGTCATTCAGTGACACGGGGTCGCTTCTCCCGGCCACGCCCAGCGTCACAGGGCAAAGCCAGCCCTCAGGCACCTCCGTACCCACTGCGTGGAGTTGGAAATGACCACAGAGCGGAAATAGGTTTGCTGCCGTCATTAAATAACCCTGCGCTAAATGCGTCTGTGCAAGCCGTATTTGGAAAATAGGAAAGAATCTAATAACATAGCAACTGCAGGCTAAGGGATGGACAGCTGGGAGACTCTTCTATGCACTATTTTATTGTCTCTTGGATTTCAAGCCATGTTAATTATTCAAAATCAAATAGAATTTGATTTTTTCTTTCTTTCTTTGGTACTGGGGATTGAATTCTGGACCTTGCGCTTGCTAGGCAGGTGGCAGAACCACTGAGCTAAATCCCCGGCCCTAGAATAAAGTTTTTAAGCGTGAAAAATATTTCCTTCTTGTCCAAGCACCTTTGACTCCTTTTATTTGTCATGGAGTATTGGTTAAGTTTTCTGTTACAATGTTGAAAGTGGGGGTGAACATGATGATAGGTCTGACCTCCAATTGCCCCCATCTGAGCCCCCAAAGCAGGGCGCCCACATCCCAGCCTGCACTGCTGCTCACGGGCACCTGGCACAGCAGAACATTAGCACTGTCGTGTAGCCGTTGCTCCTCAGCTGGTCTCCCTTCGCTGTGCTCATGCTCCCCCACCCCAGCCTGATCCATGCAAAGCCAGCTCAATGAACTTCCCTCAGACTCTCCCTTTGAGTTACCTCAGGAGGCCCCACTTGGAACCCCAAAATCTGGCAGACTGTGCTCATTTATTGGCTTCCTGCCATTTACCAGGTTGCCACCATTTACCTACCAATGAACATCCTTGTCTGTGTGTGTGTGTGTGTGTGTGTGTGTGTGTGTGTGTGTGTGTGTTTTGCTGGGGACTGAACCCAGGACCTTCACACTGAACTATTATCTCCAACCTTCTATTTATTTATTTATTTATTTTATTGTGAGACAGGGTCTTGGCTAAGTCACCAAGTTGCCAGGCTGGGTTCAAGCTTGTGATTCTCCTGCCTCAGCCTCTCAACATGCTGGGATTACTGGAGTGTGCCACCACACCTGGCTGAATACCATGTCTCGCATGATGTTGAAAATATATTCCCAAATGTACTGTGGAGTATGACTATTGTGTTATCATGTGGAAAATTCTGTTATCTACCATGGCTTCCATTTGCCAGTTTCCAAAAATACTTAATTATTGCTAAAAGTAAACTGACTACTAAGCCAGGTAAAGTACAAACTTTTCCCTCAACAGTTTTGGAAAAAATGAATGAGCTTGGCTTGTTTATTTATGTAATTATTTTTTAGATAATGAGAAGGAAAGATTATCAAGCATTGAAAAGATTAAACAGCTACGAGAACAAGTTAATGACCTTTTTAGTCGAAAATTTGGTAAGTTTGTGCATTGTTACAGATCCCGAATTTATGTGCTTGAAATACTTCTTTTTAAAAGATACTTTATCTTCTCGGGAGTTGATATTTCTGTGAAAGAGCCGTGATCTAAATCAGTGCATGATTTTACTGAACAACTTCTACGGCTGTCTTTGATTTACTGAGTTCGCACCTTGGCTGAGTATTATTTTTAGCACTCTGCACATTTGATCACTTAATCTGTACAAAAGCTCTTCAAGTAGGTACTTTGATAATTCCTATTTAATAGATGGAGAGACGGAGTCTGCTCTGTTCCCCACACCAACTTGGAAATCAATGCCCTTACATCCACACATCACAGTCCTGCCAGAAGTAAAGTAGTAACAGCTAATCATCAAGTGGGCATGATTTTGAAATCTTTTTTCAGTACTGGAGGTTAAACCAGGGCCTCATGCATGCTAGGCAAACACCCTGCCACTTTTAACATTGTTCTTTAAGACAGGGTCTTCAGGCCCAGGGATTTAGCTCAACTCGGTGGTTCCAACGCCTGCCAGGACCCGAGTTCAATCCCTGGTAGCAAAAAAAAAAAAAAAAAAAAGACAGGGTCTTCCTAGGTTGCCCTGGCTTCCCTTGAACTCAGCACCCTCCTGCCTCAGCGGGATTACAGGCTTCGCCACCATGCCAGGTTTAAAATCTGACATCAGAGATAAAGTACAGTTGGGGCAGACTGCACCAGTTGCTGTTGTTCGCCCCATGCAGGTGAAGCGATCGGCGTGGACTTCCCTGTGAAAGTGCCCTACAGGAAGATCACCTTCAACCCGGGCTGTGTGGTCATCGATGGGATGCCCCCTGGTGTGGTGTTCAAGGCGCCCGGGTACCTGGAGATCAGCTCCATGCGCAGGATCCTGGATGCTGCAGAGTTTATCAAGTTCACTGTCATCAGGTAATGGGGGTCCCTGGCTTAGTCACCGGACGAATCTGGAGGTCAGAGCTGACCGGAAGTGGGCAAGTTGCCACCAGGGAATTTGCCCAGGAGGTGGCCTGGGTCCCTGCAACTAAATTTCGAGTTGGGTCTATTTCCCTGTTTCTTGGTGGGTGTGAGGAGCTTGCCTCAATCTTACCTCCCACCACCATGCCTTGCATTGACACCCAGCAAAAGTATGTGGGACAAGCTGGGTACACACCTATGATCCCAGGTCTCTGGGAGGCTGAGGCAGGAGGATCACAAGTTCCAGCCCAGCCTGGGCAATTTAGCAATTTAGCAAGATCCTGTCACAAAAAATGCACCAGTTGCTGTTTGGGGATGTAGCTCAGTGCAAGCCCCTGAACGGGTGTGTGGGGTGTGTGTGAATGGATCAGAAAGGAATGGACCGAGGGGACCGTGAGCTTTGCTGCATTCACTGTGTCTCTCTCTGCAGGCCACTCCCCGGGCTCGAGCTCAGTAACGGTGAGTGTTCTGTGCGATTCGGCACCCTGTCCATGGCGTCTGCAGGGCCCCTGCGGGTGCTCACTTCGAGGGTCCTGGCTTCTGGACCCTTGACTTTGCCCTTGAGCCTTCAAGCAAAGCGGGGCTTCCCACGGGACTTTTCCCCTTGTATGTGATAAATTTCCTCCTAAACTCATCTGGTTGCTAACTGACTTCCTATGTTTTTAATAGCTTTGTTGAGGCATCATTTACATAACATAAAATTGACTCGTGTCAGTTAATTCACTTTATCCCTCATGTTTTTTGGGGGGTTTTTTGGTACTGGGGATCAAACTTGGGACCTTGTACTTGCAAGGCAAGCAGCGGAACCACTAAGCTAAATCCCCAGCCCTATCCCTCATGTTTATTGTACTCTTGGTTTTTCTTTTCTTTTCTTCCTTTCTTCCTTGCTTTCTTTTCTTTTCTTTCCCCCCTGTACTGTGGATTGAATCCAGGGCCTTCACACTGGGCTGCATCCCCAGCCCTTTTTAGATTCCTTTTTATTTTGAGGCAGGGTCTTGCTAAGTCACTAAGTTGCTTAGCTGGGCTCAGACTTGCCATCCTCCTGCCTCAGCCTCCCGGAGTGGTGGGATCAAAAGTGCGCACCACTGTGCCTGGCTTGTTTTTCTAATATTCAAGTGAAGAGAACGGTGATTCAGTGGTTTCTAGTACTTCTTTTTATGGTGTTGGGATGGAGCCTGGGGCCTCACATGCTAGGCAGGTGCTCACCACTGAGCCTCCTCGGCCTGTGCCCCTCACTCCAGCACCCCCTAAGGCTAGTGCATCTCCATCCCCCAGAGGCTCCTCCCACCCACTTTCCCACCCCCAGTTTCTGTGGTCCTGGAGCCTCACCTGCATTTCCTAAAGGTGAACGTTAGTATTTTGTGTCCTTTGCAGGTGCCTCGGTGCTTCACTTTTAAAACGCATGCGCACTTGAGCACACTCATAGGCGTGAGTCCCTCGCAGTTCTGAGGCTCTTTTGAGACTAAAAGCTCATACATCCTATGCCTTCTGCACCCTTTCCTGTCTGTTATTTCTAAGTTCTCCGGAGAATCACATGAGAAAGTGCATGGTAAAATGCAAACAGCTAAGCATGGTGTCACCTGTACTTCCAGCACTGTGGGAGGCTGAGGCAGGAGGATCACAGTACCAAATCCGTCTGAGCAACTTAGTGCCTTAGCAAGACCCTGTCTCAAAACAAAAAGATGAAAAAGGAAGGGATATAGTTCAGTGTGAAAGCCCTGGGTTCAATCCCAAGCCTGCAAAGAAAAAAACCCAATCTCTAGGTTTTCTTTTTTTCCAGTACAGGGTATCGAACTCAGGAGCTGCACTTGCCAGGCAGGCACGGTCCCACTGAGCTACATCCCCGGCCCTCTCTAGGTTTTCTCTAAAGACTGACACTGGCCACACTGAGCCAAAGCCTCTAGGGCAGCAGTCAGCTGGAGCCACTGTCAGGGTCCTCTGTGCAGGGTTCTTCCCGCCACTACCGCACCGAGCCCCACCCCAGCCCCCTCACTGCTGTGCTTTTCTCTTGCTTTTCTAATAGTAGCATTCAGAGAAGAGTGAAATGGTTCATGTTTTGTGTTTCGTGTCTCTATCACAAGTGGGCAAACGCAAGATCGACCAGGAGGGTCGTGTGTTTCAAGAGAAGTGGGAGCGTGCATACTTCTTCGTGGAGGTGCAGAACATCCCCACGTGTCTGATATGCAAGCAGAGCATGTCGGTGTCCAAGGAGTACAACCTGCGGCGCCACTACCAGACCAACCATAGCAAGCACTACGACCGCTACACGGAGCAGACGCGGGACGCCAAGCTGGAGGAGCTGAAGAGCGGGCTCCACAGGTATCTCCTGGGCCCCTCAGACATGGTATGCACCGAGCCCAGACTCCCCAGTGTGAGTCTGCCAGAGAACATTGAGGTGCAGCCTGTGGAAGACGTGGCTGGGAACCCATGGGAGAAGCTCCGCGAGAAAATCAAGTTGTTTGTGGCCTACTCAATTGCCATTGATGAGATCACAGACATCAACAACACCACACAGCTGGCCATCTTCATCCGGGGCGTTGACGAGAACTTCGATGCGTCTGAAGAGCTCCTGGACACGGTGCCCATGACAGGCACCAAGTCTGCCAATGAGATCTTTGCGCGTGTGGAGAAGAGTCTCAAGAAGTTCAACATCGACTGGTCCAAGCTGGTGAGCGTGGCATCCACTGGCACCCCAGCCATGGTTGATGCCAATAATGGGCTGGTCACGAAGCTCAAGTCCAAGGTGGCAACGTGTTGCAAGGGCTCCGACCTGAAGTCCGTGTGCTGCATCATCCACCCCGAGTCCCTGTGCGCGCAGAGGTTGCAGATGGACCACGTCATGGACGTGGTGGTGAGCTCTGTGAACTGGATCTGCTCGCGGGGCCTGAACCACAGCGAGTTCACGACACTGCTCTACGAGCTCGACAGCCAGTACGGCAGCCTGCTGTACCACACCGGGATCAAGTGGCTGAGCCGAGGGCTGGTGCTGAAGAGGTTCTTCGAATCCCTGGAAGAGATCGACAACTTCCTGTCCTCCCGGGGGAAGCCCGTGCCTCAGCTGAGTTCTGGGGACTGGATCAGGGACTTGGCCTTCCTGGTGGACATGACCACGCATCTCAACACCCTGAACGTCTCCCTGCAGGGGCACTCCCAGATTGTGACACAGATGTACGACCTGATTCGGGCATTCGTGGCCAAGCTGTGCCTCTGGGAGACGCACCTGGCCAGGAACAACCTGGCCCACTTTCCCACTCTGAAATCAGTCTCCCAGAACGAAAGCGATGGGCTGAACTACATCCCCCGGATCGAGGAGCTCAAGAGCGAGTTCCAGAGGCGGCTGTCTGACTTCAAGCTCTACGAGGGCGAGCTCACCCTGTTCAGCTCGCCGTTTGCCACCAAGATTGACAGTGTGCGAGAGGAGCTGCAGATGGAGGTGATTGACCTGCAGTGCAACACGGTGCTGAGGGCCAAGTACGACAAGGTGGGTGTCCCTGAGTTCTACAAGTACCTCTGGAGCAGCTACCCCAGATACCGGCGACACTGCGCCAAGATCCTGTCCATGTTCGGCAGCACCTACATCTGCGAGCAGCTCTTCTCCATCATGAAACTGAGCAAGACCAAGGCCAGCTCGCAGCTGCAGGCCCCACAGTGGGACTCCATGCTGCACATGGCCACGTAGGAGGAGGAGGATGGATTATACAGACATTGGGGTTCCCCCTTCCCCACTTCGAGTCAAAAGTAGAGTTTGCAGTATCGCACTGTTCCTATGATATTCTGTGCTTCACTGTGGTTCAGTAAAACCCAAGAAAGCTGCATAGCACTCCTGTCGTTGTACTCCTGTCCTCATCTGTCACCTACCGCCTCCCTTCCCCATGGGCACTGCAGTCGCATCTTGATCAGCCAATCAGCAGAGTGTACCCAGTTACATGCTAGGCCACAGAGTCCAACGCAGTTTCAGATTTAAGGAGAATCACTGGAGACGTGTTCACATATTGTAGAATTCTTGGGGTTCCCCCTCCAGTACTGAGGATTGAACCCAGAGTGTTCACACTAAGCTACATCCCCAGCAATTTCTTAATTTTTTTTTTTTTTTGAGACAGAGTCTCACTGGATGGCTGAGTTGCCCAAGTTGGGCTCCAACTTGCAATCCTCCTGCCTCATGATGGGTGTGCACCACCACACCTGGTTTGCTTCTGTGTTCTTTTCTTTTTGGTACCGAGGATCGAACTCGGGACCTTGTGCTTTCGAGGCAGGCAGTGAAACCACTGAGCTAAATCCCCAGCCCTGCCTCTGTGTTCTTTTTTTTTTTTTTTTTTTTTTTTTGGTACTGGGGATCGAACTCGGGTCCTTCCACTTGCAAAGCAGGTGGCAGAACCACTGAGCTAAATCCCCGGCCCCTGCCTCTGTGCTCTGTGTTCTTAATGTGTGGTATCCATGGGAATTAGTGACCCCCAGTTGTGAACACTTTCCCAATGGGGAGGAATTCCTCCGCCAAAGGTGGGGCCGAGTTGAGCACCCCAACCTGAGAGCCACTCAGGAAGCCAGAGAGGAAGGGCTGGCACAACACAGGCAGGGAGAGGCTGGCCTTCAGGCCGCTGCCGCCAGCATAAAGTGCCTGGGCCCAGCTGGAAGCCCAGCCTCAGCCCGGAAACAGCCCCAGGCACTTCCTGTCCTGGGCTGTTGACTACAGGTGCATCTGCAACCTCAGCCACCACATCCTGAGGAAGGGACACAGGAGGGACTAGAGTGTGCTGGGGCCAGGGTTGGGTGGTCCTGGGGAACCTGAGCAGATGTGGATCAGGGGCTCGAGGCTTGCAGTGAGAAGACAGCGGCCCTCTCATAGATGGGCAGCTGAGGCTCAGCGTGGCTGACTCGCTTGCCCGAGGTCACACTGTGGAAGAAGTCGTCAGGATTCACACCAGATGTGGTGGCTCAGCAGTCCCCTTACTTCACAGCAGCTGCTGTACCTGCGGTGGACACAGACCCAGTAGGGGTCTGCCTTGCACTCAAGTGTCACAGTGGGGCTCCTGGCCGTTAGCAGATCCCACCATGGCCAGGGCCTTCTACTTTGAACTCCCAAGGCCCCAGACTCCCTCTGTCCTGGGTGTGTGTTGGGACCAGGGTGGTTGGGGTAGGGTGGCTGTTGTCCAGGACTGTCACTGTGGGGCGGGTGGAATGAGTAGGAGTCATTTTCAGCGGTCCCCAGTCTCCGTGTCTCCAGATGGGAGCATTTCAGAGTGGCGTGGTGGTCTGTTCATCTCTGTCCATTCCCGGGGCAGGCAGTGCTGTACCTGTCCTGTCCCAGGAGGGGCAGAGGACAGAGCTGGCCACGCCTCCGACACAGACTGGGGATCCTTGCTGAGCCCCTGATACCAGGCCACCTTCCCTTGGAGTGCACCCCTAGGCACTTGCACCCTCGAGCAGCCCAAGCGTGTAGCCTGACCCACAGACCGAGCTGGGCGCGGGGTAACCTGGGAACGCCAGGTAACCTGGCTCCGCTTCCTAGCCCTGTCCCCTTCTTGTGTATGCAAATCACCTACCTTTTCTGAGCTTTGGTTTCCTCACCTGTAAAATCCCCACCTGCCAATGTTGCTCCCAGAACTAGAGATTCGGAACTGAGTCCAGCCTCGAGGAAATGGCTGGCGGTGGCGGCAACTCTGACAGAGCCGGCACCTGTGGTCTTGTCCCTCCCGGGCCCTGGGGACATCTCTTCCTAACCACACGGGAGAGGCTGGCACTGACGCAAGGCCGCTTCCTGGGGACCGGAAATAGGGAAAAACCGCGGGAGCGAGGCTTTGCTAAGGGTTTCAGCTTAGGAAAAAAAAAAATTAAAAACGATGAAAGTAGCTTATTCTGCGTAGAATTATAAGGTCGTAGGCGCCAGTGATCAGGCAGGGTCTATTCATTTCCCCATAGCTCTGTGGTAGCGGTTGATGCCAGACTTTCCCACGAAGGAAGGGCCTGCGAAGTCCCGGCCCCGAAGGGCTCTCCCAACCCTCTTGACAGAACATTCTCTCCAGAAGCGTCCGTCCGCGTGATTGTGTCTCACCTCTAAGGGGACCGGCCTTGTCCACCTCACAGCCACTGCCCGAGCTGGGGAGCAGCGCCTTGTGCCACTTGGGGTGGCCTTCACTACAAATTGTGTCCTCTGCAGTTCCGCTCTGCACCGTGGCGGACAGAGCCCCCAGCAAGGGCTCTGAGGCCGAACACAGTTCGGCGGCGGTGCTGGGGTCCGTCCGTGAATGTGGCTCTGTCACAGCCTCCTAGGTGGGCAGGAACAGCGGAGTGGCGAGGACCCTCTGTACCTGCGTGTCTTTGCTTTCCTTCGGGGCCGCGTGGCCCCGCCCTGGACACAGCCAGTCTCCTACTGCGCTTGTGCTCACCGCCCTGGGGGCAGAGCTCCATCGAGCAGGGGCCTCTGTCCAGGCTAAAGGTCTGGGACTGGGACTCCCTTTTGCTCTTGGCCTTCTGCATACCTGTTCCTGGCCGAGAGCAAGGAAGTGTGCAAGCAGGGACCTCTGCTGCTGCCGCTTGCACCCAGCACCCAGCGGAGCTCACTGGCCCCTGTCATTCAGAAATATCCCCGTGCCCAGGAGTGGTGGCACATGCCTGAAATCCAGCACTCTGGGAGGCTGAGGCAGGAGGGTCGAAGGTTCGAGCCCAGCCTGGGCAACGTAGAGATTCTGTCTCAAAAATTTAAAAAAAAGAGCTGAGAATGTAACTCAGTGTGAAGGCTCTGGTTTCAATTCCCAGTTGGTGGAAGTGGGGTCTCTGGGACAGACCCCACCCCACCCAACGTCGCTCAGGGCCTCTGTTCACTCCAAGCAACGTTTATTGAGAATGTGGATGATCTCCTGGGCTGAGGGCTCCAGGGCACCGACTGCAGGCTATACACACGAATATACAAGGATGGGGCCGAGGCGACCGCACCTGGCCTCACACGGAGACAGCGGACGCCAGCTTTCGCTTGGTGCTCTCGCTGCAGCGGTGCAGGATGACTTCGGCGCTGGGTCTCGGGGGCACCGCTGGCTGCGGCTTCCCACGTTGACTCCGTGGATTCTCCTCTGAACAGTACAGCAAGGTGGGTCAGAGGCCCCGCCCACCTCACCCTCTGGCTCCGCCTCGTCACTTATGCCCCGCCCAGAAGCTCCCCTGGCCCCCACTTTCGGTCCTTCCACACCCTGACTGCCTTCTAGGACTGGCCACCGCCCCCTGTGCCCTCTGGCCACGACTCTCAATTTTGGTCCCGCCCCCCCACCACTAGGGCTCCCTCCGCCCTCTGGTCCCGCCTTCAGGTCTTTCCCCGTATGACTCCGCCCCATTGCTCCGGCCCCGCCCAGTATCTGCCCTTGGTCTCTCCTTCCTCTCCCATGACTCGGCCCTGTGGTGCTCGCCCGCCCCCCTCCGCCTCTGGCCACGCCTTCCCCGTGCTCACTCTGCGGTGCGGGCCGCGCCTGGCCGCGCCGCTGCTGCAGGAAGCGCACGCTGTTGCGGCGGTAGGTGTCCTGGGTGAGGCGGTTCCGCGACCGCTGGTGGATGCTGTGCGCGTTGCGGATGGTCGACCTAGGCCAGTGAGATCCGAGGTCACCGGGGCCCTGGCCGCTCCCAGCGTCCGCGCCGGGCCCGCCCCCCCCCCCCCGGCCCCGAGGACCCTCGCTCACCGGCGAGGCGGCGCCCCTCGGCCCTTGATCTGGCGCTGCGCCTGCGCCACGTCGTGGCCCGCCTTCTGCAGGTACATGGACGGGAAGTAGCCGGTGATGTCCTCCTTTCTGCGAGACAGCTGCTTTGAGCCCCAAGGCGGAGGGAGGGGGGACGCAGGCCTCAGTTTCCCCTCTGTGCCAGCACTTTAATTTTTTCGCCATACAGATATACAGGTGTTCCAGCACCATTGTTGAAAAGATTTTCCTTTCCATGCTCGACAGTATATTTGGGAGCAAAAAACCCAAAAGTCTTTGCATAACACAAACATTACAAGGTGAAAAAACAGCGGCAAAACCCCTGCTCGGCTGGTGGGTGCCTCCCACGTGCCTGCTGGGGTTGACAAGGGGGGGCAGGCTGGAGTGGGGAGGCCACAGCCACAGGACAAGGGCGACCCAGGGCTCTGTCTCCGGAGGCCCCAACATCTCGGGAGGCCGTCTTCCCCCAAGCCAGAAAAAAACAAAATTAACCAGGATTCGACGCTCATTGGAGAGAAGAAAGGAAATGCAATGCCCATTTTCAAAGGAAAAAGGGGACTAAGGGGTCCCGAGGTCCCGGTCGCCACGGGCAACGAGGGGCTGTGGGGCGGGAGGAGAATAGCCGCACCAAGCGGGAGGGACCCGAGTCCCAGGGGAAAGGGGCCCTGGGGCAGGACAGCAGCCCCACAATGCTGGCGCGGGCTGGGGTCTCCTACCTGACCACCCACCAGCCGTCCAGGAGCTTATGGATGACCTCAATGGCCTCCCCCTCGGACAGGGTCACCTCATCCTCCTCCACAGCAGTGTAGGCTTTGATGGTGACGTAGGGCTCACCTGGCGGATGATGGGCACGGGCTGTGGGGTGGGGTCTTCACCCCCTCCGGGTCTCCGGCTTCCTCCAGCTGTGCAGCAGCACGCAGAGCCCGGCCGCTCCTCTGACGCCCACCCAGGAGCATCTGCCCACTGCGTCCTATGAGCTCGCCCCGTACTTGCCGCCTCCCTCACCAGAAACCAGTCTCTCAACTTCAGGGGCCGGGCCAGGTACCCGTCTTTCGTGGGGGACTCCGGTCATGGGGCCTCAGGGCCACTCAACTGCAGCCAAGTCTGGAAGTGGCTTTTCCCAGTTTTTCCACAAGAGCCATAAATCCCCCACTGAAGGGTAAAATTCTCCTGCTTGTGAGGCAGGTTCGGTGCCACTGAGCTAAATCCCTGGCCCGTAATCTCTCAATTTAAAAATGTGGCCAATCAAGCCTAACTGACTGCAAACTCAGCACAGGCCCTGTGTATCCAGCCGCAGGGCTGCCAGGGTCCCCCTTCTGAGCAGTGATGATGCCCCACCTCCAGGCAGCCTCAGCTGCCACCTCTGTCACCTCCACCCTTCCCCTCCCTGTCACCTCCTGGTTTCCTGTTCTCACCAAAGATGTCACAACCTACCAGGGTCCCCAAGTAGGAGACAATGAGGCTTTGGCCCAGGCAGCAATCCAGCCACCAACGAAGTCACTGCCTTCTCCTTAGCGCAGTTCCCTCCCGCCTCTTCCTCCCGTTCCCCTGGGCTCTGGAAGGCTGGGTACCTGCATAGTTGGGCTCTGGTTCCTCAGCCTCATCAGGACTGTCCAGGGGCTCCAAAAAGGATGCCGGGACCCAGCCACGCTTTGCCTTCATTTGGCAGAACCACCAGCCTGTGCCAGGGTGGGGAAGGTAAATGAGAGGGGTGGAGCCTGGAGGCCTCCCTCACCATGAGGGTGCTGAAGACACAGAGACACCCGGAAGACACATGGACATCCAGCGTTAATTCACCAATGTCACCTTTTCCGTGCTTGACACTGAAATCCCACGCCCCCACTCACAGCCCATGGGATGACAGCTCTGAATCCCCTCCCCCAGGAGCAGACCCAAAGTGCACAGCCAGGCTGTACCCACAGGCATGCCATCTGGCTTGCACCATACAAAGGGACCAGCCCCCAGCCCCAGGGAACCAGGGCCCTGGCAGGGTGGGGGGCTGACCGCTCTCGCTCTTCTCCACGACTTCCACCACGTCGCCCATGCTCAGAGCCATCTCGGAGCCCGAAGTCTTCTGGTAGTCGGCGATGGCTCGGTAGCTCTGCAGGATGATGGGGCCCGTGATGTCTGCGGGGTGGGGGTGGGCGGGTGAGGGCCCCCGAAATCCACAGCTGGGCGAGCTCATTCCTGCAGCCCCCGTCACCGAGCGCCCAGCTCCTCCGAGACAGTGACAGCTCCAGAGGGACCCGGGCCTGGTGCAGCCTCTCCAGGGCTCCCATGGGGTAGGAGGTGCCTCAGGGACTCTGCAGAGCCAGCTTTGCAAGATTTCCAGGGATAGGGCCTGGGATTTAGCTCAGTGGTTTCGTCCCTGCTGTGCAAGCGCAAGGACCCGAGTTCCATCCCAGTACCAAAAAAAACCAAAAAAAGATTTCCAGGGATCCAGGAGGATTGCGAATCTGAGCCCAGCCTGGGCAACTTAATGACTTAGTGTGAGCCTGTCTCAAAATAAAAAATTTTTTAAAGGGCTGGGCCCGAGCTCAGCATGAAGGGCCTGGGTTCTGTCCCCAGTCCCACATGGAGAGGAGGGTCCGGAGGGGAGGGCAGGGGTCACCAGGTGCACAGGCCCAAGAGAAGGGAGAGACCCTGCCAGCCCCTAGCACCTGGGAATTCTTCTCCATGGCCTGTGTCATGGGCCTGGGGCGCCGTGTCCTGCCCTCGGCGCTCTGGGCCACACCTCTTTCCCTGTGGTGCCAGGATGGAACCCAGGACCTCCTTCATGCCAAGTGCCGGCTGTGCCAGGGAGCTGCATCCTGGGCCACACTTGGGTCACCTGACGACTGGCTGGGCCCCCAGGGGACAGGCTCGGGTCCCCCTGTGGGACTCAGTGCCTCAACCAGGGAGGAGCTTCGCTTCCGTCAAGCACATCTGCTGTGGACTGCGGCAGCAGGGCCCCTACCCCTATTGCTGTACACCTGATCAGGTGAGTATCAAATGCTTCCTTTGAGATGGGCTCACTTTATGCTGCCTGGCCGGGCCCCAAACTCCTGGGCTCAGGCAACCCTTCTGCTGCTTCAGCCTCTGGGACTACACACAGCCAGTGCCTGGCTTTATGCGTTAATACTTTATGCATTTTTTTCAGTACTGGGAGGTTGAACCCAGGGCCTTCACACTGAGCTACATCCCCAGCCCTTTTTATTATTATTATTAATTATTATTATTTTAAATTTGAGACAGGGTCTTGCTAGGCTGCCCAGGTTGGGCTCAAACTTGCCATCCTCCTGCCTCAGCTTCGCAGCCTGCTGGGATTACAGGCATGGGCCCCGACATCCCACTTAGAATTGATACATTTTAAAAAGTGCCTGCCACGGAGTAAGTGGCCGGTAAACCTTAGGGATTACTGTTAACCACTGCCATGCGATCCCGATTAAAACCCTGGCCCTGGGTCACCTCTGGAGGCCACCTGGCTCCCTAACCCTTCCCAGCCTCCCTGTGCCAAAGGTCCCCGCCACCCCAGTTGCCAGAAACCCAGGTCTGTGCTGGTCGCTGTGGCCACCGGCAAGGGGACCCGCGGCTCTCCAGGGGCACCTCCTGCTCCTCGCCCCACACTCCAAGTCCCCGAGGGTGCCCTCGGCCCTCGCCCTGCTCTCACCAGCGGCGCTGCTCTTGCCGTCCTTGGGCACCAGGTAGGTCTCTGGCTTCCTCACCCTGCGGAGGGGAGAATCCAGGTCTGAGGAGCTCACGCCCCGCTGAGGGCGGACCCGTGGGAGGACTTTCCGGAGCCAGGAGACAGGGAAACGGGGGAGGGCTCGGGAATGACGGGGCGCCAGGCCGTCCCAGGAGTGTGGGGGGAAAGACGCCAGCGCTCTGCCTCTGTGGCCTCCCCACCCCCGCCCGTTAAAGCCCAGGAACCTCAGTCAGAGGTTGGAGGGGGTCCCTGCTCGCAGGGCACACAGCTGTAATCCCAGCTTTCTGGGAGGCTGAGGTAGGAGGATTGCCATGTTCAGCCCAGCCTGAGAAACTCAGTGACTTAGTGAGATCCTGTCTAAAAATAAAAAAATAAACAGGTGGGGATGTAGCCGAGTGTGAAGGCCCTGGGTTCAAATCCCAGCAGGGGGGTGAGAGGGGTGACTGTAGGTCCATGGCCAGGTCGTCACATCGTCAGGCGGAGGACCTAGGGCTGCGGTCCCCAGCCAGGGCACGGCGCTCAGCACGGTGAGACGGGATTACGCTGGGGCTCAGCGTGAGCTGGAGCCCTGCCCGTCGCTGGGCCCCTCTGGCCTCTCTGGGTCGCAAGCGCCTTTTCGCTGTCCGCCCCATTCCCGCCCCGCCCAGGCAGGAGGAGTCCACGCCACTCACGGGCTGTCCCCGGGCAGCTGCAGGTCGTCGGGCCGCACCTTGAAGAAGCCCAGCATGTGCGGGCCGCGGGAGATCTTGGGGGGCAGAGCCATGAGCGAGGAGCAGTACTCGGACAGCGTCCCCTGGCGGTTCTCGGCGGCGCGCTGCCCATCGAACCAGCGCGGAGCTGGGGCGGTGGAGGATACCGAAGTGAGGGGACCCGGAAGGGTGGGGGACCCCGGGGGAGGTGAGGGGACCCGGAAAGGTAGGGGACCGTGGAGAAGAGGGGGGACCCAGGGCCGCTGGGAGACACAGTGTGTGTGTGTGGGGGGGTGATATGGGGGGCCTGGGCCCGGCCTCACCGGGGAGGTGCGGGATGATCCTGTTCTCGGGGTTGATTTCTCCTGCCTCGATGGGAAACATTTCCTTTAAGATTTTCTAGATGGGAAAAGTCAGCAATGTGAAGGATGCTCCCTTCCTTCCTCGCTGAAAGACACAGCCGACCCCACTTCCGGCACCGGCACCAGCGCAGCCTCTCCGCTCTGACCCTCAAATCTCTCCCCGGCCTGGGTGTGACTCCCACCTCCTTCCAACCCCTCCCCAGCCTCAGTCCCATAGCACGGGAAGCCTCTTTAGAACCCCAGTTGGCTGGAGCAGAGAGGCTGAGGCAGGAGGATTGCATGCCCAGCCTGGGCAAGCTAGCAATTTTGTAGCTCAGTGCAAAGCTGAGTGGGTTCAGCCCCCACTTCTGGGGGGGAAAAGCCCACTTGGTCCCCTCACCCCTCAAGTTAGCTCCTGTCTGAGAAGAGGAAAAAGCCGGAGACACGTGCTGGTGCCGGTTGAACGACGTTGCGAATGTACCTAATGCCACTGAATTGCACACCCCAAAATAGCTAACATGGTGAATTTTGTTATGAATACCTGACAGCAATGAAAATTGACACTTGGTACCACTTTTCATAAAGTTCAAAAAAGTGCCCTAGCTATGGGCTGGGCAAGTCTGCGGGTCCCCCTCGGCCCCACACTTACGTGGAACTCGTAGATCTCGGTGAACTTCCGGTACACCACCTTCTCCGACAGGTCCTGCCACTTCACCAAGAACATGTACACCTGCGGGGCGGCCGGGTCAGCTCGGTGGGCCTGGGGCACTGGGCTCAGGGAGATCCCCCGGGAGCCGGGCTCCATGGACTCGGGAGATCCCGCTCTTAGCTCTGGGACCTGGGGCAGCTTCTGCCATGGTCTGGATGTGCCTTCTGCCCCAAGGGTGCTCAGGGTGGAAACTTGGTCATCGCGTTGGCCAGGTTAAGAGGTGGCTTTAAGAGGAGGGGGATGGTGGGCGGTGCTTAGGTCACGGGGCGTGGCCGGGATGGATTAAGGTCCGCTCCCGGGTCCCTGGGGCTCCTTCCTGCACAGCTGTACTGGGCGTGGTTTTCCGGCAAGCCCTGGGGCCGCTCCTGTGCTTTTGCCATCAGAGGCCGCTGTCCTGAGGTCCCCACCACAGCCAGTGCCATGCTGCTTGGGCTTTCAGCTTCCCAAACTGTGATCCCAACAAGTGTCTTTTAAGTTTCTTTTTAAGATTAGTATATATTTGCAATACATGATGATTACATTATTCGTCCTAGGGAGTTGGCACACATGCATATCGCAACTTCATCATTTTTACTTCCCCTTCTACCTCCTACTGCCTCCCCTCTTCTCCAGATCCCCTCCCAACCCCACAAGTCCATCTCCCTATTTCCTGTCATCAGTCTTTTCTTTTGCTCTTTGAATTATTTACATTTTGGGTTTCTCATACAAAAGAAACCACGGAATATTTAACATTCTCATTTATTTCACTCAGCACTGTGGCCTCAAAGTGCATCCATTTTCCTACAAATGACTCAAATTTGTCTTTCTTTGTGCCAGAGTAGCACTCACTGTGTGTGGATACCACCTCTGCTTTATCCACTCACTGCTGATGGACATGTAGGCCATTCCCAAGACTCAGTTGTGCGCCTTGTGGTGCTATAAACATGGGTGTGCGTGGGTCACTGTACTATGAGGTCTTCAGCTCTGGGGTGAATGTACACAGGAGAGGCATAGCCAGGTTGAATGGGATTTCTGTTTTAGTTTTCTAAGCAATCTCCATACTGGTTTCCATAGTGGTTGTGCTGGTTTATATTCCCTCCATTAAGAAGAAAATTACCAAGGGCTGGGGATTTAGCTCAGTGGTTCCACTGCCTGCCTTGCAAGCTCGAGGTCCTGAGTTTGATCCCCAGTACCAAAACAAAAAAAAGAAGAAAGGCTTCTTTTTCTGCAGCCCCACCAGCATTTGTCATTTTTTGAGCGCTTGATGAGGGCCATTCTTTCTGGAGTAGGATGGAATCTCAGCATCTCTTTTCTTTATAGCTCCCTATCCTCAAATATTTTGTTGTACTAATGCAAAACCGACTAGCACAGTTTCTTTCTAGTCAACTCAGATTCCTCTCATCACCTGGGGGTAGAAGCAGGACCTTGATCCCAGGTCCAGCATGTGTGTCCCTAAGAGTCAGGTATAATAATAACTCAGGAAGGGAATGTGTGATTCCATTTGTATATGATTTCCGGAACAGACAGATCTCTATGGACAGGAAGTGGATCAGTATCGTCCTGGGCTGGGGCGGGGACCTGGAGAGATTGCTTATAGGTACAGGGTTTATTTGGGGAGGAGATGTGAGGAAAATGTCTTACAGCTGACCTTAGTGATGGTTCCAAAGCTTTGAACATACTTAACACACTGAATTACACACTTTACCCAGGTGAGCTATATGATGTTGAATTCTGTCTCACACTAGCTGTATTTAAAAAACCAAACAGTAGGGGCCAGGGATTTAGCTCAGTGGTTTTGCCGCCTGCTGCACAGGTGCAAGGACCCAAGTTCTATCCCCAGTACCAAAAACAAAACAAAACAAAAAAACCCAAACAGGGCCAGGGATTTAGCTCAGTGGTTCCACCGCCTGCTTCGCAAGTGCAAGGACCCGAGTTCAATCCCTGGTACCAAAAAAAAAAAAGAAAAAGGAATGTATATTTCCTTATTGAGGTTTGGTTTGGTTTTGTTTTTGTACCAGGGATCGAACTTGGGACCTTGCCCTTGCGGAGCAGGCGGCAGAACCATTGAGCTAAATCCCAAGGCCTCAGAAAGGAAATATAAAAACAGCTGAGAGAGCTGGGCATGGTGGCACACACCTGTAACCCAGGCTACTCAGGAGGCTGAGGCAGGGTGACTGCAAGTTTGTGATCAGCCCAGGGAACTTAGCAAGACCTTATTTCAATGAAAACAAAGAAACAGGGAGTTGGGAATGTAGCTCAATGCAAAGACCCTGAGTTCAATGCCCCATACTGAAAAAAAAGTGTATTTCACACCTGCTGGGATACCTATTTTTTTAAAAAAGATGGAGCCAGGTGTGGTGGCGCATGCATGCAATCCCAGGACTCAGGAGACTGAGGCAGGAAGATCACCAGTTCGAGGCTGGCCTGAGCTACATAGTGAGACCTTGTCTCAAAAAAATAAAAAATTTTTAAAAAGATGGACAACCCTGGGACACATCATGCTATTATGCTAAGCAAAATGCCAGTCACTAAGGGATAAATACTGCATAATCCCATTTACAGAAAGTTATTAGACCAGTCAGACTCACAGACCAGGCAGGGCAGGACCCGCACGCCTGTCCCCAGTACTCTGGGAGCCCAAGGGAGGGGACATGGGGGCTACTACTTAGTAGGCACAGAGCTTCCACTTGTGAAGATGAAAAGTTCCAGAGATGAAAAGTGAATTGCTAGTGCCAGTGACCTACATACTTAAAATGGTGAAAATGGTAAATTTTATGTATGGATATTTTGGCACAATTTTTTCTTTAAAAGTATACCACTGGGCCAGGGATTTAGTGCAGTGGTTCTGGTGCCTGTCTCGAAAGCGCAAGGTCCTGAGTTTGATCCCTGGTACCAAAAAAAAAACAAAACTATACCACTGGTATAAGAGCAAATGATTAATGGAACAGAATAGAAAAATCTAGAAGCAGGACCAGGGATTTAGCTCAGTGGTTCTGCTGCCTGCCTCGAAAGCACAAGGTCTCAAGTTCAATCCCTGGTACCAAAAAGAAAAAAAATCTAAAAGCAGCTGCAAACATCTAGGGAATTTAGTTTATGATTGATGTGGCGTCTCAGGTTACAGGAGCGAAGGTAAGCTTTAAATACTAGTGGTTGGCTTCTTTTATTTTTTATTTTGGCAGTGCTGGGGATTGAACCCAAGGCCTTCACACGGAGTTACACCTCCAGCCTTTTTTGAGTCTTTTATTTTATTTATTTATTTATTTATTTATACCAGGGATCAAACTTCAGTCTTTTCTTTTGAGACAGGATCTCAATAAATCACTAAATTGCCCAGGTTGGGTGCAAACTTTCAATCTTTTTAGCCTCCCAGGAGACTGGGATTACAGGTGTGCACCACCGCACCTGGCTTGGCCGGCCTTTTTGGTAAAGATAACATGGGATATATGGCCAGGAGTGCAGCTCAGGGGTAGAGAGCTTGCCAAGCATGTGTGTGTGCGTGTGTGTGTGCGTGCACATGTGGTTCAATGCCCAGGACCCACCTACCACCCACACTGGCTGTTTCTCACACCACACAGCACGACAAACTCCAAACAGATCAGAGAACTAATGTGAAAACTGAAACCATACAAGCGCTAGCAGCAAATTATTTCAACATTAAAGTTGAGAGGGAGAGGGCCGGGGATTAGCTCAGTGGTTTCGCTGCTTGCTGCGCAAGCACAAGGACTCGAGTTCAATCCCCGGTACAAAAAAAAAAAAAGTTGAGAGGGAGAAAGGAAAGAGATGGAGACTTGGACATAAATGTTCCCTCCGAGCGCCACGCACAGCCCTTGCCGCCCTCCTCTGGGCGTGGAGACCCAGGGACAAGGTGGCCAACATTTCCCCAGGCCCCGGGCAGGAGAGGGGACGCTTGGCCTGCGGTGGGGTCACCCTGCTGAGAGGCTGATTAACGTGGCACGGTGGGACGCAGAGCCACCGCTGAGCGGAGACCTGGGAGGGAGGCGACCGACGGCAGGCTGAGGCCCCAGCCGGAGCCCTTGCCCACTGATCCTAGCGGTCCAGGTGGCCTCAGGGGCAGTGGAGCGGGTGACGGCTGCCCCGCCCCTTGCTCCGGTACTCAGGTACTCACGTAGTGCTGGCTGGGAACAAAGCGCTTCTCAAAGCCCAGGAGGGCGATGTGGCGGATGAAGATGTCCCCCATGGCTGGCTGGTGGCTCGGCCTGGACTTCTCCCGGGCGCTCTGGAGCCGGAGCCGGGTCTTAAATGCCCTGGGGAGAGGAAGTCGCTCCTGTCGCGTCAGGGCAGGGGGCGGGGAGGGCCCAGAGATCTCCGCTTCTTCTTTCAGTTTCTGGGGCCCCTGAGCTCCAGTGCTGTCGATGTGGGCGGGGATGGCCTGCCCTCGGGTCCGCTCCCACCTCTGCCCTGTGGCCGCTCTGGTCCTGCCTCTTGGCCTTTCTGTGGCTCTGTAACACACATCCACCACCATCTCTGACCTCAGGGCCTTTGGAGGTGCCGAGCCCTCATCCCATCTTTTTCTTGGCAGGTTTCCTCACCTCCTTCCTTGACAACTCCACATAAAACAGGAAACTTCACTCCCACACCTGCATCTCCCTGTGTTTTCTTCCCAGAGTTTATTCTCAATGATGTATTTCCAATTTGGGGCGTAGGGTGGGTACCAGGAATCGAACTCAGGACCTTGCACTTGCCAGGCAGGCAAGGCACCTCTGAGCTACATCCTGGGTTTGTTTGGGTTTTGGGGGGGGTTTTTTTGGTACCAGGGATCAAACTCGGGACCTAACTCCTGGCTCCTTATTTTTTAATTTAAATTTTATTTATTCATTTTGAGATACTGAGGATTGAAGGCAGAGTCTTCCCACTGAGCTACGTTCCCAGCCCTTTTTATTTTTTGAGACAGAGTCTCACTAAGTCACTAAATTGCCCAGGATCTATCTAACTTGTGATCCTCTTGCCTCAGCCTCCCAGTCTCAATTTTGTGCAATGCCTCCCCTCCTCACCAGAGTGTGAACCTAGCAGAACCTGTTTTGTCTGGGACCCTGGTCTCGGCCCCACCAGCTCCCGTCCCTAACTCGAACCAGGTCCTTCACCAATACCGGATGGTCACTTGCTTTTATTGTTGTTGTTGTTTTGTCGGTACCGACGATCAAACTCCGGACCTTGCGCTTGTGAGGCAGGTGCCGGAACCACTGAGCTAAATCCCCGGCCCTTTTTTTTTTTTTTTTTTTGGTACCAGGGATTGAACTCAAGTCCTTGTGCTTTCGAGGCAGGCGGTGGAACCACTGAGCTAAATCTCCGGCCCAAAAAGGGGCACACGTATTTTTGTTTTGTTTTGTTTTGAGTACCGGGGATTGAGCTCAGGTCCTTGCGCTTGCGCAGCAGGCGGCGAAACCACTGAGCTAAATCCCCGGCCCGGTCACTTGCTGAATGAGTGCGTGCGGCTGAGGACTGGTGAATGGCGCCCGGGCTCTAAGCGAGGCCCAAGCTCCAGTCCTGAGCAGTGGGTGGGATGGGGGCGCAGAGGCCGGCTTAGGGGCCTGGGGCAGTGGAGCGGGAGGGGCCGGGACCGCGCAGGCTCTGAGGTGCCACGCGGGGCTCCGCTGGCCCCCAGCCTGGCTGACCCGGCCCCTGGCCTGAGGGCACCTCCACTCTTCAGGACTTCGCCTCCTGTCGCCTGCATCCTGCTCACTGGTCCAGAGGCCCCTGCCCTGGGGATGGCCAGCCAAGGCCCCGCTGGGTGACCGGGTTGTGTCCCTAGGGTCTCCCCAGCCGGGTGGGCGGGGACTCTCCTCAGCTTTGACAAGGGGTTGCCACATCCTGGGGAGCCTTCAGCGCAGCTAGAGGCCGGCTTGGACAGCACCGAGGCCAGGGGGACCTGGGCCAGGGGCGGTGGGGAAGGGGGCAGGTGACAAGGGGCCCCGTGGAGAAGCCAGTCTCTGTCTCACCTGCGCGGCCCAGGGCAGGGGCTTGGGGGCTCCGGGCTCTGGGCGGAGGGGAAGGGAAGGTCCCCACTGACGACACACTTCCTTCCCTCCTCTAGCAGCCTTTCTGCTCTTGCACAACCGCCAGGTGTGCTGCCTGTCCCACAGTACCAGGCCCTGGCCTGCAGGGCCCCTGATGGGCCTGGCTTACGCTTGTTGGGTAAAGAGGCAAGACGTGCTAAGAAAGAACCCAGGTTTGACTTTATTTTTTGTTGTTGGCAGTACTGGGGGTTGAACCTAGAGCCTTTGCACTGAGCTAGACTCCCAGCCTTTCTCTATTTTTTATTTTGAGACAGGGTCTTGTTAAGTTGCTACATTATCCAACCTGGACTCCCAACTTTAGACCTTCCTGCCTCAGCCTCACAGAGTGCTAGGGGTTACAGGTGAGCACCACCACACCAGGTTGGACCTGGTACTGACCTCTGCCAGCCTTCTGTTAGGATGACACAGAATTTGTTTTAATGCCTGGATGAAAACACAGGTGACCAAATAGCTTAAAATTAAAAAAAAAAAATTTTAAAGAAAAATGAGGAGCCAGATGTGGTGGTGCACACCTGTAAGCTCAGCTATTCAGGAGGCCGAGGCAGGAGGATGGCAAGTTCTAGGCCAGCTGGCCAATTTACTGGGACTCAGTGAAAATGAGTAAGTAAAAAGGGTTGGGGACATAGCTCAATGTGAGGGTCTGGCAGGGCTGCTTGGCATCCACAGCTCCCCCACCAAGAGGAGAAGACAAGCTAAGGAAGCGGGTAATGAATAGATAAGATTTTAGGGGAGGATAGAATTAAAAAATAACAAAACTTTTATGTTGGGAGTTGCACACAGGGAAACCGCGCAGCCTCTCTAGTATAAAGTTGTAACAATGACTGACACCTGGCTGGCCCTGCCCTGGGATCAGGATGACAGCAGAATCCCCACACCCCACATCCATTGGCTGCTGAGTGTCAGGCCCCAGTGTAAGTGCTCAGTGCTTAGGACATCAGCTGTGCATGGTGACCATGCCTATAATCCCAGCTCTATGGAAGGCTGAGGCAGGAGGATCCCAAGTTTGATTCTGGGCAACACACTGACTTGCGAGACCCTTTCTCAAACAAACAGAACAAAACACAACCCCAAACCACATCTTCTCACAGCGAGGCTCTCTTTAGGGGAGCAGGGGCTATTTGAACCCGGGCAGTCTGGACCTAGGCCCGCACTCTTAGCCACAGGGCTCTATGCCTGACCCTAGGACAATGTGAGTGGATGGATGGACAGATGGATGGATGGACGCCTGAGCGAGTGGGGAGCCGGCCAGCTCTGAGGTCTGAGGCAGACAGGAGGGGCAGGCGCAGGCCTCCCGGTCCTGCCGGGGACCTTGTCGCTGGCCACATGACACAGTCCTGCCCTCCCACCACTAGGCTTCCCCCAGATGGGCTGGGCTGCGTTTCCTCAGCCAGGAAATCCCCACAGCTGGCCAGTGGGGACAGTGGGCAGGGGCTCGGGAGGGACATGAGGCCCAGGCCCGGCCCTCTGGGGTCTTTTCCCAGAGACAGAAGCCGGGTGGCGCACCAGGAGCAGAACCACTCAGCCTCTGCTGTAGGACAGTCCTGTGCTGCTCTACCCTGAGACCCTCCTGCGGACCCATCCCTGGGGACAGATGGCTGCGGGCCGAGTTCCAGTTCCCACCCCGTGTCCAGAGCACCTGCGTGACAGGCAGCGGGCCAGGGCAACTCGACTGTGACAGGCCTCAAGCAGGTGTCTGCAGAAATGCGGGCCAAGTTTGAGCCCAGTCCGAATCAAAATTTAAACAAATGAAATTTATTTAAATGAAAGGGCTGGGGATGTAGCTCCCTGCGAAGGCCTGGGTTCAATCTCGGGTATCACAAAAGGAGCGAAGGGGAAGGAGGGAGGAAGTTGTGCCCCAAGGGGCTCCGCCTGGCAAGGAGGGATGCGGAGACTCTGCTCCTCACCAGGCCCTCAGGTGCCTGGACTCAGGGGCCCCCACCTCTGGATCCTGTCAGACCCCCAGTGGAGGCCATGGGTACCAACAGAGCCTGACTCAGCTTCGTCCCCAACGCCTCCTTTCCTGGCCCCAGGTGTTAGGATGGCACTGGCATCGTGAGGGCGCTGGTCAGAGCGGTCACGGGGCAGGAACCAGTCTGCTGGGAGCTGGTGGGCTGTGGGGGCAGTGTCACCCAGCGCTGGAGCCTCCTGGGCCCAGGTTCACATGGTGCCTGCTCAGAAGGGAGGACATGGCAGGCACTCAGCCGCCACCATCACCAACCCCCAGGGGCTTGTGTTGGGAGGACCCCAGCCCGAGGATGCGGGCAGTGGGGTGCAGCCACCACCTCTGAGGACAGGCAGGGAGGTAGCTGACTCACAGGGCTGGAGCCCACAGCTGCAACCTGCAAAGGCAGCCGGTCAGGTGGTGACAGAGGTGGGGAGGGCAGCAATGTCCCACCCAGCACCTGCACGGGCCCGATCCAACGGTCTCTCAGCTGTGACCCTCCCGAAAGACATGTTCTAAACCCCAAGCATGTGTGTGAACCCTGCACACAGAACCTTCCAGGTCACCCCACAGGTTTCTCTGGTGCAGGAAGTAGATCCTTGTGTTTGTTTTTTTGAGACAGGGTCTCACTATGCAGTTCAGGCTAGCCTTGAACTCATGTTGTAGCCCAGGCTGGCCTTGAACTCACTGGGATCTTCCTGCCTCAGCCTCCCGAGTATGGGGATCACAGGCATGCGCCACGAGCCCAGCCTGATCTTGCAGCTATGAATGGGGCAGGAAGTGGCTGTCCAAATCACTCTTGTGTCAGACTTGCTTTCAGGGCTCAACTTTGTTACTTTCTCAAAAACCCCCACAGTGAGCCAGGTAGAGAGGCTGTGGTGGAGGTGAGGAAGTGACATGTGAACACCCAGAGGCAAGGGTCCTTTTATTTTTGTGTATTAGGGGCTGAACCCCAGAGCCTTTGCACTAATCTGTATCTCCAGCCCTTTAAAATTTAAAAAAAAAATTTTGAAAAGTCTTGCGAAGTTGCCCAGGTTAGGGTCCTGAGACTTGTGACCCTCCTGTGTCAGCCTCCTGCATGCGCCGCCACACCTGGCTTCCTTGCCTACTCTTAATTCTCCCCAGAGGGAGGAAGGCCCTGCTCAGTCACCCACTGCTCTTCAGGCCAGACTCCCAGGGGCCAGGATTTCTTTACCCAGGTGCATTGAGCTGAGTCTCACTCTGCCCTGTGAACCTGCTGGCTGGCAGCCAGTAAAGCTCCGGAAGCCTCCACCCTGCCCACAGGGCAGAAGCCAGCGGCAAGTGGCCCCGCCTGTGGCCACCTGCTGA